GATAAAGAATGGTGTCCCTAATTCTATGAATGATTAGTTTTTCCCGTACTTCCCTCCCTTCCGAATGGAGTTTTTCACTAAAGTCCTTACGTCTAATATAAGTAGTTAACAGACATCTTCTAATTGATGAAGGCAAATACCGGCTTACTTATTCTTTGCTCCGTTTACGGTACAAAATGCAGAAGATAGGAAAGGAAAACGTAGGAGATATTTTGTCACAGTTCGATGCATACGAACAAATGTTATCGTTCCTAAATTGTTTTTTATTCAAAAGTAAAAATCTGCTCAAGTATTGATATGCCTCACTTAACAAATAACTATGTCTCATTATTTTTCTCAAGAATTGGGTCTAATTCATGGAAATAAAAGAACTTGTGTTTGATATGTATTTATATTTGTTTAGTTATATTGTTTAGTCTATATAATATGTTTTTAGCAAGTTCCCTTACTCTTCCTGGTATCATTGTCATATTTGGAACAATTGTCGAACTATTCTCAATAATGCGTTTTGAGGACATAGGACAAAAAACGGCCTCCCATGTAATACAGCCAAAAAAACGTAAGTCCGCAACGCTTATTTATAGCTTTTCAAGCAACCAACCTACTGACTCGTGAAATGTCTTATTTCGTAGCTTAAACATACCTGTTTAATATGACAACTAAGCAAAGCCTAGCAGCCAGCTCGTCTAGCAGCTTCCATCGTTCTGACAAAAGACACTTTTCTGAAAGTAGTATTTTCCAAAAACACTGACTAAACGAGATAGCTGCTGGACTTTGCTTGCTTGTGATATTAAAGGAAAACGTTTAAGGTATAAAAGAAGACATTCCACTTAAGACATTCCATCTCCAGTCTGTAGTGCCTACCCAGATCTTTTTTGTTTTATAAAACGTTACGAAAAAGTTGACTTTGACGCGGACAGGCCTAAAAATGCTTTTTAAGAAAGGAAACATGCAAAATAAAATAAAACAAAAACTAAAAAACCAAAAATGTATTAAAAAGGATTGTGGTCCAACTGTATTAGACGGGCTGGTTACCGTTGCCTATTCACAAGCGCTATCCCACTACCGCTTGACATAGAGGCTTTGATTTGCTCCCTTTCGGGCCTGAACCGGTTCACCTCTCCTTAGACAACCTGGTATTGATAGATTCCTCTCACCAAACCATGTTGATGCCGAGATTAGTGCGGACACTCGATCAACATAGGACACAACGGCAAACAGTGGTCCCATCCGCAAGCCATTCAACACAACCCGGCTCTCAAAGTAACTTGAGTTACAGAAACACGCCACTATTCCCAGCCGATAGATATCGTTCTGAAATAAGTATATATTCAAAATCTCTATGTGATTGAGTAATAATCTGAGAAACGGTAAAATTTGGACTGCTGTGACTATGAATGTACGGCATCTAGCAAGAAGATGCTCCTACATTAACGATTATTATAGCAGATAAGAGTGATATCTATGTCTTGAATGTACGAGAGAATTTTATTTAAAACTGACTCTCAAAGATGGACTTTTTCACCTACGTGATGTACCTAATAAGTGATGTATCATTCCATTGAATGTACTTAAGAGTCACTGCACGAGTGAAACGGCAAAAGTTGCTCAATCGATGTTTCAGTTTTTGGCTCAGGATTTTACCGTAGGTAGAGGCAACATATATAGGAAGATTCCCAAAATTTTTTCGTTCGGACTTACTTCGTTAAAAAGTCATAGATAGCTTTTCCTAAAAGCCCTAAAAATAGTCTTAAACGATACTTGTATAAAAGTAATAACTTTAGTAAAAAACAAAAAAAAACGTAAATAAATTTACAAGAAAAGCCCTAAATCAATTTTTTCCTTCTTATTTCTGTACCTTTGAGCTGACAATTAACACTTAGAGCTTGTCTTGTAAATTCTATAACTTTGCAAAGAAAGATCGTGCAGAGCTACGAGATGTCTCATTTTAATGAGAAATTTGCGGGTTACCATCGTGACTCATTAAGAAAAGTTTTACATGTTTTTTAAGTTCACATATGTAAAACTTATTTTTTCATATATTCGACCACGACTGTTTATGCTGGCTCTGGAAGACCCGGTTTTCTGAAGAACCTGTTTTTCGGAAATTCTAAAAGGTAACCAAAACTTTTCTTAATGAGTCAACTTTCTCATAACGTTTTATAAAATTCATAGCTTTTCAGGCAAGTAACCTATAGACTAAGCTGGACCGATTGAAATTGTGCATTTTGTTTGCAAAAAGTGTTTCTTAATGAAAACTGTTTTTATAGAATTTTTCTAACAGCTGGATTTCGTATAGCAAATATTTTTTCTACAAGATGATCTATTCTTCGTCTTGATTCAGTACTTACGAAAAAAAGATTTGCTAAAAATCTCATTGTCGGTTCTAATCGATTTAGAGCTCTTCGTCAAAAAACGATTGCGGCAGAAACAGAAAAATATGAAGACTTCCACCATAACTGATCTTGTAGAAAACTGTTTGATCTACAAAACCTAGTTGTTAAAAAGATTTTAGTATGTGTGCTTATTATGCACTTCGCTGCAGAAAACAGGTGAAATTTTTATCGGTTATAACCGGTGTATGCCTGCCCAGGTGAAAGAACCTTACTGTAAGATCTTATAAGATTCTTGTATGATTTTGTCTGATTTCATAAGGTTCAGTACGAAACATAGAAACTCATTCTTGATGTAAGATCTTATAGTGAGATTTCATCAGATTTTGTAACATTCTTGTATGATTTTTATAAGATTTTATAAGATGAATAAAATCTTGTACGATCTTGATCCGATTTTTTGACCTGTCCAGATCAAGTAATCCTACTAGGATCTTACTGAGAATAGCATTTCATAGGATTCCTATTGTAGGGTCCTATGAAATCTTACGGCAGGAGTTCCGTAGGATTCTTGATATAGAACTGTAGGAAAAATCCTATAAGATTCCTATAATAGGAATCTTATGCATTTCTTAGAAAATTCTACTGTAAGATTTTGTGTAGGATTTTGTAGAATTCCTATTTTTTCGCCCTGTATACAGTTTCTTTTCTTTTTCTATACGAGAACACAACCAACGATGTGTTTTTCAGTAACTCTAATATAAATACAACGCTACTGTGACAGTAGCGATGTATTTATATTAGAGTAAAAAACGATTTATATTACTGTAGAAAACGAAACATTCTTTTAGTTTCATTGTCGCACCGAACACTGTGAGCCATCGAAACTCGCTACTGTTCGACGACGTGCGAGTTACTCACAAGTCTTTGATATATCCCGGCTTAGAATCACCTGATTCTGGCTAACTGGGATCAGGAAATAATTAAAGAAATAAAAACAATAAACCTAGTAGGATAAACCAGCAGAAAATCAGATAAAATCCTACTGTAATCCTACCATAGGATCCTGTAGGATCTTACAAGATCTGACTACAGGATCCTATAATAATCTTACAGTGGGATTTTTTAGCTTTGAAGTTTTCCTACAAAGTCCTACAAGATTTTCGTAGGATCTTGTAAGAATCTTGTAGGATCCTACGGTAGAGTTGTTGAGCGCCTAATTCTGGCTAACTGGGATCAGGGAATAATTAAAGAAATAAAAACAATAAGCCTAATAGGATAAACCAGCAGAAAATCAGATAAAATCCTCTAAAAAAAGCTCTATAACTTTTTAACGAAGTAAGTTCGAACGAAAAAATTTTGGGAATCTTCCTATATATGTTGCCTCTACCTACGGTAAAATCCGGAGCCAAAAACTGAAACATCGATTGAGCAACTTTTGCCGTTTCACTCGTGCAGTGACTCTTAAGTACATTCAATAGAATGATACATCACTTATTATTAACTCAAACATCGATTGAGCAACTGGTACGCAAAAAAGCTGTCTCACTCGTGCAATGACTCTTAATTATAATTCAGAAAAGCTCCATAGTGTATTCGATATCTGAGATTTTCGAAATCAGGATTTTTCAGTAAAAAATCAGGAGTTGACTAGGAGATTTTTTTTCAAAATCACGAGAAAGTATTGAGTAAGTAACAGGAAAGTATCGAGCAGTTTTTTCTTGAACAAGCAAAATTTTCATTCTCACAAACGCTTGTGACTTTTTTCTATCAAGCGAGTAATGAGAAGGTCTGTCTTACGAGCGAAACAAAGAAAAAGAGAGAAAGATAATCATGTGTGGGTACTCTACTGGTATTTTCATAGCTGTTCATTTAACAATATAAACAAAATAGACACAAATATTTTTTAATAAACCGACAAGAGCCAAAATAAAGCGAATATGGAGAACAAACTGTTTGCTACATCGTTCCTGGTATTTTTGCAACATAACTGTATTTTTTTGATAAGTGAATTTGTGTTAACAGCTATTGATTATTCAAGAGATAATTATAAAATTCTGTACAATCAAAGCAGGAAAAGAATTGAAAATCAGTAGAATTTTCATCAGGAAAAAAGTCTAAAAATCAGAAATCTCCTCGTCAGATCAGAAGTTTTTGAAAGAAATATATAGCAACGATAAATTGCTGTCGCTTGAAAATGTTATTTCGCGTACGAGTATATTGTCTTTCGTTTGTCATTTATGTAAATTTTTCAAGTTGACGAAAGTACTTTCTAAGAAGTACAAAAATTCAATAATTAAAAGACAAAAAATGTATAATTATCATCAAATAGTTACAACAAAACATTGTTCTTATTTTATCACTGTTCAATAGTAGCAAAGAGAAAAAAAGGAGGAACACACAGTAAAAACCCAACACATAAAATTATAGAAATTCATCATCTACAACAGTTGTTCGAATTTCTTTTTCAAATCAAATAGCACCCATATGGATCAGGTCTGTTGGTATTTGTACAAACGGTGACGAGAGTAATTTTTATATATCCAGTTAAAATGTCACCGGTAAATTAGTCTAATAACTGTCCTGTCTTTTATAATAATAGTAGCACACCAAAATTATGGACGAAAAGAAAAAATGGGTAGGTAACTAAATATTCTTTGTTCAAATTTAACTTTGATCGGTTGTACCACCCGTTTCATACTGTCGTCTAAAACAGTCACCCACTGGAAAAAAATTCCAATCACGTTTTTGATATAATTCCCATACAAAACTTTCCTAAATAAAAAAAGATATTCTTCATATAATTTTAAAATGAAAAAATCAAATCAAACTTACTTGTCCAGTATATTCTGTATCTGGTTTATTAAGTAAATGTGTTAAAAAGAACATATAATTAGCGAAATTATGTTCTTTTGTTGTATGAACTTCAAAACCGTGCGGTTCTTTGTCGAAATATTCTTGACCAATACCACAGATAAAACATTTTGACTAAGAAAAAAAAACGATACATTTACAGATTTTATGAGAAAAATAAAAAGTATTTGCCATTAGCAAAACTGATATATGATAATTAAAATAAAAAGTTTAAACGATAAAACAGTGTCACATACTTCAAGAGTCGATTTAACAGAATCCAATTGTTCTCGAAGATCACCGAATGCATCAATAATCAAACCTAGGTGAATGAAAAAATACATTATATCATATCTATTATAATAGTTACTTATCTACCTTGAATAATTGCCAACAAAATAACAATAATGAAAAAGAAAAATGTTATATCGAATATGATTCTGTAAAATTCTAATGGATCTCCATTAGGCGATTCTAGTTCATCTCCAATACCACCTAAAGAATAAAATAAAAATTTAATTTAATACGTTGTTGATTTTAGAAAGAATTAGCATTTACCTCCAGCACGAATACCACTATACAAATGAAATTTGAAACACTAAAAATAAAGTAAAAGAAGTATATTAAAAATAAATAATAATAATTTAAAATGCATACCGTAAACATATCTTTACAATTTTGTTCTACTTCATCATCTTCTTCTTTTGTATAAAATTTTCGAAAGAAATTAAATGCTATTACTGTATAAAGATAGACCAATACGGCCATTAACATGATTGTTAACATAAGCTAGATATGGAAATAAACAATAATATCTTATAGATTATTTTCATGAGACATTAAAATATGTGTTTTACCTGTCTGCCATTATGTGTAATCGACTTTAATATTGTACTTAATGCTTTAACACTAATAGCAACATCGAGTAAGTGTGCAGCAAATACAAAATAATTATAATTTCCAATTACAGAAAATAGGAAATAGAAGAATACGTAAAGAAATGACTAAAAACAAAAAAACAAAAACTGGAATAAAATAAATATTTAGATTAATAGTATGATATATTAGCCTACATTGTCAGTAAATATCACACCCCATTTCCATAACTGATATCGCCAATCTATAGCTGTTAATCTAAAAATGAGATAAATTTAATTTGATAGAAAAAGTTTAGTTTTATTAATAACATACTTTCCCCAGAAACCATACTGTGGTTGTTTTACTATTTCAAATTTGTGTGGTGTATCACTTTTTTCCATACCCAAAAATTTACTTAATTCATCATAATCAAATTGATCACTATATTTATTTCGAACTTTTTTCTTAACAAATTTATCCCAATATGAATCGGGAAATGATCTTGAACTAATAACTAATTTATGCCATTCACGTGATAAATATGATATAATCCAGGGATGATCTTCTGTTGCTTCAGCAGTTAACCATGTACCTTCAAATTCTAATTTTCTAGCAATTTCTTTTTCACGTTTGAATATTACTAATGGAACCTATAAATAAAATAATACACTCAAGAATAATTCAAAAAAGAAAAAAAAGAATACATTACTTTCAATTTATAATAACTAATCATCATTAAAAATGCTACACATGAATGTAGAAAAGCACTTGAACGTAATAGATAATTCATGTAATAATTTTTTGGATCAATCATAATCACTTCATTTTCATCTTCATCTTCACCATCTATTCCTTCATCAGGTATCAGTTGTGCACCACCAGTTGGAAAAGCAATTGCCTATGAAAATTAGATGATTATCTTCTCTTTTTTTTTTCATAAAAAGTATGCCACTTTAACTTTACTTTATAAAATAACATCAAAAAATTGATAACAAATGCTAGACAAAGTGCAGTAAACTTTAGATTATGATAATTTCTCGCGACAAATGCCTAGAAAAAGACAATATTTGCTATTAGGAATGATTGTCTTTTTCAAAAACAAAATAATTATTGCTACTTGCCATTGCTTTTTTTCCATAATCTGATTTTGGTGGTGGTTCTGGATGGAAAAAGTCATCATCTTCTACCGTACTATTTATAGCTGAAATTGGTTTTTGTTCATATTCGGCTTTTACCGATACCTAAAATAATGTATCATAGTTATTCATAAGGGAGCATAACAGTTCAGTTAAAAATCTACTTCAAGTGCTGCTTTTGTTTTTTCACTATTCTGCGGTTTCATATGAATTGTTGTCGCTAATTGTGGACTAGCAACAGACGCTGTTACTGTCTGTTGTTGAGATTGTATCGGAGACGTAATGAGAGATGTTGTAGCAGTTGTTGTTGTTACGCTTTTAGCTAAAATGAGATAGAGAATTGACCGTTATGGTTTCTAAACAGGATAAAAATATTACCTGTTGAAGTTGATTGTCCTGTTGTTTGATCAATATTATTAATGAATAAAGGAGTATGTTCTTCAAATGCTTGTGCACTCATGTTATTATCAAAATTTAGCACATTAACTTGATCATCAGGAATAATTGACATTCTAAAGCGAAATAGATATTTTTATAAGTCATCAATACATTAGACCAATAATATCTACTTCGGTTTTTGTGGTGGATCGGCATTAATATCAAGTCCGAATGCACTCATTGGTGGTGCTTCTTCAAAATCAGTAAAACCAAATTGTGCAACTGTAACAGTTGCTAGAGAAAATAAAAAAACGAGAAACAAATTAAAGTTAAAAATACTTTTTAATCTCACTGAGAAACAAGTGATTAAAAAAAGAATTTAAAACTTAATTAAACGTACGCATTTGATCTCGACGTTTTGTCGGTGGTGGTAATGCAATTTTTGGAACTTTTTCTTCTTGCTCACCTGCCATCAAATTCCACATACAATATGTTAATGTTCTAAAAGAGAATATTTTATAATGTTTTATTTCTACAATGAAAATACTTATTGTAAATCACATCAAATACATGCATTGGTTATAACAAAATACTACAAACCGGTTGTTTAAATTTTTTTCTATATTATCATAATAATTTTTTATAGACGATGTATGTTGTGAATCTTTCGATTTTTGGCTTTGTAATTCAAAAATTTTTGTTAATCGCTGTTGAGTGGAAGCTGTTGAATTGTGAAAAAAATAAGAACGATCATGATCATTTTTTGTATTACTATTGTGATAATTACTATTATTATTATTATTAGCATTAGTATTAGTATTTGTATTAATGTTATAAATATTAATTGATTTCCTTTTATGATGTTTGTAATTTGTGTTAGTACCATTATCAATGAAAACTAACGATCGTAAACGTTTAATAAAACGTTGAAATAAGATCGAAAGACGATGATAATGACGATTTGATATTAAAAATTTAAGGATTATAAAAACATGCAGACTAGAGTAGAGAAAAAATAACCACACTACACACCATGCTTATTCTCAATTTCAAGTTATTTATTTTTGTTTTTTTTACCTTAAAATATGAATACTAAATATGAAAATAAACCATATAAAATTAATTGATAATTTCATTAATTCTCGTCCAATATCTTTTAATGTCATTTGTTTTAATGTTAAATAACCAGCACGAATTGTTGAGGGTTTTAATATATGAAATAGACCTTTAATACCGCTCCAAGTAAATGAAAGTGCAATTTTAATTGGTTCTGTTGTCATTGAATGTTGATTAGCTACACCAGCTTCAGTTTGTAATCGAACAACTTGTGTAACACGATCTTCTTCTTCGCCACTTAGTGAGGAAGCATGTTGCATCTACATAAAAATAAAATATAGATTATACTATACAATTTAAAAGATATTTTATAAGAAAATACTTCAAATATTGTATCTTCACAAAAATTAATAAATTGTTCTAATTTTTCTTTATCATCTGTTTCATTAACCGCAAAATGTAAAAATTGTTTTTTCGATTCCTGAAAAGGTAAAAATATTGTTGTATATATTTTAATTATGTATATATATAATCTCGGTTTACTAACTTTGATATGTTTTTTATTCCATTGTTCAATATTTGCTTCTCTTATTTCAAAATAGACACGTTCAATATAGCCAGCGCTACCCTTAATTTCAATACGACCAAGATAATCTTGAAAGTAGGATAGAAAACTTTTTGCCTTATCCATTAATCGTTGAAGTCTATTAAAAAGACAAAAAAACTAAAAATAAATTTAATAATGAAAAAATATGAACGATCATACCTTGCGTCATGCGGCATATGTTCGGAAAGATTTGTTAATAATACGGCCATATTAAAACCGATATCTTTGGCTGGATTATGAAAACGTTCCGTAAATTCCATAAAATCAATTTTACCATCTTGATTTGTGTCAACACACATCAAAATATAATCAATATCTTGGCTAAAAACAAAAATATTTAACAAATTTAACATACATTTATATTATTTTCAAATGAGTTGTATAACTCACTCAAATTATTTACACTTTGTTAAAAAAATAAAATATAGACTTACTTTGTGTACATCTTTTGTGCTTCCATTGCCCGACGAAATTCTTTTGGTGAAATAAATCCATCTTTGTTCGTATCAAATTCCTGAAAATGATAATATAATTTTGATTAGATAATAGAGAAATAATATTATCTACTTCATTCAAAATGTCATACTTGAAATGCTTCTGATGTTGTTAAACCTTTCATTTTCAAAAATATATCAAAAAATTGTAATAATAATTCAACATTTGATTGTGACTCAATTAAAGTATCGACCATCTGTTTTCCAATAGGACCATTAAGAACATTACCTAAAAAGGAAAGATAATATAAACTGAGATTTCAGTGACCGTTTTATAGACACATATATTCTAAATATTTATTACAAAATCTATATTGTTTTCAGAAGTGATACTTTTTATCGTTAGATAATTAACATAGTGGTGAATTATCATATGTTTTATAATAAAGAGAAGTTTTTATCAAACTGAATCTATAGTTTTGTTCTAAAACCATTTATTATTTTACGATATATTTTGTATATAGAATAAAATGATGTTTTTCGCTTATATTTATATTGAAATTGAGAAAGCGTTCGTATTCTAAACTAAAATATCAAATAATAAGTTCTTCTCAAGGGTGATCTTCCATTTCCCCCTTTCTCAACAAAACTAGACAAAGATCTCTCCACTTGAGATGAAGACGCATTTGAATAAGCCTAATAAAAGCACTGCCAAAAAATTCAGAGTAGAAGCTAAAAATCATTGGTTATATCTCATATTCAATAGAAGCAAAGAAAAAAAATCATATAACATCGTTTTCGAGCTGATTCTACGAATAACATTTCGTTGTATATCCAAGATTAGTGCATACGTATAATAGACTTATAATATTAATGAATAGAATGATAGAATGATATCATTCTATTTTCTTTTACCTTATATCAACACGTTTTAATTAGAAAAAAAATCAAATTTTGCTTTAGCTATCATTACAGTCGAGTTCAAATACACTACCTTCCAACATTGATAAAAGCATTATAATCATATCTTTTTGCAATTTCATTAATTCACGAAGTAATTCAATTTGAAGTGGGTCCTTAAAATAGAGAATAATAGAAAATGAGTCAAAAATTTGACAATAGTTTTACTTGTGATAGTTTTCGTTGCATATGAGCAAATATATACAAAAATCCGGCAATTGCATCCCATAAACGACTGTTAGCTAGTGCTAACTGATTTTGAGGACATGGACCCTAAATGTTATAAAATATAAAATAGAATTAATGTTTATTACTAAAATATTTTAATTTACACACTTACTTGAATGTATTCTGTTAATGTATTAAAAACTTGTTTCGCCACACTAATAGCACGACAAAAATTTTCCTTTCCATGAGCATCAACTGTTTCTTTTCCAGAGTAATGCCAATAAAAGTCCATAATGGATTCCTTTAAAGATATGTATCAAATATATCAAAACTTTTTTGAACAATTTTAAAAATGTTTACCTGCAAACTAAGTAGATAATCGACTGTACAAATAATAATATTGACATTTGTATTACTGCCAGTTTGTGAACGTAAATAATTTTGAAATTCTATAATAAAATGATATACATTTAGATTAGATTTTACTTGACATGTATATCTATCATACATACCAAGATTATGTCCTTCACATAATAATTGACAAAATCGAAATAATGATATAGTAAAATCGGCATCATGTAAATTTTTTTCACCAGCCATTCCTTCTGATCCTACTCCTAAACAACCAACGAAATATATCTTTATTTTTCTTCTATATTTATTGATATTTAATATTAACTAACCTAATACTTCAGCTTTGATACAACGTTCAAATGTATCCAAATCAAGAACACTACAATTTGCCATCAATGATGCTAATGATGTAAAAAAGCCAACATCTTTTGTTTCTTTTAGATAAGATAACATGCGCTAAAAAAAAACCAAAAATTAAAATTCAATTAAATTTTAAAATGGTAAAAGAAAAAGAAAAAATATTCAACCTTTTGAACGTCTCTGTTTCCACCATGTAATAATGATATGCCCAATTGTAATGTTCGTTGTAACATGTCATTGTTTTCACCTATATAATATACATTAATAGGATGGATAGTGTTGTGGATCGTTTCTTGTAAAATATAAATGAAAATTTTTACCTTTACTAGCACTAATATACAATAGCACAGTTTCAGCAGCTCCACGTAATGCCAATCTATTTTGTTCGTACAATAATTTTTGTTTTTCCATTTCTTGTTCCTAAAGAAAATTATCAAAAATGATTAGATGATTCTTAAAATAAATTCATTTGCTTATATTATACCTGAAATGATTTTGCCTCTTCTACACCTCCATCGTCATCATCGTCGTTTATAACACAACTCTAAAACAATATATTCATATTAGTAATAGTACAGGATATTAATTAATTATATTATTTCTCACTTTGCTCATAATTGTTGCATAAGATAAATAGACAATATCATCTGTGATACTAAATATTGATAAATGTTCAGCTGTTGCTGAACGATTTAAACATTGTAACAATTGTCTTAACGAATCTGGCTTAAATGTTAATGTTAATGTTAATGATGTTGTTTCAGTTTCTGCCTCTTCTTTAATTGTTGTTATTTCTTGTCCACTATCACCTTGCTGATTAATATCGTCCTAAGAAAAATAGAATTATTAATCAAAAATTCATTATATATAGCACAATTAATCTTTTATCTTACACATAAATCTTCAATTAATCTTGCTCGTGTATCTTCTTCAGCATCCAACCATATTTCTCGATAAGCTCGTAAAAACATATTCATAGCACGATGTCTAAAATGAAAGTTGTTTATAAGCAATTTAAGATAGTATATAATAATTTCTAATTATTTATACTACCTTGGTACAGAATGTAACGGTGCCATTCGAAAACAAGCCATAACCGCCTTTTTACGTTGTGATGAAATCAGTTTGCGCCATGTTCCACGACGATGTGTAGGTGGATGATCAACAAGATGTAAGCCAAATAAAACTTTAGCCATTTTTAGTATATTTTTGATAGATGTTTCTTGAGATACGACAGCACCAGTGGATTTTGAACCAATTTTTCGATATAATAAACTTTGCCAACTATTTTTATTTATCATTTCACCCTAAATAAAGTTTATAATTGACAATATATATCGTGTGTTAGACATAAATTTTTGTACCTGTTCTTGTGCGTAGAATGTTTCACGTAAAAATTCTTCAACAGCTTCTTCTTGATCAGCCTTTAGTGAAGAAGATTAAATTAGAAAAACATACACATATTAACTTGTTGAAATGATCACTTTAAATATGAATATAGAACTATCATTCCAATAACGAAATATCTCTTTAAAAGTGATATTAAATTAATTGTTTTCGAAAAAAAGCATGTATCAACAATTTGTTATTGAAATATTGTGAAAAAATAATAATAGTGGGAGTGCATGCATGAAGCAAATAGTCAAGGTATGAGAAATTTGTAGAAATCATTCAAAAGTGTCAATATTCAAAGTCGAAAACATGCTTGTGTTTAGTGGGTGGTCAACATTTTTTCCATATAGATAATTCTTTTTTATTGTTTCAAGTGTAAACTCATTAAGGGTAACCACCCCTCTTTTTTGTAAAAATTTCGGACTTTGAGCTGAGCATAGCCTAATGTAGAGGAAAGTGTTCGCTACAAAATAAGACCACTCCCAGTACCTTACGACCTTTTTTTCAAAAAGTTATCGATTTTTGAAGTTTTTCCTTCAAAACCTAAAAAAACTCAATTTTTTAGTCTCATACACTTTTCTCTCATTTTCTGTACATGCAAAATTTTTCTTACACCTAGTCTGATAAAAGAAAGTGTTTTCTTCACAATGAGACATTTTACAGAATTTTTCGATGAATTTTCGCGGAGATGTAAGCAGCGCGACAAATGCTCTGAAAAAAGTGACCTATGTACAAAATGCGTTTTTTCTCAAAAACTATTTTTCTGCTACCGGGCTTCATTGTGCCACATTACGACCCGCCTTAAATTTCATCCGATCGAGTTCAAAATTTTACCAGAGGTAGTTAAGACACTATCGCAGAGGTAACTTTTGGAATTTTATTTTAGACTTTTCTTTACCGACTTATACGGTTTCTAAAATTGAAAGACTCGGTTTTTGAGACGTTTTTCAGTGTTTTTCCTATAACTCGACTATGAAAGGTCTCAAAAAAAATTACCCAAAAACTACCTCTGCGGAATGACCGTGAGTATCTCTGGTAAAATTTTGAACTCGATCGGATGAAATTTAAGGAGGGTCGTAATGTGGCATAATGAAAAACCGAGTTTTCTGAAAAACTGGTGAATGGCAATAGTTGAAAACTTGAAACAAAAACGAAAAAGTGCTCCATTGAGTTTCCAATCAGTTCTGAAAGTACGAAGCCCTAGCAACTTATAGTTTTAATTTCATAGCATTTCTACGGAAAGCCCAAAAAGAGGGGAGGGATACCCTTGAGCCCCCCTACCCCGGGTCATAAATGCCGATTTTCGTCAGAAGTATTGATTTTGAGAAAAGCACATGGTTGGGTAGCTCAAAGTGTCTATTTTCTAATGGCATAATTTTTGTGTCGATAGGATAGGTTTTCATAGCTTCTGAGCGAGTTTTCCAGAAGTCCTATAGCAGAAAAACTGAGTTTTTTTGCACTTGTATTGCATAAGCGCACGTATGTGTCGCACATGGCCGCGCACATGTTCATTAAATCCGCCATGGCCGATAACCTATAGCAAAATATCAGTAAATTGTATAACGCTCAAACAGTTGTTAAGTAAAACGCATTTAACAGAATCAAAACTTATTTTGCGTTTTTCTTAAGACCATATTTTAGCTTCAGGGCTTTCGCCACGCACAGGAATTCTCGGTAACGATACATTGGAGAAAGAAATTTTGTTTTTCGATTTGTAGATAACACCTATAGGTAGGAGTTGACAAAGTCCGATTTTAAAATTATGCTTCTATTTTTTATAGAAATGAGGAGGATTTCCAAGAAACCTTCCAAGGACTTTAAAAGTTCTATTGAGTATCAGAAATCAGTAAATGAGAAATTCAAAAATCGAGCTCTGTCAACTCCTAGGCATAGGTGTTTACTGCAAAACAAAAGCAGCCCGAGTTCTCTATCATTTACCTGGAATGAGCATTCCTGTGCGTGGTAGACGCCTAATTTCGGCCCTTGTTGTGATGTCCTCTCACAAACAGCTGCAAGTAACACCAAAAAAAAATTCGTTACCACACCTTGACATGGTGAACATTTCCTGAAAGTTTGGTCCAGATCCGACCTACCTGGGCTGAGATAGGTTTTGTGGCCCGAGGAGGGGGTCCTTACGTGGCCTTCAGCAAAAAATTCCTCACTAATTAACTCTAGTTTATTTGCACACAAAAAATTACTTAAGAATGTTTATTGTTGATGGTCTATAAGATCGACAAGGGCACTTTTTACTGTTGATCAAGATTTTCCACATGGTTGGTAAAGTCAAAGTTTTACGCTGTCTGAGTATCGACAAAGTATGAAAACTATTCCAGTCAATAGAGGAAAAACCAAGGGTCATTTTACTAAAAAAAAGATTTTCGAACAGCTGCCATCTTCAAGGAAAAAAGTTGTCTTTAAGCCAAAAGTGACATGGATTATCAAATAGCCTCTCTACTCCATTACTATGACGGTAAAAATTTTTTTCTAAAGATACGTTGCGAAAGAGCGTCAAAAAATGAGTAAGATAATGTGCTTAGTTGGATTTGTTCAACATCAACTGTTTGATTACCACGTTTTATATTGACATGAAGACGCTCTATCAATGGTTTCTCCTCTATCGAGGGAGATAGTTTTCATACTTTGTCGATACTAAGACACCGTAAAACTTTGACTTTACCAACCATGTGGAAAATCTTGATCAACAGTAAAAAGTGCCTTTGACAATCTTACAGACGTAGAACTATCAACAATGAACATTCTTAAGTAACTTTTTGTATACAAAATAACTAGAATTAGTTAGTGAGGAATTTTTTGCTAATAGCAGCTTAATCAAAAGGTGTTTTTCTTTTTCTAATTCAGTTACACTTGAAACAATCAAGAGAATTGCCTGTATGGAAAATTTTGGCCACCACTGTATATATATAATTTTTAAAACCAAAAAACATTTGGTTTCCTCAATCAATAAACCTACCTTTATATCAAGTATCATCTGATCCTCAGTTGGGTTTTCTAATTTTTCGTCTTCCAATAATTTCATCTATAAAGCGGAAAAATAACAAAGCTCAAAAAAAAACACACGCACACTCACTCACACCCACACGATTTTATAAGCACCCATTTCTATGATAGAAGCCATTTAGCATTTTTGTAAAAGATTTTTTGTATTCACAGTTTATTTAGTCAACTTCTGCTGGAAAGTAACAGTATCAGGAAATATTGGCAAGCACAGCGACTACAGTTTTTCTTACGAGTATCCAAGATGTCTATTGTTATGTGCGGGGCTGTGTTATATTCTAATTTGGCTAAAAATGTGCTGTGGTCAGCGTGAACGCGAATGAATACTATATTAGGCTTTACATAGTGCCTAGTATCGCTAATGCTTTCCTCCCTTGTTCTGTAGCAAAAGCAATAAATATCACTCTAAACACAAAACTACGAAAAGGATTGGAGATCTTTATCTTGTTTATGTGTATCCCATGTGTAAATTTCTTAGAACAACTTACTTCAATCAATTTGTGTTTAGCCATTTGTACTAATTCTTGTTCTCGTCCACCAAACATATTCATTCCAATTGGTAACAAACGTTTCATACAAGCAACGCTTAGTGATGTAAATTTTTCTTTATCCATACGACGTTTTTTTCGTTTCTGTTTTAATGGCATAGATCCGCCACCACCACCACCATCATGACCACCCAAAGTTTTCATCATATCAATTTGTCCACCACTACTGCTTCCAGCAGTAGTACTTGCAGCAGTCGCCGATGATGCATTACTACCAGTTGCTGAACTGGATGAACCACCAGTACTTGGCATTAACATACTCGTGTTATCAATTTCATGTTGTGTAACAAAATTCAATTCTTCTCGTTTAAAAAATTTTGATCTACACCATGTTGAAAATACTTCGGCCATATTATTATATAATTCACTGGCATAGGGATCACCAGTTTTTAACCAATATGAACGATGTAAATCAACATATTTAACTAACAATGGGCCAAATGCATACACATCACGAACTAATATTTCATAATTCTTAAACAACAAAAAGAAAGATATATAAGTTCTGTTTTAAGCATCCATCAACTATTACCTTCATCAATGATGTTTCTAAATCTTCTCTGTCGGAGGATTCTAATCGTGTGGCATGTTTAAGATTTTCTTCTTGATAATATAAATCATCACTTTTTAATTTCAAACGTTGAGATACCGGAAGAAAATATTTTTCTAATAAACTTGTTGACGAATTCAATATTATCGCTTGAGTATAAACTACAAAAATAAAAACGCTGTCAGTGCACATGCTATCTTCTATAAGTCAAACCGAAGTTATCTTTACCTGCAATACGTTTCATCCATGGTGCGTCTTGAGCATCAATACTATTATTAATTAATTTTAATACACTTCCTAGTACAGAATTCATATGATCCGTTGTCACATTTGTGACTTTGGCACTAAAAGATCAATCATTTATTAATGATGAATAAGAATACAATTATGAGAGACGATAAGAACTCACTCATCTGCTTGTTTGACTTTTTGTGGACCATAATTCCACCAAAATGGTAAATATGAACAAACAGAGGGTAATATTACTTCAACTAAATGTGGTGCCTCTTCATATTTTGAACCGGAATCAGCATGTTCTTCAATATCAGCTATGACTTTTGTTAAATGTGGAATTGTTTGTGCAATATTTGTCATTACATCTTGAGCCTCAGGCGATAGTTGCGATATATTTGATGCATGTTTATTGTTACGATTAAATTCTGGTTCAAAAAATGCAACAGGAAAACAGGAGGCAAATGAACTAAGACATTCTCCTAATAATGGACGATGTCTAAAAAAAAAAAATCATAAAAATATTTTGAATGAATTAAATTTTAAATTTAACTTACCGATTTAATTCATCAATAATCCATTCACTACAATAAAGAATAAGTTAGAGAAAAATTAATTAATAAAAGTATTTTAAACTTATACCGATTGACAAATTTTGTTCCTTGTGTACCAATGACCCATAGAGCATTTAGAATTTTATAACCGGCTAATTGTATTTCATTTTCAAATACATCAATACCATATTGATTTTTTCCTAAATGATCAAACATTGATGCCAAAACGGGTAATAGTACCATGTGTATGTACGATAGACTCGTTGCTCCACGTTGTAATGTTCCTTTAATTTGACTATATCGTCCTTGTTGAAGATTTTGTACTGTTTGATTTAAATCCTCGGCTATATTATTAAACAATGGTAACAATGACGCACGTACCATTTCTTGTGAATTTTTCATTACAGAACTAGATTATAAAATAAATCAAGTTAATATTTTCATCAGTAATTTTTATTTTTTTGCAAGTTATTCTTCTTACCTAACATCAATTGCTCGTACAAGAACTTTTAAACATCTAACAGATATATTAACATCATTTCCAAATGCCGTAAATTTGTGTCGTAATAAAAATGCTAATTTACAAAATAAACTACAACTCATTTCTTTTTCTTTAACCGATGCATAACCAACACCTGTTTTTAATGATGCTGGCATAATAAAATAATGTCGTTGAGCTTGAAAATATCGTTCAACTAAAGGTAATACTACCTAAATAAAATAAATATTATTAATCTTTTTTATCTATCTATTTGGAATTATTATTCTATTTACTTTTCCAAAAAATTTAACATCTTTTGTTGATAAACGATAACTTTCATGTAATGAAAATTTTGAACTTTCTTTATAATTTTGCATATTGTATGCAGCACGTTCAACATATTCAAGTAATTTTTCTAATAAACTGAATGCAAAACGTTTTTCGGTCGTATGTGGTGTTGAGAGAGATGATGCTAAATTATTTTCATCCTCTCTATTCATTCTAAAAATTTATAAATAAATAAATATAAAGTATCTAAATAATTATAAATAATCATACTTTATTTTATTAATATTTGTATCATTACGATCATCCGAAAGATTTCTGACAAAAACACAAACATCAAGACAACAGAATAACAATGACAACATCTTTTATACATACTTATTTACACGATAACCAAATGTATAAAGATATTTAACTAATTCTTGATAAAATTTACGATTTTTTTGTTTTTCTTTATCAGTTAATAAATCATAGGGTACAAGACGAGGATGTAAACCTCCACCTAAAAATAAGAATAGATATCTAAAATGGAATAAAAAAAAAATTCAATTTAAACTATTACTTACCAATTGCATTCAAACGATTTTTCATTTGTCGTGTCCACAATTCATGTGCATTCTCTCCTAATGCTTCAGAAAGATCCTATAATCATTAATAAAAATGAAAATATTAATAGTCAAAGAAAACTTTATTATTTATTTATATACCTGCATTTCTCTTGTTAACGTTATACTAGAAAAATCCATTGCTTTTGGAAGATAATCGGGTGTTTTATTATCCTAAAAAAATAATATAAAAATGAAAAAAAAAAATTTAAATATTTCATAGTTTAACGATCAATAGAGAGATTCATTACTTTTTGCTTTTTTCGTTGTAATGGTTTTGTTGCTACACGAGTTGAACCACTGTCTGTTTTTTCCAAATGAAATTGTAATTTATCTACTGCTTTTAGAGCTTCACGTATGGGCTCTTCAATTTTAGCATGATCCTACGATATAAAAACAATTTTCTCTTTCACTATTCTTCAACAAATAATCCTATTTGTTTACTTTTCGATCCAACATTTTATATGGTCTTATATTTGGATGTTGACGATATTTATCATTAATTTGTTCACCATATATCCAACCTTGTTCAATCTAACAAATAAAAATATAATTTAAAATATTTATTAATCTATATTCATTTTTCTTACTTTGGCATAGCTCCATTGATCATGTACACTCTCAGCATATGCTTTAACAAATTCTTCTAGATTTGAACTTAATGTAATACTAGAATAAAGATTATACAAATATATGATGAAAAAAATGATTATTAATTATTTTATGATAAATACCCCGTAGTATCAACAGGATTTGGTTCATATCCTCGTTGTAATTCCACTCGTTCTCGTTCATAGTCAATGTTATCCTGTGCATTGATTGAATAAGAATAATCAGGTGATAATGCACTACCAATGGCTGATAAACATGGTAATGCTTTGATAAATAATTCTGGATCATAAGCCTAAAATTAAGTCATTGTATTTTTAATAATCGTATTATTATTCATATTACACAGTGGGCATAGAGGCGGACATTTGGCCAAAAATCGAAAGTGCTCTTTTTTGTAATTTGAATAGTCTAGAATATGCATCTCGGAGAGCTATCGAATGGCGTAAAAATTTTTGTTCTGAGGTTTCTCGTTTGGGAAATATCCAGTAAAGAAAAATCGGTTATATGAGGAAAACGCTGCGCTCAATATAATTGAGACACGCAAGTTAGCGCAAGTCTGATTTCATTTTTTTTGCGTCAAAATGTTCATTAGCATGTCCAGTATCCGTGGTGCATGCGGTTTTATACGGGTTTGCTTCTAGGCTTTTCGACAGGTTTTCCAAAAACCCTTGTTTTTGAGGTATTTTCCTCAGCTGAGAAACACTTTTATTGAAAATTAACGTAATATTCGAAATCAGTATGAAAAATTGCATTGTGTGATGTATAATTTGTCAATTTTGTAAATAAAATAGTTTTTGACAAAAATTCAGGGCAAAGGTCCTCTAAGGAACTTTTTTATCAAAAAAACTTTTTTTTTGAATTCGAGTTTTTTTACTTTTATTAAAGTCTGACGCATAATAACACCATATTATGCGAAAATAATCATTTTTTAACTAAAAAGAACGAGATGTCCGCCTGCTCTATGGAAAATGCCCGCTGTGTATTACTATAAAAATATTATGTTACACACTCGAGAGGCTAATGCATCAAATATTTTTTGAAATAATATCATTGTTAAACGTTTTTCTTCTTCTGTAGCACTCGTACTATAATATCGTCCACATCGTTCGTACCATTGTGTTAACATCTGTAATGAATAAAAACATGTTTTTATATAAAAAATATATTATTATAAAGTAATAACCTACTCTTAATGGGACAATAGTTTGATCGGTTAATGCAGGTATATCATGAATTAATTTTCGTAATAATGGTGTCATCATTGATGGTTTCAACGTACTATAAGCAAAAAAAGATTGTTAAAAAGAGAAAGGTGGATATACTATTATTTCAATATTAAAATTATACATACGTGGCAAATGCTAATAAAAATTCACAAACAGTATCCAATTGATTTTTTGTTAATGATCGACATTTTGATAATCGATAGACTGTGTGTAATGTTGATTCTAATAATGATGAACGATGATCGCTATCATCAAAATAAGTTGCATGATTTGTCATTAATGGTATTATACTGTTACATATATAACGATTTAATGCTAATGCCATATCGCTTTCAGATGCTGCTGCCATATCCAAAATAGTAGCTGCTCGTATATCAGGAAGAAATGCATCTTCTAATAGACGAAAAAATGTTTCTTGATCTGGTATACCGTAGACACGTTCTAAAAATAGGATTATTGACATTTTATGAGCTGGTTGTAATCCTGGTGGCATCGCTTCTTCATCTAAATATAAATATTAATATTTTAATATTTATTCTCAATATATATATTTATTTTGTATAATTTTAACTTACTTGGTAATAAAAATTTTAATCCAAGTACACCTTCTAAATCATGCATGGATACTAAACTTTTTAATATTGATTTAGCTCTTACAGCACTTGGTTTTCCCATTTTAATTGTTTCTTCTGATGGTGCACAACGTCCTAATAATTCCACTAATATTGCATAAAATGATAATTCGGCAGCACCCAAATCAATATATTCTTCATCATCTTCATATGGTAAACGAACTTGTAATCGATCACTAAAGAAAAAAGGATTTACGATAGAATAAAAACAACAATAACTAGAGTGGATCATATTTCTACAAGAATAAAAAATGACATCTAACATGCGAACTATTGAACAAAAAAACAAAATCTATTCTACTACATGTGAGACAAGAAGATGAACGTCAACAAAAAAAAAAAGGTGTCTATAATACCTGTCCTTTCTTTTTGACCATCGACTACTGAAAAAGGTTTGAAAGAAAGTTGTATTTCAAACATCAATAATTACTATAGTATATAGATTTATACGTTCTATGCTAGTAGTAAATTAAATTTATTTAGAAGGTAAATGAGAAAATGAAATGTCATCAATTTTTTTACTTAACAGTATGGTCTGGTCATGTAACGGTCTACCTTTCTTTTTCCATCCATTACGGCGCCTTATAAATCGAGATTTCGTTCGATTGCTTTGGAACTTTTTTCTAGTGTAACTTACACTACTACCTCCTAACAGTGAAAAATATAGAACGATCGGACAAGATCTCGATCTAAGACGCCATAACAGACGGAAATCTTCGCTTGACCAGACCGAGTACTACTTTTTGTAAATTGTAAATTATATTTTTGAATTTTACTTACTAATCATCATTTAAACCGTGCATACTTTCATCATCCATTATTTCTTGATAAGCTGATTGTATCAAAGGATCATTCGCATTTTGTCTTCAATTAGTAAAAAAGATAAATATTATTATATACCATAAAATAAATAATAAATAATTTTTACCTTCGTGCTATATATAACGATTGTGCAATACCTTCTTTAATGGCTTTTAATAGACCACCACCTTCACCACGTAATGCTGGTCCCAAACAATCTGGACGACGTATTAATAAGCGTACAACTAAATCAGCATTTTCTTCGACAGTATCACCTTAAAAAAACCAAAGAAAATATATTTCAATTTTATTATTAATTATTAAATTTTTAACACAAACTTACCATTAACCCAAACACAAAATTTAAGAAAATCTAAAAATCGTTCTCCTTCAACAGGATCCCATCCAATATCATGATAACCTTGTAAAAATAATTCTTCATTTCTTGTTGTACCACAACGTGATAAATAAGATGCTATTTTTTCTAAATGTGATTCACGTAATGCTAAGGCCAGTTCATTATTATCCATGACACTGGCACATGCAACATCTAATGGAGATGAACCACGCAATGATGGACGAGCTAAATAATGAATAGATAAAAATTATTTGAATAAAATATTTGATTTAAAATGATAAACTTACACAATAACATTGAACTATTCTCTAGTAGATAACTTAAATGTTCAAACATGGCACGTTGATTATGACGTGATGTACGACAAAAATAGGATAAAAATTTACAACATGTTGTAACTAATTCTACTTTATCCTCCTGTTATTTTTTTATTAATAAAATAAAATAGATATCAAAAATAATATTAAAATAGAAATCGTCCATTATTTTAACATACTTTTTGTACATGTGGTTCTTGATTTTCACCTTCAATTGTCGGTATTAAACCGTTAATATCATTCGAACTGGACATTGAACTTTGTTCTTGTTTACTTTTATTTAGACGATTAACCATAATGGCCATAATTGTTTCATGAACACATAATGAACGCATCAAATCAGGATGTTGATAAAATACTTTATTATCCATTATATCACTAAATAAATATATATATATATAGATGGATAGATATTTTTTGAAAATTTTCAAATAAAAATATAGATAAAATAAATATTTTACATACTTTAAACATCGAATCATTATTTCTTCTTCATCAGCATCCATTTGAACAGTTATTAATGCACGTACAATACTTAATTGACGAAGTAATTGAGTTATATCACGAACAGATTTTTCACTAATTGTATACGTTTTTTCAAGACATCGAGCAATCTATTAATAATATATACATATGTTTGACTATATGTTTATTATTATTACTAATATTTAACTTACTTCTCCAATACCATCATATTGACGATAAAGTAATTTAAACATTTCTCGTATTAAATAAGGATCATTTATATGTGTTGCATAACCCCATTTGATTATTGTTGCTTTAATTACTTCACATAATGTTTCTAAATAAATTTAAAAAATAAAAAACATATATCTATCAATCATAAGATAAATTTTAGTAAAATATCTTATATGATCATCTATTTTTATTAATAAAACTTTGAGACATACTTCCACGTTTCGATGTTAATTCTTTTGTCATATTTGTTAACATATTTGGATTCGTTTTTTCTCTCATTGCTCGTTGAATAATAATTTTTAATAAACGTTCAAAAAGTGATAATGATAAATTTGGATCAATTTGATTTATCAATGCTAATGGATCAATATCACTATTTGTCTAAAATAAAAACATTTAAACGAAATTAAATTATTAAAATTGACTAAATATATTTAATTAGTTCTACTTGTTTCACTTGTTGTAAAAATAAAAGATTTGAATGAAAATTTTTTAATGCTTCTTTAATTTCTTCTTGCATATCTTCATTTCCAATTAATGTTTCATCATCATTTCGTTTAAAATTCATTAATGCTTGCATCTATTATTCAAAAATAAATAAATAATAATAAACAATGATTTTCATTGTTTTAACGACAAAATTGCTCACTTGATCTTTAGCTGGACAACGAAATTCTTTTGTTTTCTTCGCCATAAGTGCCGGTGGTAAACTCGACTCTTTTAAAACATTATATCGTCTTTTTTGATCCTTAAATAAAAATTAAAAATGAATGAATCTTTTTTGTGTTTTAGATTTATGAAATATCATCTGTCAGTCTGTTATCACTTGCTCGATCGGGCAATATTGCCTGAACAGTCAAATTAACCGTTCGGGCAAGGTCTCATCTCGAGAACCATCAGTCGTCTAATGGGCGGAAAGTGTTCATTCTACTTCTCGTGCACTGATTATTCACCGTATATGAAAGGTAAGTGTTCAATCTCCTTTCTCTTTTATGACAGAGACGAACAGCAAACATAGCTCAATTTTGAGCAATTTATCTTGCCTGATTTGGCAATATTGCTCGTTCAGGCCAGATTGATATTGCCTGTTCGGGTAAGGTATCTTCCCCGATCTTTCGTCCTTGCCTGATCGGGAAATATTGTTCGAACGGGCAAGTTTGCCCGATCAGGCAAGCTAATCCTGGGGTAGATATAGCTGGTCAGTTTTCCAACCGTACAAGAAAGCGCCGTATCATCCGGGGAAAACTCTACTTGATGCAGTTTTTGTCGCTCTGTCACGTGGAATAAGTGTCTACATGCGCCATAGCTTTGATTTATGCGCTAATCTGTTGAAAGAAGAAAATGTGAAAATCTTGCCGAAACGGGTAAGATACTCCTTGCTCGATCGGGCGAAAATGAGGCTTCTTGCCTGATCTTGCAAGGTATATTGCCCGTTCCGACAGTAAACCCCTAGAAGATGCTTCTTCTCCACTCTGGCAAAATAAGCACCTCTCCACTGTGGGTAAGCGTCATTTTACGCAGTTTTTGACGCTCTTTCAAGTGGAATAAGTCTCTTTATGCGTTATTGCTTTTATTTTTGCGTTGATACGTTGCGAGAAAAAAATGTGACAATCTGACCAAAAGGGGTAAGATACTCTTGCCCGATAAGGCCATATTGCCTCTTCGGGCAATATATCTTGCCAGAACGGGCAATCTTGGCCGATCGGGCCAGAAAGCGTGACAACGGACTATCTGTGTGTGTTTCAGATACATACAACTTGAACTCGAGCAACAAATTCTTCGGAAAAAGCAACAATTGCTTCAATACGATATTGTAATTGAAAATCGCATAAATGATGTAGTACAAAACACATTTGAAGTTTAACTGGTTCATCTAATTTCATTTGTAATAAGCCTTCTTCAATATTTGACAATTCTTCTACAACAAAAAATACACGTATATTTCAGTTTAACGCTCAAAATTCGATATGATTAACACTTTTATCATAATTTGTTTCAAATGCTATTGGATCAATTAATATCAATAATTGTTGAATATCGTTGGCACCCAATAGTCCCATGACCAGCAAAGCATCAACCAATTGTAATAAAGGACTAAAGAAGAATAAATAAAAAACTATTATACAATAGAAAACTCGATAAAATGTATTGTCACTTACACAAACCAATTTGAATAGGAACCACCAACTGGATCACGAAGATGTCTGGCACTTTTTTCAATTGCATCTGTTATCGATGACATAACGTATTCTTTTAATGATGCAACATTAAATGGTGGTGGTACCAATAATTTACGTTCACGTTCAGATTTAATACTAGGTAAAATTGAAAACAAAAAATATCAATGTTTCAATCAGATTGGAATAAAATTTATAATACTTACTCTTCTTCTTTAATCAATTTTGGTCTTACAGATAGAAAATGTTCCATTGGTGGTATATACGATGATGTTGTCGGTTTTTGTATTTCATATGAGTCGTGTGTACGTAATAGAACATTTTTTCTCAAAGAACTTGATAGCGGTATAATAAATTCGTTTGATGTTAAACTTTTTCCACGTACATGTGGTTCAAAATGGAGAGCAATTAATAAATTATGAATACCAGTACGTAATGAACCACAAAGATCTACAAAATTATTCAAATTATATATACATAAGTGTTTAAATCTTATTAGAAAGAAAATATTTCCTATTTACATGGATTTTTTATACAATGCATCAATTGTTTTTCATCAATTAATTTACAGACTTCATGAGCCACTCTATTATTTCCTTGAGCACATATTGCATTATATAATGTTAGTGTATTTGCACAAAAACTAGAATAAAAAGTAATACAAATAAAATAAAATTTATCTCTAAACAGAATAAAGTTTACCTTAAATTAGCTTCATTTTCAACTAGACTTAGAATATCTGTACAGCGATCTTCTTCGGGTATATACACGCCCTCCATTTGGACTACAAAAAAAGAAGCATTTTAAATTATTACTTCAGAATAAAAAAATGTGGAAATTTTCAAATGACATACCCGGATCTTCACAGAAAACGCTCCATCCTCGTAGATCTGATAGTTTTAATTGTTGACAACGGAGATTAGTATTCGGTACACGTGACCAATGACAAAGTTGTAATACTTGTAATTGAAGACGTGGTGGTAATCGTGGAAGAAAACGTTCTTCTTTTCCAAGTGAGGGAAAAAGAGCTGCACACAGTGGTAAAACTCCCTAAAAAAATATAAATTATTTTGAGTTGTATTTTATAAAGTAGAAAAGAAAGTATTTTACCTTAATTCGTCCTAATTCAAATTGTAAAACTTCTTTAGCTGTTGGCTCAACAAATACGGCTGGATATAATTTAGTGCCTGGTTCAACCTGTTTGAGAGAGAGTGAGAGATGTTTTACACCATTAATTTTTAACAGACAATGATGTTACTTCTGATTTTTGAGTTGACTCTTTTCCATTAACATAAAATGTTAATTGTCCCGTGGATATATCACAAACACACCCGATCAGTAGACCATTTGTCACTCGACGAGCAACTGCTTCCGTATCGGGCATAGTTTCTAACAGATCCCATGCCGAAAACAGATAAGAATCACTATGTGTAACACTCTCTAAAATAGATCCGTCTTCAGCTGTTTGTGTTATTGTGCATTTTCGAGCAAGTTTAGACAATCTTCCACTGGCATTATTAGCTGGTGTGGTTGACGAGGATGATGTTGTGACTGATGGTGATGTTGAAGAATTTGTTGAGTGTTGTCCATCTTGTAATATTGGCTTAAATTTGGATGTTACCCACCCAATATAAACTGTTTTTGGATCTTGAGATGGAAATATTCGTATTGAATAATAATATTCGTGAATATGATCAATGGTCGCTCGTATTTCGTCTGTATCTAATTCTGTTGTTTGAAAAGCTTCTTCATTTTCACCTTCAATATATGATCGTCGAGCTGCGCCCCGTTTGGGTGCTTGTAATGTTGACGATTTTAGTGCAGATTGTGGCTGTAGACCATCAGCAGTGAGCGTAGCATTTGAATTGATATTAGTAGAACTATTCTTTACTGAACGTTTACCCAGTTTTGCGTTGTCTGAATCGGCACGATTCGTATCTTTAGAAAAACGATTTAGAAAATGGTTAAGTTTATTGCCAGGTGATTTCAAACGTTGTGTAACTGGAACTGTTAAATGATCCGATGAACCATTTAACATATGTGAATCTCCATTAATATGTGGTGTAGTTGGTGGAGAGGGTGATTTACTCTTTTTTGATGTTGTTGAGTCTGTGAATTTAACTAACAAGGGATTACGTAAACCTTTATTGGATGCTGCTAATGGATTATTCCCAGCTGTTGTGTGTAAACTATCAGGAGAAAGAAAATTAGAATTTGTTGTTAAATCGGATGCTGTTGTTAAACGTGAATCAATGGTATCTGTGGTGCCGGGAGTTAGAGATAGCCGACGAATACCAGGAACGGATAGAGGAAAAGAAAAGGCTAAAATAAAAATATTCTGATCTATTGTTAACAAAGTTTGTCATTTCTTTTATAAGCATACCTCTTTTTTCTTCTTGTTGATCAAGAAATTCATTTAATGCAATTTGTCGACGCTCTTTTGTAATATGCCTAAATAATTTAAATAAGAATCCATTTGCTTTGCCTAGTTCAAATATATGTCTTACTTTGGTGTAAATTTATCATGACATGCTAAAGGCAACGACAAACGTAAATATTCAAATTGAACTTTATCTAATGTGCCAAATAATTTTGATACCAATTTAATTGATGGTGGATTATCTCTACTAGCACCAATACGTATAACTTCTAATGAATTTGAATTTGATGATACATTCGAAAAACGTGGAATAAAATTTGAATACCAGAATGTTAAATTTCTTGACATATTACTTGAAAAATGATTAGAGAGAGAGAAATAGAGATACTTAAAAAGAGTAACAAGAATGAATGTATTAGTTACTTACACACAGAACGGCTCGTAACCTTCTTGTAAACCACATGAAGTAAAATATTTTAAGGAATTAACATCTTGTCCAAAATTGATTCGAGCTTTTTGTCCCACAAAAAATGTTATAGCTGGTACAAAACCTTGAATAGAATTATTTTTAAAAAAGTTAAATCGTAGAGAAGAGAACCGTTACACTACTTACCATCATCAACTTCAAGATTGTCAAACGCCGTTTCATTGCCGTAATTATCTAACATTAATTCTCCGTTAAGCGAATAGCTAATGGTTTTATCATGTAAATCAATCATAGTTCCGATTACATCTCCGCTTTGCCACTGTTTTCCGAATGAATCTGATGAATTTTGATGCCAACGTCTTGCATAGTGACCATCAAAAACGTATGCATTCGAATCTGTACCTAATTGATGAAAACAATCAACATTTGACGCTTTGCACCAACCCACCAACATTTGTCCAGCTGTTATCAATTCAAATTCATAATACCATTTGCCTTTTGTAACCGCAAATGTTTTTTCTGCACGATATGTACGATAGAGTTGAATACGTTTACTATTATTATTAGAATTATATGCTGATGCTGATGACGATTTTGTTGCTTTTGAACGACGTGTAATATCTTCAACATCACCCGATGGAGCATCAATTGTGTATCCGTAGGCTAACAGAGTTTTAACCGTTTCACTTGCTGTATCACGATTAATCTTTTTAATGCTATCATCAACAATTGCATAAGGTATTAAATGTGGACTACGTTTATGACGTATATTCTGCAAGAAAATATTTAATATTAATCATGTTAATATTATTCGATAATATGAAAAGCTGCTTACGTCGGATACACCATAACTCCACCCATCTTTAATACGTCCAATTGCCCATACATTGTGCGTATTTTCTGCTAATATATCAATTAATTCATCCATTTTGGTACTCAATTGTATACTTGTCAAATCTAGTGGCTGTGGTTTATAACCATTTCCTTGAACATACGTATTTGAAAGTTTAACATATTTCAAACGTCTTTCATCTGTCTTTATATCAATGCCAATGTGATAGCCGAGTGCTAATAAACTCCTGAAAACATTTTTGTGTTTATTTCGAAAAAGATTAGTATGAATAATACAATTTATTACTTAAGATTTTCCATAGCTGTTGTAATATCGTATTGTTTTTCAGTCATCGGTAATTTATCAAACGATGTCAAACATGGATGCATTTTTTGCATATCATCACGAAACTAGAATAAACATAATTGGATTCAAATTAATTCAATGTTAATCTCTCTAATCATTTCTTTTTGCCTCTCCATATCGCCAACCACTGGCAATTTTGTTCATTGACCATAATTCGTGTATATTTTCGGCCAATTTATCACGTACACTTTCAAGAAAAACAGGAACATTCACCTAAATAAAAACCAACTTATAGTAGATGTATAAAAAGTCATAATACAGTTTTTCTTCTCTCTTTACATGTGATGTATCAACTGGCTGCGGTGTAAATGCGATATTGTATTGTATTGCAGATGGACCTTCTAGACGATTTCTTTCAATATTGCCAAAGGTAAAACAAGGTTCAATTAAAACTTTTTGTTTCATCAGCATTGCTTCATATAGTGGCGCAGCACCCTCCGGTGGACGATGAGAAAAACGACCGTGTTCACCCCCAAGAATAAATCGACAACTAAATATCAATACTCGTTTTTTTATTACAATTGTATATAAAATGTAATATTTCTACCTGACTCTCGATGACAATGATATAGCTGGATAAAACATTCCAGTCAGATTAAATTCTCTTAATAAACCTTTGACGGGTAAACCATTTAATGAAAACCACATTTCTGGTATATGTAAGTCTAACAGACAACCAATAACATCATTTTTCTTCAGTTCATTTGTTGCTGTTTTTCCACCGTTATTATTCACCTCATACGAACGACCAGCAAACCACACACTATTACCATCAAAGCCATATGAGTATGTATTGTCACCAATACCAATTGCTGACATTCCATCACCGTGACCAGGTGATGGTAGAAAATGAGTTGTTGCCCATCCAATACGAATATGTGGTTTAACATGTGTTACTTGTTCAATATGATCAATAACAACTTCATAATACCATTTTTTATACATCGAATCACCATCTTCAACACCAACAAGAATATTTGGTCGCATACTAAATAAATACAGAAACAAATGTACTAGTTGTATATTTGAAAAAAAGAATTTTTTTGTTTTTGTCTCACCATGTGACATGATCAATGAGTGCTGTTTGTAGTAATAAATCACGTCGTTGTAATACACTCTCGCATATAACATTTTGATTTGCTCTAACAGCAACACCGTTGTTAACACATAACGAACATAAAACATCTAAAACTTTTGGATCACGTCCATTACGATCCAATAAGGCAATAATTGCTAATATATGAGATTCTGTTATCATATTTAATACTTCTGGGCTATCAACTAGTACACTATGCAATACTTCTAAGACACCTCGACTCGCTTGTTGTGATTGCAATCGATTAACAAGCCAATTTAACCTTGCACTTTGAGCAAAATTTGAACAATTATTTCTATTTCCTTTGATCATTGCCGCTAACACAACATATAATTTATCGGTAATATCTTCAATTTTTTCCATTATATCTTCTAATAGTATCGTTTTATCACGACGTTCGCTAAAGAAGTTAATTGCCGACATTAATATTCGAATCATTCCCTGAAAAGAAGACAGATCTATGTGTAAAAAAACTATCGTATTTTAACAAATATAAATTCTGACTTCTTCTTGAAATAAATCTTGTCGATTTCTTAACGCTTTTAAATGTAATTGTTTTTCTTCATGATCTAATGATGGATCGGGTTGTGAAAAAAATCCAATTAAATCTTGTAATAATCCTTGTACAACATCACTTTTACTTAATAAATGATTAACAGCTTCGGAATCAATTGAACTAAATAAATGAAATAGAAGATGTATATGTCAACGAATAACAACAATATCGCTTACTCTGTACGGTTAAATCGGCCTAATATTGCATTACATATTCTAATTACCAATGCTGTTTTTTGTTCTTCTTCTTGTGCACGAACGAGTTTGAAACAGTCGTCCATATGACCTTCAACAGCTGGAATAATTCGTTTTTCTTCTACTTTTCCAATTCCTTTAATTGTCAATTCTAATGTTTCGTATGAAATCCATAAGTCTGAATCAACATGTCTTATAAAGATCACTGTATCGCCATACTTCACTGTTGGTGAACCCAAATTTTCTTGTTCTTGTATTTCTTCAATTTGTTTTTCCTAGAAAACAATAATCTTTATGTTTGGTATATACATACACACATACAAACGTACTTTAGACATTTTCAGTTCAAACGTGACCATTTGTACATTGGCATTCTTCTTTGATATACATGTTACTCTTGGAGCATTATTTTCATCAGCTAATACAGCCAAATATAGACCAGATGTCACATGTCGAAGACGAACCAATGCACTCCATGTAACAAATCCCGAATACCATCTAAATAAAATAATTTAACGGTTCTTCTTAATCATGAATAAAAAATTAAAGATTTCGTACTTTATTTTAAAACATTCTATGCGCCACAATGATCGAGCTTGGTGACATGCAGCACCACCTTTGATAAACAAACTAAAATGAAGAATATATTTATACATAGTAAAATCTTCTTAAACAGCAACAATGTGACTTTTACCTTCCAGGATCATCTATCACCGTGCTATCTGGTGGTGGTGTGGTAATACAATGATCCATATTACCGTGGACAATCCTAACAACATCACCGCCCACGACATATCCTATAACAAGAAACTTAGATACGATATTTTCTTGTTAATTTTATTTCATTTTTCTGTACCAGGATTTTTCACTCTTGCCACGCCACTAGATATTGGCACGAGACTCCATACTTGTTGACGAAATGATGCATTAACACGGCCTCGTTCACTAACTGACATATACGCATGCTAAATATAAAAACAGATTTACGTATTATACATACATCAATCAAAATTTCCATACTAAATATCGTTCGGAAAAAACTGAAACTAAAATAACATCGTCGTTAAATCGAACTTTCTCGCCTTCACTTCGTTGTTTGGATGCCGGATGAATTGTCCACCAGCATGATTCACCTAAAATTTAGGAGATTTATGTGGAATATCGAATACCAAAAACAAAAGCAGGCGTCTACTAGTGCACTGTGGATTTAGCTTTTTTCAATCCGATCCCAGTGCCGTTCAGAACATGAATCCGGAAAATAACTTTTCCGAGTCCTGATACTGAATTGGAGCCCGCAGAATTGGAAGCAGATTAAGCCCGTAGGACTTCAGATGTAAACGAAGATGTTCTTGATTACCTGACTGCACATAACATAGAATTCTCAACTATATGATTATTAGCTGCCGAAATACTCGTCATATCAGTCTCAAACATGGAGATAGAGAGCCTATTCTCTACTTCGAAAAGTAGAATTATTGATCGTCGAACACGACTGTGAACAGAAAAACTTAAGTTAATGTTTCTTGAACAAAATTTGTCTTCATTAAAACGTTTTGATACATTAATATCAATGGGAATAAACAGTTAGCAGTTACAAAGCTAAAACTCAATCAAAGTGCTGATAGTTTTAGCGACAGTGAAAAGCAATAGTTGTAAGAAAAGACTTCTTTCTATTTCTATTTTTGCCACAAATGTTCAGTTGGCTAGGAAAAGACTTTTTTCTTTTATTTTAAAAACTCTATAGGATTTCAATTCTGAGCTCGCGTGCTCGGTTTAAGTCCGAAGGACTTTATTAGCTATTTATGTACCTTGTGCGTGTTGGGTTAATCCAACGTCAAAGGCAAGCTTGTCGTTTGATGTACTTGTGGAAAGGCAGCATAAATACTGGAAAGAAAAAATAAAAGTATGAAACGGATCCAGAGTTGAAAAAATGACAAACCATTTGACTGTGGTAATGTCTTAATAAAACAGCATGTCCGTACAATAATGTTCGAAATGTTTGCCCTTGAGTAGCAGAAGACTAGAACAAAAGAGGAAAAATGATCCATATGGATAAAGACATCGTACTATATTCATACTTGTTGATTTTCGGATGATGATGTGTTGACCATTTCTTGCAAGGCCCGAACAGAAACAGCTTGTTCCAATACGAAGATACATGATGCCAAGTCAGGGCAACAAACCTACGTTAGTTATTAATACCGATAAGAAAGCTATAGCACGTATTTTCGCATGCTACCTAATCTTTTACTATTTTTTTTTTCAATTAATACCGTTCTCTTCCAAGAACAACTGTTTGGAAATATCAGGGTAGAAAAGCATGACAAAACGCGCTGCAAATAATAGAACTTAAATTAATTCCATCATCATGCGTACAAGCGCATACAGGGCAAAGCAAAAAGGCACATTCAAGCTTGATTTTGAAAGAAAATGAACACAGTTGACTGGATCATATTCTCACGATCGACGGATTCTCTAGTCATATGTATTTATTAATTATTAAATTATATCAAAAAATAACAATATACAACAAAAAAAGAAATTGGACAAAAATGAAGGAATAAGCAAGCTTTTCATCGACTCATTTTAAGTAGATCCTACCGTTTCCTCAATATCTAACTATCATAGAAAATTTCATTTCTCTATCGCCGTTCACTGTATCTATGCAATCTTTGCAGTAATTAGCATATCATAGGTAAGAATGAGCAGACAAGGTTAAATTGTCGTTCAATTCACGCTCATAACAAAGGGATTAAAGCACATGAAATACCCATGCGAAAAGCCGTATTTAACAAACAGCACTAACATGCAATGGCTTAACAAAAAATAGAAATTACATACAATGAAAACCAATACATAAGAAAGAGGAACACATATACATGAACAGGTAGAACGAGAAAAACAAATAGCAGGTTCTATTTAATTAATCAGTTATTTTTGTAGTACCTCATTTGATATGTCTTCTAGATAGCACATTCGATTTCCAAATGCTTCACCTGATAATGCCATTCTTTTTATACCCGATACTGGTACACAACTTAAACATAGATGATCTTCCTAAAAAAACAGTCAAGAGGAAAATTAATTAATTAACAGATAAAATCGTCAAATGAATAAACGAACCGTTCGCATAAACTGAACATCATCTTCTTCGGATGTTAGATGTTCTATCACCATTTTAGTTTAATAAGATAAAGTTCAATTTTTACAGATAGTAATAATTTCTTGGCTTTTATTTATTTTCTAAAAAGAACCGTTTTCTTTTCTCTCCTCTCCTTAAAAGCATATCATATAATAATAATATATCTAAACGAAAAGAAAAAATCAAATGACAGCAAGAAGTGTTATCAATAAAACAAAGCATTTCATTTTTAATTGCTCTCATTTCTAATCAATTGGAGAAAAGAAGATGACACATGAGTTCATAAAAAAAGAGAAGAAACAGGATATGTTTTTTTAATGAAATCAAACACACACACACACACACACCCTCACTCACACATACACACATATATCTATATATATATATACGCACACATACACACACATTTATATATAATAACCGAGGACAATAAAATGTGTTATTTAGCGGGACTAGAGAAAAGAGAATGGAAAAAAAGAAGGAATAGAAAAAGACAGAAAATGACTTCAAGGACAATGATGATACTGTATGCAATATAACTTACAGATACATCTTCTTCTTGACTTAGGATAATAGTTTTATTCATTGGAACGAATAGGAAAAAGAGAATAATTGGTGTACGATTAGATTTCTCATGAGATCGTTAGCGTGTAGAATGGAAAAGAAGAAAAAGCCGTTTTCGCTCTATCATGATTATTTTCAACCTAAATATATATGTACAACAAAGAAAGATTAATAGAAAACAAATTTAGTGAGTTACACAACGTTATTCAATGATTTGAACAATAACTAAGATTTATGAATAACTTAAGCATCCAAACACAATTAGGTTAATGAAAAGTAATCTTTGCTCAATGGCACATATATTCATTAATTTCAAAATAAAAATAACTTAGTATAAACGCTGAGTCATAAGATATATGAACGTTTGAGTAATCTATTAGTTTCTCTAGTACAAAAATGGCATAGAAAAATAAGTTAGAAAAAAATACTATTTTTTTTCTCGGAAAACATGGAAAATTTACTAGTAAATTAGTTGAAATGAACAAATCTGAACTATTGTAAATTTAGTCCACAATAATTTCCGTTTTTCTTAATTTACAGATCGAAAACAGGAAAACGCATAGACAAAACTGTCATTCTCATTATGATTTGATTACTCAATTGCTAATATTACTTTTTTTTTTTTATTGATAAACTTACGATGCATGCATATCTTTTAACATTTGCGTTTTTGTTTGTATCGCGGTCATTCTCATTTACTCCGTCCTCTTTAGATATTCAATGAACAATAACTATCTATTGTTGTCTTATAGTAACTTGCTTTCTATATTTGGATAATGCTGAGATTTTTTATATATATCGAGCAACACTCTTCGAACCTTATGTTTCATCATTATTTTGGCTGTAGATTAAATAGAACGCGACCTTTTTGTTTGTCACGAGAAGAAAAGAAAAGGATTTTTTTTTCTAGTCTGCAAATGGATTGTAGAGAGTGCATTATAACATCACGAAAGAACAAGGAATTTTTTTATTATATATTAACAATTTTTTTTTTTTTACTTGTCCATATGGTGCGATAACAGTTGCTATTGTTATTGTTTTTACACGTTTTCAGAGACTGTAGAGCGTTCTAGAAAGACATTCGTTAATTTCTAGTTTTCTTACTGATTTCTGATGAGGTATGTATGTGTGTATAGAAAATATTGTTAATGATCCGATCATAAGTTTTTGTAATAGTTATATATAATTTCTTCTATGTAAAACAATAATTCTTTCTGTATTAATATATTATTACTGATAAAAATGGTCTACAAAAAAATTCTGCATCATAACTCGACTTTCGTTTCATTTCCTGTTTAAATACGTGTACTGGAAGAAAAATGAATTTGTTTGTTTTACCATTGCAACAGGCACTTATCTTTATTAGAATTCCATCTTGATCCCGTATCTTCTTTTTCTTTTGGTGAATGAATAATAAATCACAGAATAGAAAAAATACTTACCTTTACTTTTTAAATAGTTTTTTTTCTGACGTCACGACGAACGAGGTCACTTTGTCTTTCCGATTAAACAATCAGAATTCAACTTTTGTTAGTTATTGATTAACTACACAAATTTAGTATTAAAAATTTAGTTTAATTGGATTACACAAGAAATGTATAAAAAATCACGCATAACATCACCAAATATACAAAAGAAGAAGAAAAAAAAAACGGGAAATAATTGGTGCTACAAAATGCTGAAATAGTAGACAAAAAATAGTTTTGTATTAAAATACCAACAATGTAGAAAAAACGAAAAAATCTATACATGGTAAGTAAAAAAAACGACACCAAAATATGTGAAATGGACGGATAAGTAATGGCAGAATAAATAAGACTAAAATTTATGTTTCCTGAGAACAAAACAACAACAATGATATCGAAGCTCAGCTTCTTGCAAAAAAAGAAAAATTTAAACGAAAATTTATTACTATTTTTTTACATATGTTTGTATTGAACATTTTTCTAATAAACGTATGAGATCGTGAACAAAATGTTTCGGTATAATACAACCGACAATTTTTTGTGGTGCTAATGGCATACTGGTTTTAATTCGAATCATTTGCATTCTACCTTCACCTAAAACATGTTCAAGACAATTCCATACTGTTAATACACTACCAGACAAAACATGAAAACGTCGAGATCGAAGGCCAACTTCACAATAAGATGATGATGTAGTTGATATTGGACATGATCCTTGGCTAAAAGGAAAAATACATCTTCAATCGACACATTTATAATCTAAAAACGAGATGATCAAACGTACCGAAACATATGTGTACACATTGTTGCTGCTTTTCCATATTGTTCATCCCAGTGTGATTGAGCATCACGTGGTAAAACCTAAAATAGTAAAACATTTTTATTGTACGATAGAGTCTTTTGTCACAAGATTACCTTTTTGTATTTTTTTCTCAAACTTTCAAGTGTTTCATGACGGTTTTGTAAACCGGTATTTGGACGATAAATACGATATAATTCTTCACATTTTTTTATCATATTATTATTCGTTAGAGCAACAGCTAATATCGGTATTCGACGATTCAAACGACTCTGCAGAAAAAATAGAGAAATATATAGTTGTCTTAAATAATTAATGTCAATTGTTTTTTTTTGCCTGAATCGATAGATAAAAACCTTCATCCATGCTTTTTCTTTGATCGGCTATTTCCATAGCTTTATTAAATGAAATGCCTCGTTCAAGTGTAACCTTGAACAATTCAAACATGGAAAAAATAGAAAATATTGTGGTTTTTAAAATATTACTTCAAACAATTCAACTTGTACACATGATTCTCCTTGTTTTGATTCCATGACAAACACATCTGTTTTATCAATAGAAACCGTTTCCTCGCCAGCACCAAGATCTATAACAAGAAGTCAAATAAAAATAAAGAATAAATTAATTAATGTACTGTAGCCTTTACCAAGTATACCCAAATCCCACGTTCCATTTCTTCGAGCTTCAGTGACCAAAGCATTTAAGACGTCAGAAAAAAAATGAAATATATAATTTTGCATATCAACACGAATACCAAGTATACGATTTAAGAATCGACTAATGATGTTATAGTCTAAAGTATGTAGACAAATAACCATAACTAGTTTAATGATAGAAGAAGATATCTAAACTTCTACAAAAAAGGATTGTACCTTTTTCCGGTAGATAAATTGAATGAAGTTCGTTTATTTGAGTAATCAAGCCTACATTTGCTAATGCCTTTTTCGCTTCTTCAACAAAATCAAAGTTTTTTGTATCATTTACGGGAAATGGTGCTAATGGTTTTTCTATTCCACATATTGATCGAATAACATTTTCTAATGCTTGTTTTCCATATTTATTATCAATATTAAATCGACTTAAATCACGTGTTTCGGTCGCACGACGATCACCATGTGTCAAAGCACCCAAACATTCAAGACGTTTAGCTACGCTAAAATATGAATAAAATTCAATTTTTTCCTAATATTAATTTGCAACGAGTTAAACTTACGTTGAAGCAAATCGTTTTTCGCCAGCTAATTCTGATATAACAAAGATATATTGTGGAGCAGATACTTGATTTGAACGGTGCGTTCTACCTATTTTGATGTTAATAGGCCGATATAAGATAGAAGGTATCTTAAGCCGTGAAAACACATACCAAATTGTTGAACAGCACGGTCAGCTGACCAGGATAATTCCAGTGTTACATGTACACGACGTCGCTGATTTTGACAACGTCTATCAGCCTGCAAAGATATACCTAAGAGAAAAGACCATAAACAAGCGTAAAATATTCCTTTTCTGTCAAAACGGCCTAAATCCATTACCACTACTGGCTGCTTCTGATATGATAGCTATTAATTTTTCGCCACGCATAAATCTTTCACGTTCAACAACATTCAATAGTTCTAACGGTACATCGGATTCGCTACGAGTTTCGTACGATACACGCCCATCGTTGTTCTGGATAATACGACCTTTTCGACCAGTCATCTGGTAAATATATAGAAACCATAGATAAAATATCATCACTAAAGATCAATGCGAAGATAAACATACTTCAGCTACACAATGTGGTCCACCTAGTTGATCAATGAGTTCATCAAGTGTATTCGCTGGAAGTCTTCGACCGAGAGCGTCGATTTTGTTAAGCAAATCAGATTTCATACGAAATAATGCATCAACTATTTCACTAGTCGACATATTCCATTTATTGTCTAATACAAAAATTGGAAAATATATTATTTTAAAAATTAAATATTTACCTACAAATTTCTTCATTTTTCGGTTCATCTGTTTTAATTCGTTTCACGGGTAATACATTGTCAGTAATATTTTCTTCATTTAAATCATCATCATCATCATCATCATCCTCATCATCCTCATCATTGTCCAAATTCATCTCATTATTCGAAATAAACTTTTGTTTCAGTATACTTTGGTTTACGTTATTATTATTATCCAATTTTGGTTTACGTTTTAACGTCTGACCGATCGAGCTAAATGGCTCTAAACATGACATAATTTGCAACTAGTATTTTTTCTTAATTAGTGCTAAATTTACCATCATCAGAATCATTATCTGAACTACTACTGACTGTGGTGGATGTTTCTTTTATATTTCTTTTCCTTTTCGTATTCATTTTTGTTTTTAATTGAGATGGTTGTTGATCATTTTTGAGCCAATCATCACCAAGTAAATCAAAGATTGACATTGTTTTTGCTTGCTCAATACCCGTTGGAAAATGTTTATCAACAAAACTTTGTATAACTCCTCTGTTGAAAAAACAAACAAAAGCTTAGAATGAACTTGGAGAAAAAGGTATCCTACAATCATTTTCTATAGTTGTCTGATAGTGCGCTTCCGTTGAAATCAGTAAAGAAATGAAATCAGTATTTTTCTCAAACAACATAATTTTCATTTGACCGAAGAAGTACGCTTAAACAATAAATAGAAAACTAACTTTGCAGTGGAAACAAAATCATTTAATTCTCCAAATTCATCTAACTGTTCTAGAGTTTTTGCTTCACCTGTAGATTGAAGTCCAATAACAACACACTGAAAGAAAAAGAAAGTATGTCAATGCAATGTGAAACGACATATTATAATTTACGTACTTTATTATTATTAGTTGCTTGTTTTGTTAAATCAACTACCTTTTGAACTTTGCATGCCATGCCTTGAAAAAATATTGGTCTACAATAAGTTAGTTTAGCGATATCATATATTTCAAACTTTTCATACAAAGATATTTGAAAAAACGCTGATGACTAAGCCAAAAATGCGCCCATATATGCTTTCGTGAGATATTTTGTGTATCAGATAATTCAAGAGCTTGATGTAATTTTTCTTTGATATCAATCCACTAAAATATATAATAGAAAAGGATGTTATAAAATCTAAACGAAAGGAAATTTTAGTGTTTATGTACATACAAGTTTAACAGATTCATCATAAGTTTTCACATATTCATGTTCTAAGGGAACTTCCAAAATAGAAAAGTTAACACCAGAAAAACTCAGTTGTCGAGCAATATACATGCCACGAAGCTGTGAGAAAACAGGTAAGTGTAATGAGACGGTAATTGAGAATCAATATCGTTGAAATACATCAATACAATTGAAAATCAACAATACCTTCATATCCATGGCAATTAATTCCATGGCGCCAACACCCCGCCTTTCAATTGCTTGTATAAATTGACTAAAGTCGGTGAATGATGTTCCTTTTCCCCAAAGGCCAAGCCGAGTCATGTAGGCCATGTTTCTCGGTTCAGAAGCACCTGTAAAAAGCTAATGCCATGTGCATTTACCATTCTCTTTTTCATATTAATAGATGTGTTTTTACCTGTTGCTGAGGCATAAATAACTCGTGCTTTGGGAAGTCTTGCTTGTAAGTCCAGTACAGCTAAACCTGTTTTTGATGATTTTGCATGCGTTGTTGGAACAAGATTTTTAGCTTTGTGACATTCATCAAAAACAATCTAAATTTTATAACATATGAGTAAGATTCTGTTTTGTTCTTAGCCAACTGTTCATACTTACCACTCCATCAAAATCTTCACCTAACCAGTGTAATAATTGTTTCATACGACTATTATATTTTAGCTTTGTATTCATATTTTGGCTTTCACCAATTAATGATGAATATGTTGCAAATATAATTCCTCGTTTGACGCTACCATTTTGTGGTGATGATAATTTATCGTATTTGAACTAAATAACAGTGAATCTAATCTCATGCGTGTGTGCGATAAATTTGTTTTAAAGTATACTTTATTTAACGGATGAACCGAAATTTTTTGCGCCCCTATATCACTCAGATCACGTTGTGCATCATATTTCAAATCATTAGAAACACTTAACCTGAAAAAAGGTAAATACACCATAGAAATATTTTTTTTGTGGAACATTTACATGACTTTTACCATAATGACTTCTTTCTACCGAGAATATAATTTTCATAAATAATTCCTATATAAGAATAAACAAAAATAAAATTAATACATTTTACGCAGGTTTTTGAATGTATCTTACCAGCTATCGTGCGACCTTTACCAACACCAGCACCGTCGCCTAAACGAAAATGTGAAGATAGAGAAAAAATTCAGTATAAGAACTATGCACATGCCAATCAGAAAACCAGCTCGCGTTCCATCCGTTAAAAGTGTGTTATGACGTTGACATGCGTAAACAATTGTTTCTAACTGTAATGCGGACAATGCACTTGATTCAATTGTGGTTTGTGGTATATGCAATTCATAGTAAATATTTGGCAGTTCAACTGATGATAATGAACTGGTTTCGACAACGGGATCAGGATGCTTTTTTCCAATACGTACTAGAACAGGCAAAAAAACTGTGTATTTCAAAGTTTAACAAATCATAATTGCTGACATACATTTGGCTGGCATATAATCTGAGTAGGTTTCAGCGTGTGCCATTTCTTCCTCATCTTCTCCAGCTGCTTCTTCATCTTGCTCTAACAGAGGCTGTCTTGTATCCTAAAAGTAGATCACACGATTCATCAACTATAAAAAAATGATTTCATGCTTACTCTTACATCAAATTTTCTCACAGCAGGAATAAATTTGACTACTTGTCCTACTTGACGATTAATTAGATCGCTGTTTAAAAGTAATGGTTGTGAAGACAAACTGGGAACATTGATTGAAGGTACAGTCAAAGAACAGGGTAATGGAGTTTGACTAGATAGTAGTGGTGATGGATTTATTGTATTTCCAGCTAAACGAATGATCGTTGGTGTTTTGTTCAGTAGTGGAGAATGTAAACCATGCAAAATAATAGGGCGATTAGACAACGCTGATGCCGATGAAACTTTCGGTTTATGAAAAAATTGTGATAGCGGCGAATATATGGTTTGTTGAAATGACGGCTGTGTTTCTTGCTTCTGGAAAATATCAATATATATCGAGAAATATCTGTAGAAAGTAACTGATGCTTACTCGAATAATTTCGTTTGCACGTCGATTCGTTTCATCTAATTCTTTTAATGCTGTTGAAAATGGGTCATCATCATCTTCAAATACTGCTGTTTCGTTAATACTATCTGATACTGTTGTAGTTGTAGATGATATTGCAGACGTAGGCTGTAAACATTCACAAGCAGAAAGAATAGAAAATGGGAACTTAGTTAAACTAAGATTTATTTTTACCCGTGGATGCTTCAATGTGTCGTTTAAAGATGAATTTCTCTCAAAAAGATTGATTGCTGCTTCTTGTACACCAGAATCAAGCAGAGCAGCGGTCAAAATATCACTTGCGTCCTAAAGTAGAAGGAGCATACTTGTATTAGTTTAAGTCACTATAGTGGTTATATACCTCTTCCATCCTAACAACTGCTTTTGTAGCAAATACATTCGCGTTATCTAAAACTGATAAAAAAAGACTGTCTAGAAAAAATATTTTCTTTTAAACATTATGAAGAGAAGATATACACAAACGCTGAAAATATCGTAAGTAACACCTTAATTATTATACGACGCATCCACTTTTCTATTATAATTTGGTAGCGTTTTAAGGTGCTAATGACGACTTTTTTATTACGATACCATTGAACAACATCAAAACTATTGTATTAAGACGCTTTTCTTCGTTGTTTCATCTTACCATACAGAACACTATACAAAACAGTTACGCTAAAGAACATGAATATGGAAAAATCATGGTAAAAACGTAGCGTCATCATACTGGGATTCAAGCTCCAAGGCACTAATAACGCTCGAGATCAGTAGTATGGCATCGTTACAAGTTTTCGATTGAATCAAACGACTAGATGCAGTTATTGTTCTACACTAACCTAATGTTTATTTAGCTTGTACAAATCACCTTTATTCACTACCTAACCTTAAGGAAAAAAAGTTGAAAATTACAGAATGAACAAAGTTTTGGGTTGTTTTTCGTCTATTCTGTTTAAAAAAGATCAGATGGAAAAAAGCATGAAAAGGATTAGAAACAAACTTCAACGAGGCAACTTCGAGAAAAAAGGAAGTGGACTTTATGGGTGCAAAAATCAGAGCGAGAAAGGCTTTAGATACAGTGGCGGATCCAGCCCACGAGCGGTACTAGCGGCCGCTCGTACCTTTTTACCAAAAAAAATTTTTTCCCAGCAGAACTTCTCAGAATAATCTGTTTCTATGACGACCGCACGTATCTCGCACTTTTATCCTATACCGCAGATACTAAGGAATAATTCTGGATCCGCCACTGCTTAGATACACTGGGATTTTCAATACCAGCACAAGATGTTTTTCCAAGAATAACTGAAAATGTCTAGTTGGATGTTTTCAGATAAATTAAAGAGAAAGAGTAAATGCTTACTATCAGTAACAAACTATACTTTAAATGTCAACAAGAAGCTTATTTTCATGACCAAATCAAGCAACTAGCAAGCAAATCTGAAGACAGTTTTGATAAACAATCTGTTTTGCTTTCCGACAAGCTGGACCGGTTACTTTTCTGTCCATAACATCGCACAAATGTGTTTAGAAGAATACGACAGCTCATTCGAGTGATGCATTATATTAGAGCAAACACGATTTAGTTTTTGACGATTTGCCGTGATGAAAGTATGGCAGCGTCGTCGAGGTAAAAGTCTAGCGTTCGTTATATCTCTTATAATATATTTTTTTTTCGGTGACTTTTCGAGACAATATGATGTTTATATATAGATTGTTTCCCGGTGACCGTTAAGAGCTACTGTCAACGCCGAGAAACGCAGGAAGTGTATCCTGGCGGCTATTTGACGGCTAGCAGGAAACAAACATTCAGACGCGTATGTATGTATCTATTATATTATTTTACTTCGCTGTTAGGATGGACAACGTACAAACGAATCATCTAACATTACATGATCTTCTTACTGTTTGCAATTTGTTGAAAAAAAAGTTGTTAATATTGTATTTGCAGATGAAAGAACTTTTAAGATGAGCTACTTCTATTGTATAGTTGCCACTCATTAGCAACATTTTCGCAGTGCTGACAGTGACATCTTATTACGTGTGCAGAAAAAAAAGAGTACCGTCTCTTGTTGTATGCTCAGCTGGATGCGTTGCAGTATAGCAACTTTTCCTTGTGTAAGAAAAAAATGATTACCATGTTAACGTGGGAAAAAATAATGTTCATGCCGTGTCGCGAAAACACTCGATAATCCCAAAGATTCTTTTTTTTTACTAGAGTTATTGTCTAAAGATTGGGAACACAAAGGCGAAAATAAACTTCCATAGGAAAATAATATTATTTTTAAAATATTTTTGTACTTTTGGCAATATTCTTCACCAGAAGTAAAATATGTTCGGAGTTATCAAGTGTAGTGAATACAAAAAGCAGTTTTTCGCGACTTAGCATGAACTTTATTTTAAAGGCGATATCCCACACGTTTTGCTATAAAGCGCATGGCTGAACATAGCCCTTTCAGGTATAGAGAAAATAAGTCACTTTTGATTTGCTGTAAACTAGAGCACTTCGTGAAAAAACGCTCTTTCAAAGTGATTGCAAAGAGAGCATTTTTAAAAATGTATAGTAGAAAGATGTTTTTGGAGTGATCCAAGAGAAAACACTGTGACAAACAGTGTGGCATGAAAATTTTTTTTGAAAAGACACTTTTTGAAGTCATGTTGAAAAGTCATTCATCTCTTTTATTTTGCTATTACTACTAGTATATATGTAACGCTGGTTTTCTTCGAATAACTTAGAAATTTTTCTCTCGAACGACTATACAAGTCATCGAAGCTTGTCTCGAAGAAGCAGCCTTAGCCTATGGATTAGTATTAGTGATAGTATCAGGCTTTTGAGACTAGTACTAAGAATAGTTCCATGGTTCAGAGGAACCAAAAATTAACAAAATTGGAAAATCATATTTATAAGTTCAAAATGAAATATAATGAAATTTGACAAATGTCGTTCGAAAAAGTGGCCTAGAGAAGAGCACTTTCAAAAGCGATCTCTTATGGTGCTGATCCTATTTGTAGCGGTTTTTAATTAGTTTACAAACAAAATGACCACTGGGAAGCGCTTTGTAAGTGGTTTTCTTTAAAGCACTTTTCAAAGTGTTCTCCAGCCAAACACTTCAGAAGCATGGCAAAACAAGACCGCTACAAATAGGATCAGCAGCACTGGAGAGCGCTTTCTTTTTTTAAAAGTGCATGTCATCAATACCGGCAAAATACCGCACGGTTATCATCGCCTAATATGAGGTATAAGATTCGAAATTACCGCACAATTTATCGACGCGTGCGGCATACCGAGCGATAACCATCCAGTATCTTCTCATTACGAACACACAGAGCGCAAGTTCGAAAGTACTCAATCCTGCTACGATCCTACAGATCTTACTGGTAACAGGATTTCATAGGATACCTATAATAGGAATCTTACGCATTTCTTACAAAATTCTACTGTAAGATTTTGTGTAGGATTTTGTAGGATTAGTTTTTCGTTCTGTATATATTCTTTTCTTTGTCTATACAAGAACATAATCAACGATGTGTTTTTCATCGTGTTTTTAACTTTGTCCTACAAGATCGTACAAGAGTTTCGCAGAATCTTACAGGATCCGAAAGTAGGACTTGTAAGACCTCGTAAGAATCTTGTTAGGATCCTACAGTAGGATCGGCTGATCTGGGTAGTTTCCCACTTTCTCTTTTTTGTTATTGCCAGGCGCTTAAGCGCATGAAGACTCCTAGTATTAGAAGAAAATTTGACTCGAGTCGAAGTTCAAATTTCGAAGAGCCTACCCTAATGAAAAACTTCTCAAATCTTACTAAGATCTTAGTAGGATTTCGCTTACATCTGTCTAAGATCTTAAACAAATCTTACTAAGATCGTGAGAGCTGAAAACTCTAAGATTTTATAAGATTTTTCTAAGATCTTAGACAGATGTAAGCGAAATCTTACTAAGATCTTAATAAGATTGTACTGTCTAAGACTTTTTCAAGATTGGATATGAATGTTTTAAGGATCTTAATAGTAAGAACGTTAACATTTTTTAAATAATATTTATCTGAGACTCACTGAAAATTTTTGAAGTTTTAATCCGCATTATCCAAAGCAGCAGTTAAACAGTGTTGAAGAATGAAGAGAAATTTCATATTTTCATGTGTTCAACTATGGACCTTGACCTGCATGTACTCTCTAAAAAGTTGTTGAACACTTTCGAGAGAGCAAGTACCAGCAGAGTCTGGCAGAAAAATAACCGTATAGTCACTCATATTTTCGGTCACTTATATAGATGAACTAGCTGAGATACCCGGCGTTGCTCGGGAAAATTTGATATTACATACTTGACATATTAGAAAAAGACATCGTTATGGTCTCCTATCAGTTATCGGACTTCGATATCGCAAAATGCGCTCGGATCGCTTTTTCTTTTGAACTTTTTTGTTTTCATCATTTTAAACTTTTTAAAAACATTTTTATCCTTTTCGATGTTCTTTTTGTTTGATCGGCTTCTTTTATTAAAAAATGACTGTGTCCAATGAAATACAATTTTTATTGCAAAGCTGTTTGATACACAACGTTCCTGGTTTTCGCACCAGGGGCAAAAATATACAAATTCTTCCCAGTTCCGACTCTTGAACACGCCACGTAAAGTTGGCCATAAGAAAAGCAAGGAGTTTCTTACCCTCACCCACGTTCACCCCCACCCCCACCGACCTTCCTCTGGACCTAAGGGTATGCCATGGAAAGTTTGGTGACGCTAGCTCTTACAGGGACCAAATGCATAAAGAACAGACAAACATTCTTCTTTATATATATAGATAGATAGATAGATAGATAGATGAGAGCAAAACAAAAGGGTGAATGAAAGCAGAGTCATTAAGTCTTATTAAGATCTTAAACGATAAGATCGTAGATTATCTTATTAAAATCTTAAAGAATAAGATCTTATAAGATCTTAGTAAGATAATTTTTAGAAGTGTCTAAGATTTTTACTAGGGTATAATCTAAAAAAAATGAAGTTCTTTGACGTTTTCTGTCTCTTTTATACATTCACGGATGCAAAACAAAAAAAGAAATGGATAGACACGGTTACCGCGCGGTATTTTGTTAGACCAACTCAACTCGAACACCGCATGGTAACCACGGTTACCGGGGTATTTAAAAGAAAAGCTCGACATGATGTGGCTAATTCTGACCATTCATGGGAAGAAAAGTTATGAGAATTTATTTAAGGCTGAAGTACCCAAGGAGTGTATGGTAATTAAGTGACTATAATTAAGTTTCTTTGTTTCATCAGTAAAACGTAAAATTTGTTTTGCGAAACGATGTGAATAAAAAACTTTGCTTGAACTGGAAAAAATAATTTTTGAGAATTAGCCAGTCATTCCTTTCAATCCAAAATTTATCATCTCCGCGAACTCATCCTTGATGAAAGTTGAAAACACCCTGTGATTTATTAAAAGATAGTCGCAGAGACTCGATTAATTAGCTGGATTTTTAAATGCAATTAAAAAGTTTAAGATGTGTTTTAACAACAGGCTATTTCCTTTTACCGATATGATGAATGACGCACTTTAAATTTCATTTTTTTAGAATTTTTATAAAATATAACACACAATCAATAGGAAAAACACATCAATCATTGTGCAAATATTCGCTGTTTTTTTATTTCATGTTTTATTAGCAGTAATTTACAGTAAAAATATTCCTCCAGACATTATTTTAATAAGTATGTTACCTGCGTCAATAGTTTCCTTCACTTTCTTGCTTAAACAAAATACCACATTTTGTCATTTTGACAAATTTTAATGGAAAACACCTTTTGAAATGTTAGACTGAGGAAGTAAGTAAATCGATGTATATATTACTGTAGAGGAAGATTGTTGATTGACTGTAGAGTCTAATGCTTTGTTTCTCGCCCATTATAATGTCTATTCAAAACAGAAAACACATCCATTCTATATATACTTAATTGTTCAATTCAATAACTTAACCAATAACCAATGTGCAGATTATTTTTATGACAATATTAAGTTGAATTAGACGAAAAACCTCAGAAGAATGTGTATCTTGATGTCAGTGTTTTATAATGGATGCCTAATGTATTCAACACACCAATCGGATGTTGTTCAGATGAACTAAAGCATATCCTAGTAGAAGTTCTTGATGCTAGACCATGGAATATAAACTTACTTGCTCACAAGATCTTGTCGCTTTTTAGACGCAAGAGCTGTCATTAGAAATTTATTCTATTAATGAACTAAAATACTCTTCGGCCATGTATGATGTAGCTACTATGTTTGTTAATCATGTGAGAATACATTATACGCCGATCTTTGTAATACACTTTTTCCACTCTTTTTATGAATAGTTGATTATTTTACTTGTATTTCTGTTGATTCTGTCGTCAGTATCCGTGTCATGTGAAGTGGCTGAAAAGTTCAAAGTGCTAGTTGTTAACCCTATACTATGCATTCCTTGCTCAAACAATTAAAAGCATCCTTAGCGGTGCTGATGGTGTTACTTCTCATATTTTGTTGTCATCAAGTTACAAATATCCGTTTCTTCAACTACTCTGTCACTGTCATCCATTTTTTAAATATTAAAATGTTTTTGCATATGAATAAATAATACAATGAACACTACAGTTTTATTTTTTGTCTTCCATTCTCGACAAGTCGATCTATATTACTTCTATGACCGAAAAAAATGTCTTATTTTTCAAGTCTAAAGTACGCATTTGATTCGCATCCACGATTTCCAATCATATATGAAGCACGATATATCGTCTTTTCGACCTTGTTTCCTTTTAGCTCCAAGGAGAAACTGTCTACGTCAATTGGCATTGATTATAATTCCTTGGAAGCTACTATTTTGAGCTAAAAGGAAACAACGACTTTTCAATATAGGACGCAACTTTTATTGATTCGACTACTGATAGGTTAGGTGAGCGTGGTATTTGTGGGAGTGAATGTGTTGGTGTAGGTCACGTGCCCTAGCGTTTGATAATCAATTTTCAGACAGTCCTTGTCAAATGTCCACGATTCCTCTATTTGGTATAATTCTCAACAGTCCAGCAAAAATGACTAAAAAAAGTAAAACATATCAATTCAGTCGAGAAATTTTAGAAGTGTGTCCGCCCACAACTGATTGCAGATTCGGACTCTCCATAGTCGGTTACGTTGTCCGCAACAAGTTTTGAATCGGAGTACTCGAGAAAAATGGAGAGTTCGAATCTGCGATCAGTTTTGGTCAAACACACTTTTAAAACTTCTCGACTGAATTGATATATAACTTTTCTTCAACGATGAAGTTTTATTTTTCTAGTTAAATAAAGCGTCTTGCAGAGAATTCTGAGCTTTACCCAGAGCTGGGCAAGTCAAGTCAGACTTGACTTGACTTGAAAATCTTTTTATAAGTCTTCTGACTTGACTTGAGACTTGAAAAAGTCCTGACTTGTCTAGTTCTAGCTTTATCTACCTTGTAAATTGCTGGTTATCCGGACATATCCTTGATTAATTAGAAATTGGAAAAATAAGAGAAAACAGTCTTTTTTGGAAAAAAAGACTTAAAAAAGTTCAACTTTTCGTATATATTGTACAATTCTCCTCAAAAGAAGACTTTCTGATCGATCTTATTCGTTATTTTAAAACCTTTTTATGAAGCTAATCGTCAACTGACCTATGGTTCTTATTTTAAGACATATGTTTTGATAGTGTAAAGACTGAGAAAAACGACGATTCAACTTTTTCAGAGTGATAATTCAATGATCTGAAGTTACTTGCAAATAGTTTTTGCAATTGCGCATATTAACCTTGCAAAGACAATTTTCTTTTGCTAGCTGTTGTTCTTCTATCAGATAACTGGTAGTCACAAGATACGTGTAAAACAAATTGCGTAGATAGTAAAAACGAATGATGTTTGATATGATAAAATCTTTAGCTATCACCTATATCGACTACTTAGCAATGCATGAAGTAGTAAGTGACTTAATCGATGAAATATGTGACATGACAGCTTCATGTCTTATTTATCTTATTACTCCGAAACTATGGGGGTAAATATCTTATACATTTGTGTCCGGAGGCCAGTTTCTAAAAATAACTTAAGCAAAACTTAAGTGAAAAATTCGCCTCAAGTCAATTTTTTTAACTAAGCGTATATCTCAAATATTACTTAACTTAAGTCATTTCTCGATCTCACTTAAGTTTCCACTTAAGCTTTTAAGTAGAAAATTATTTAAATTTTGTAACTTCTTTATTAGAAGTCCATAACCCATCCAATCCATCATAATTTGACGGAATATAGTTTTTCAGAGATTTTGCTCAGAAAATTGCTGTAAAACAATTTAAACTATCTAAAATACGAATGGTTTTTTACTATATGACCTCTGCCTGACTTAAGTTTTCTTAAAAAACGTCCTCCACAGTTTCGTTCCTGTTCATATATTTTCTATCTGTTGTTTTCATACTACAATCGATTTTCTAACCTTGGCGTTGACCTATAGTTGACTATTTCTTGTGTAACAAAAAAAACACAATAAATACACAGTAAATACTGTAATAGAGGAAATTTATTTTCTGTAGAAACTTTAACTCTTATTCTCTTTCGTAGTTTATATGTAAGCGTTCTACAAATGTATAAAAAGCCGAGTTGAAGCCAGAGAAGAAGTAAAATAAGAGACAAACGGTGGTACATAGAAAACATTTTTTGCCTATCAGGTAAAATATCAATTATACTAATAAATGAAGCATAAGACTATCCTGATCAGTTTTTTTCCTGCACTTATTTGAAAACAAGACACCATTTTGCGATCGAACGACACGATAATAAAATACATTATAAGTTAACCTAAGAGATTTTGATACGTTTCGTTGATTTTTGACAGGTCGGTCATAAATGTTGTGTATACTGTTAATAACTAACTAGATTTTACAGATTTCAGATAACTTTGGTAAACAGTACATAAAGCTATTTAGAAAAACAAATTGTGCTGATAATCATGTTTCAATCAATACGCTTCAAGTAAGAGAAAACTTTTAAAAATGAAAATTAAGCAATCATCTTTCATATTTCTTTCACGTTAAATATATATTTTATCTCTACAAAAATTTTGTAGAACTGACATGAGAAAATTGCGGTCATAATATAAAATGTATGCAGTGTATAGTATGACATCTCAGTTGTTTTTAACCAGACAAAAGTGGTATTAACCAGGTAGATAGATTTAACTCTTTGTTAGTCAACAAATAATTTTAACTTTCATATTTTTCAATATCGTATAATAAGTTTGTCAAAAAGCGAACAAAGTTGAACAATATATTCCGGAATTATCTTTCTTATTCAATAGTATTAAAAAAAAACTACAATTATTTAAGAGACAGAAAACGTTTTTTTCGAACAAATCAAAAGGAAAAAGACAGGGTCGAATTTAACAAACATTGACTGTCTAATATGCCCAATCTAAGTTTGCTAAAACTAAGAAATTTCGATCTTGTGAAACTTTCAAGAGATGTTGTTCTTATCAAAGAATACTTGCGTTAAGATTTTCTAGACTTTACCAATCACCGTTCATACATATGCCGGTCAGAATGAGGTATTTAATGTTAAACCAATTTTTTCTTCAATTTACGGATGCCCAGGTCGGTTTTGATATACAGAAAAAAGACATAGTAATAGATTCAGATTTTTTTGATATTTCCGTACAAACAGGTTTTAGAAGCAGTAAAAGTCCAAAACTTAAACTCTCTTGAAAGTCTTTTTCATAAAAATCGAAATTCTATAAAAATATAAGTTTAACCCAAACTGGTTCTAAACATCAATATTTTTGACAAAAATCAGATTTCTAACATGGAAGGAGCCTTATCTCAAAATTTCTCATTGCTTTGAGTTGGAAGTCGATCAAAAAAAACGAAAGAATCTGCTACATTGACTATTGCACAAATATCTACATATAGAAAAATTGATTTAGAGTTGAATATAAGAGCGTTCGGATTTGGATTTCGCTTTGTTCCCTGACACAAAGTATAATTACTTCAAACTGAGTAATTAGGGCATCTAGAAATTGATGTGTACTCTCATTAATGGAAAACGTTTACATCAGTAGATAGGAAAAAAAACTTCGGTCCATCTAGGTATTTTTTCTGGTTAAAACTGACCTAAATATCACACAATGTACTGCATAAATTTTATATTATGACTATAATTATTTTATATGACTCCACTATTTCATAATTTTCTTGAAATTATCAGAATTAATTTTCAAGTAGAAAAAACAAGGAACAAATTGTATCATTTAAAAATGGAGCAACGAAATATTAAACGAAAATATTTTCTGCATTTACGTGCTTATGTTCACTCATGGTTACTGGAAATTGTTGGAATCTTTTTCAGAGCATTGTCACTGTTTTCAACATTGACAACAACACCGAAACAGAATAAAACGCGCGTAAATGCTTTGCTTATAGTTGACGTACAAAATGATTTTATAACGGGATCATTATCATTAAGAGATTGTCCGTCAAAACATGAAGGAGAAGAAGTTGTACCAGTTATTAATCATTTATTGTCAACTATTAAATTTGATGTTATTGCTTATACGCAAGATTGGCATCCAGGCACACATATATCTTTTTATGAATGTTTACCTTTACGTAAACATTTAATAGCACCTAACAGTCCAGTGACTGAAGCAAATGCAAAAGTATTTGATCAAATTAGATTTTCTGGTGATATAGAACAAATTTTATGGCCAGCACATTGTGTTCAACATACACGGGGCGCTGATTTACATGAAGAATTATATATAATCGATAGTAAAACACCAGAAAATCATATGAATAAAAACACACCTATTATTCGTTTACAAAAAGGAACAGATGCCGAAATAGATAGTTATTCAGCATTTTGGGATAATCAAAAAATAAGTAAAACAACATTGGATGCAGATTTAAAAAAGCATCATGTTACTGATGTTTATGTTGCTGGTATAGCTACCGATGTCTGTGTTTACTCCACAGCGTTGCATTCTTGCGAGTTGCAGTATCGAACCTATGTTATCGAAGATGCTTGTCGTGGTGTTGATGAGACTGCAATTAAATCAAAATTACAAGAATTACAAAGCCATAGTTGTCAAATTATTAATTCGAGTAAAGTAAAATGTCTGATTGAAGGAACTCGAGCAGAACAACAAGAACTAAATAATAATGACATTAATTAAAGTTTGAGTAAATTATCTTTCAGTGTTGTTTTCAAAAAAACAGGCATATTTTTTATTTGTTTTCCACAATACAGATGTAAACATGTTTATTCTATAAATGAAAAAATGACTTAAGAGAACAAAGGAGTATTCAAAAGTTTGACCACTGGCGGAGAGAGATGTGCAACAGTTTGAGAAAATTTAAGATAATAATAATTCTCTTCTTTCATCTATAATTTTGGAATGCTATATAAAAAAAACATAATAACGAAAAAGATTTTGAATTTTATGAGCGTATGGGTGGAAATAACGTACACCATTAACTTTACCACCTACAATTAGAACTGTAAAAGTTCCCGTTGCGTTGATTTAACGCTAACTGAAAACACAGTTACCGTTACTTTAACGATAACTGCGTTTCCCGTTACCGTTGAAATAACGGTAACTATCAGTTAGTTAACTTTTTGGTAACTATTTTTTAAGTATGGCAGAAATATCCACGCAGCAGCTAAAAATGGCTTCTAAAATCGTTAGTTTTCCACTAAAACTGTTGAAACTTTCATAAATAACATGGTTTTGATTGGCACGCACATGCCAGTCAACTAAACTAATCGAAATTATTTAACTTCAATGCTTTATAACTGCGGTTTTTAAGGTCTCTGGAGACCTCAGCATCTACAGCCAGCTTGAGAAATCTTTTTTGTTTTCATCAACGGAATTAGACTACAAAACCATGTCATTTATGAAAGTTTCAACAGTTTTAGTGGAAAACAAACGATTTTGGAAGCCATTTTAAGCCACTGCGTTGATATTTCCGCCATACTTAAAAAATAGTTACCACAAAGTTAACTAACTGATAGTTACCGTTATTTCAACGGTAACTGGAAACGCAGTTATCGTTAAAGTAACAGTAACTGTCTTTTCGGTTACCGTTGGTTTAACGCTAACTGAAAAGACAGTTATCGTTACTTTAACGGCAGCTGTTTTTCTAGTTACTGTTGTCGATAACGGTCGAAGAAGTAACAGGAGTTTTTACAGTCCTACATACAATACTAGTAAACACAATCAATTTGAAAGTATAGAAATTGTATAGAAATTTTGAGAAAGTGATAATCAGTACAGCTAAAAGTCAAAAGAAAGTTAACATGTGGCGATATTTATCTCAAAATGTATCTCAGTAAATTTGGAAAATACAAGAAAGATTTGTCGAGATTGTACACCAAGGTAGTAGTTCTATCTATTATCAGTTAATTTAAAGCAGATGAATACTAACGATCAATCGTTTATTATTGTTACACATATTAACAAAAAGACCCAAAACAACTATATTTGATAAAGAGAAAAAAAGAAAACAGTAAGAAAAACTATTTAGTAATACAACAACACAAAATGTAAGAAAAAAAAACCAACATAAGCAGATTAATTAGAAATTTTATGGAAGTAAAGATTTTTACTGCATAAGGCCTACAAATGTTAAACAAAATTTGAATGAAAAAGAAAACAAATGAGTAAACCATAAGGCGAACATAAATTGCGCGTAGTCGCATGCACAAGCATTAAGAAAAAATGAAAAATGTTCACAAATCAAAAGAGAAAAGTTGAAAAGAAAAAAAGTATTTTCTGAATTTTAAAAAATATTTCTCGCTGTTAAAAAATTCCAGTTACATGAGAGTGCACATTGTTTGTTTATCAACTGATAAACGATGATTAGGACGATATTTTTGTAAAAATTCTAATTGTCGTAAATTAAAACTTCCTCGACGTTTTGCTTTTATTAAATCGATGCAATCTTGTTTTGACATGCCCGCTTCTCGCAATGCCAATGCGACCATTACAGGTGATCTAAAAAAAGAAAAAAAGAACAATTAAACAATTAATATCAATTAAGAATAGATAAAATAAAAACTTACCGTCCTAAACCATGAACACAATGTATGGCAATACAACTATTTGGATTTTCGCGAATATTTTCTTTAATAATATTAACCCATTTTTCGCGAACAAGGGTATCTGGTGCTGTGCCATCGGGAAATACAAGATCCTGTTAAGGAGAAAAAGAATATAAATTAATTATAATGTATTACTAATACAAGCCGAGATTGAATCATCGGTATGTACTTTTATTTGATCAATGGATGAGCACGGGTTAGATAACAAAAAATCATAGCATACTATTTGTAATACTTATTGAATAATAACATGGTTGTTGTGACGAATCATCACTAGTTTTTCGACGATACATTTGATAATAACATGATTTTTATTAGTACATGCAGTTAAAACAAAAACAAGTAATCATTGCCATGGTCCGACCTGAAACTAATAATTCTCTAGGATTTTGAACTCTCATATTCATGAAAACAAACCGTTTGTCATCTTCCCATGGCTAGATATTAATAAGGGAGATGATGGGGAAAAAAAACGAAAAAAAAGAAAATTATCGAAAATATCTATACTTACATAAAATTTCATTCCAGCATTTGTAATAGGTGTTTTATCATAATTTTGTTCACACACACGAACAACGGCTGTCACACCGAATTTTTGATATGCCTGAAAAATGATTAAATTCTTAGTAAATTACAATGTAAAAAGAAGATAATTAAATTAATCTTTTTTCTTCTTTTAGTATTTAAGCTGTTTTGAAGTTTACCACTAGTATAATAATAGTGTGAAAACATTATTTATACGTTGTATATTCTTCTAACGCTACATTCAAAAGTTGACATCTCCTTTCGTTCGATCAACAAGTATCTGACATTTTCTAATGTAAAAAAAAATAAAAATAACTTACATCAATATAATTCGTCATTAAATCATCATCGGGACAATCAGTTATTAAAAATCGTAATTGTTTGTATTTAATTTCGGTATGAGCTGGATTTAAAAAACGTTGAATAGGCATTTTATTGTTATTGTATCAACAAAAAAACGTTTTAAATTGGTGGTTAAAATTGGTGATACAGTTTAATTTATTTATTTATTTATTATCCAATTCCAGCTTTATTAAAAGTGGATTGAAAACGATTTTGATCGTTTTTATTGCTATAATGATGGTGGTATGGTACTCGTACTAGTCAATGTTGCGCTCGGCAGTATTCTGCCAAACAACGAACGCAGAATAGGTATTCTGTCTAAAATTAGATGAAAAAAATAAATAAATTTGTTCATTGACTATAAGAAGAAAATAAAAACCTACCACTTGTTTAGCTTGTTGGCTTTGAATTTGAGCAGTTTTATTCATCGAATATCAACAAACGTTAATGGTGAAAAAGGTTAAATCTGAAAATCTGAAGAAAAAAAGAGTAAAATATAATTGGTGTTTTAGTTATATAACAGGTACAAAATCAAATAACTTTCAAAATTAAGAGTAACAATCGTTATTTTGTCTCTCATGTATAAAAAATCATCTCTCAAGAAAAGCTTTTGTTAAAAACAGTCACAAATGTTCGTCCAAGGCTTTGATTTTGGACGTAAAACTTTGTAAGGTAAAAGTCTAATTTTGTTTCCGTTTAAATGATAGTTCACAAAAGTAGATCAAACAGGATAATATTAAATGAGGGTGTGTATCATCATTGACTAATTTAAAAATTTGAAGAAAATTTACCTTTCAAATAAACTGTACTACTAAGAGAATAGCAAAATAACCGTCAGTTGTGTTGTTCCTTAAAGTGACTACCAACGGCCGACGTGTATAGATTACAGAATTGAAATTATTCAGTTTAATAAAAAAAGAAAATAGTATGGCAAGTACCAAGTCAGCATGTACATATCTATACTAGATATTTTATACAGCATAAAATGCACTCATTTAATCTCATATGAAAAAAAAGGGAGAAAAAAAAATCGAATTGTGTTTCAGTCGACCAAGGTCATTCGAAAAATGTCTATATAATATAAAACAGATTTGTCATTACCGCCATATGACCTCTTCTACCACACGTAATGAAAACAACGAATTTCAGTTTAGATATTATCCTTCAGATAGAGAATAAGAAGCTAGGCTCGAACGTCATTCTAAAGTCATGACATAGTTAGTATTAAACCAAAAGCAACAGTTCAATCTAATAGTCATACTTATTTCAGACAATAAAAGTACCGGTGACTTTTCGGTGTTCAAAAAGTGCAATTGTTCGCTTATTGAATTCAAGAAGTTTTCTCTAATTGAGAAATAGAGTAATCTAGTGTGAACTCGTTTGAGAATGTGATAGATGATAGAATGTTTTCGGATTATGAAAAGCGTTAGAAAAAGATGAAAACGCGAATAGTCTCAATATAATTATTTTAATAGAATAACCGAGTAATTTTAAATAATATTATATAGGAAAGAAGGGAAGAGACGAAAAGAACGATTTTGTCATTGCAATATGTGTACATAAAAAATGAAAATGATATATTGAAATCAATATTACCACGTACTTTTATAGTATTACGCGTTCTTTTTATGTAACTGAGTCAATATTTGAACAAGTTAACGAAGTAAAAGAGACGTTTTAATACTCTCTTTTTTTCATTAAGAACTATACAAGGTTACTCGTGTTAAAGTTTAACCTCTTCAAGATGGGCGTGGGAGGAAAAAATATTTGTTAGAAAAAAACTTCTCACAAATGTCGATTGACAATTTCTTGTGTATGAACGCACATACGTTAGAAAATGTCTAAACTTAATTGAAAGATAGCTAATTAGAGATACACTACGAGAATAAATTGCGTAAGAGATTTATGACGACAAAAAAGATATCAAGATTAACCTCTTTCAGTGTTTTTCTATCGTATAACTCGAATGACAACTTGGTAGCTAGATAAGCTCGTAACTGTATTTTATAAAAATAATTCGTTATGGACAAGTATTATATCTATTTACTCACCAAAAATAAGTATATTTTGTTGATAAAATTTGATTACTGTTTGATGTTTTCTAAGAAATTGTGAATATAAATATGACAGTAACTAAAGAGGAAATTGGTAAAAAAAAAAGAAAAGTAGCAATTCTGTACTCTTTTCATCGTTAAGTATAATAACCATTAAAGAAAAGAAATAATATGGAAGGAAAAGATGAGAGATCTTATTTTTGTAACTATATGGAAGATTCTATAACGTACAATAATTACGCAGTAGACATATACAGAAAATTTCATCATTCTGATGAATAAACGAAATAAGACAAGAGAAAAAGTGTAATACAATTTTGCGTCATTTACAAACAAAAAAAATGAAACACAGAAGGTATTCAGAATAGACGAAGTATTATATAACAAAATAATAATTAAATTAAAATTAAAATTTTAAAAGGAAACAAAACTATGCAAGATCAAAGAATCTATTAGTCATATGAAATTTCTATGACAAATATGTTTCTATGACACATTATTTTCGAGAATATTCGATGAAAACTATTTTATCATCTGGTATTTCTACATTTACAATTTAATAGAATAAAAAGATGATAATATGGATCATTTGCTAAATGAGTTAGAAAAAGTACATTCTTTTCATGACTCAGAAACAAAATAAAGACTCTGTAAAGAAAGTTAAAAGAGTTATTATGATTCAAGTTCTACGCATTCAAGTCACATGAGGCGACGAATGAATAAACGCATAATATCAAGTTAATTCTAAAACATAACAGATGTCTATCTCACTGATAATCTCTTCATAGTAATTGTATGTTTTTTGTCTATATGCTTTTTTTTCCTACGTAAAACTGTCTTATTAATAAAAAAAAGGATGATATTGTTTTATTACTAAAGAAAAATAAATAAATGATATTTACATGTACCATGCATATGTCGTTGTTGTTAGTGTTGTTATTTTTCTTTGTAGAAAGCAGAAGTGTATGTACTGTATCGCGCAGATATATATATATATATAATGAATACAAGTAGATATGCGTTTGTTTTTAACAGATGACGTGGTTGGTATTGCATAATACATATTTGTTTTGACACGAAGACATTTCATTCATATTCTAGTTGTTGATAAGCAACAATAATATGGAAATTAATTGTGTTTTCTTCAGCAATAGAAAAATAAATCACCAGCACTATAATAATATACGCCACTAGTCGATGAATCAGCTTCATCTGAAAAGCTGAATCCGCTATGGAGTTTTATCAGGGCTGAATCAGAATCGGAATCAGCTCCAAAAATTATTTTCCACAAAAAGTATTTTTCTTCTCTTTTGCTCTTTAATGATTCAGAACTAAATATTCTTATCAATGTTTTCAGAGCTGACTCAAGTAATAACATGACGCTGAAGATTTAGAGAGTATGCTTGATAGTAACAGTAATATTTTCGTGTTCACAGTAACACTGTGCTTGAATTTTTGTACTATTCTTTAAATTTTTCTCAGATTTTAAAATGTTTGTTGTTTATATGAAGCCTTTTCTTCTTATAACTAATTCAGAGCTGAAAAAACTGATCGAATCAGCTCTGAAATTTCGGAAATAGTTTATTTCAGAAAATTCAGTTCTTCCGAGCTGACGGAGCCGATTAGAATTATTAACTCTGAAAATCATCAGTAGATACAGTTTAGTAAAGCCTTATTCGGTCCTGATAAAACTGCCTAGCTGATTCAGCTTTTCAGACCGAGCTGATCGTCGACTAGTGGGATAAAAAGATCTTTAACTAAAGAAGAAGAAACAATAGTATTCTCAATCATTCAAAATTATTAGAATAGAACAAATTTTGAATTGAAGCATTCATCTGAAAATATATTATCATAAATATGTATGGATATAGTTTAACAAAAACCAAAGAGCTTCTGACTGAATATCTAATCAACTATATTTTTAATTTGTATAAAAATAAGACAAGTGTAGTCAGTCACAGAACAACGATGGAAAAAAATATTGCTCAAAAAAAGAAAAATGAAGAAAAAAATTCCAAAATTATATATAAAGATGCCTCGACTTTTTATGCTGAAAATGTACTTCCATTTAAGATTTATTTCACATATATTTTTTTGCCATATAAAACGCTGACTGCTGAAGCAGAAGTCGTGATTTATCCTTTTTCGCTATAGATTTCTATTCTACATTGTTAAAATCTTTACAAACATTGTCTAGCGCATGATCTGCTTCATTATCTAACATAATCATGTCTGTTAAAACTTGTTCAAAGAAATACGTGGATATATTGTGGCTGATAATACGAGCCCTTATATATTGAATAAAATCTCATATTCTCAATTCAATCAAATCTCATCATGGATCATAATTTCTACGAAGATCTGAATTTTTTTATACTCAATATAGAGTACTTCGGGATAATTAGAGACACTCTTTGAAATTTTCATCCTTTTTCTGCTATTTCTCGGCCATTTTTAGGCTGAAAAACTTGCTATTGAGCACGGTGGTAGACTTTTTAAAATTTTTTCGAATCAGCAGTTTTGTGCACAAATGTTTGCTGTATAAAATAAGATGTTGCAGACTTTCTTACGATGTTTTATCGATGAGATATGAATTTTTTTCTCTAAAATAGGACCGGTTACAACCGGCCGGTTAATAGAGGGTCTGTCTTGCCGCTAAAAAATTCATATCTCATCGACAAACCATTGTAAGAAAGTCTGCAACATCTTGTTTTGTAGAGCAAACATTTGTGCACAAAACTGCCGATTCGAAAAAATTTTAAAAAGTTTCTCCGATTTTTAAAATCGCTGGCCTCGGAGAGCCCCATAAAATAACCAGTGCGTGCCTAATACAAAGTGAAATGTTGGCCTTAAACCGTATGTTCTATAAAAAAAATTTGGTGTAATATGAAGAGAATTGCATGAGGTATATGAAACGTAGACTGAACTGACCGCTAAAAAGTTCAAGTATATTTGTACACAAGAAAGTTAATAAATATAGAGGGGATAAGTTGTATTTGGGCCACTCTGTACACATTAAAGTTTTCAAACATTTAAAAAATAGAAAAAATTAATGTAAGCAAATACATAATACATTCAACAAAACTTTTTCTAAAAGAATGAAACGGATCATATTAATAAATTGCATATCTGACAAGAACCACAAGTTAACTATGATTAAAATCATTTCATATTAACACCATCGTCCAGAGATCAATCATTTGCGTTCCTTGTCTTTTGATTAATTAGATGACGACGTTGTCGTATATCTATCTCATTATTAGAATTATTATTGATTGACAGAGACGGCGATGCAACTTAGAAGCTGTAGGGACAAATTTTTTTGGAAAAACTGAAGGTAAATTGATCTCTGTTGAAGAAGACCATTTAGCACTAATTTAAATTAAATTAATACTAAAGGTAAATATCGAAATAGTTTACCGATATTTATGTATAGAATTTTCTACTTTTATCTACTTTGACATACCGGCATCACAAAATGGGTGTACGTGATTAGGAACAAATTAAGGTTAAATCCTCGTTTCTCTGTAGTTCATCAGAAACGGAGTCAAAGATAGAAAAGATATGAAGATTATATGACAAATTCAAAGAAATAAATCTTTAAAGTTGTAGGAACTGCTCATTATTTCGTCTCCACATCTTTTTACACTTCAAAAAGACGTTGTTTTCACTGTAGGGGCGTTATCCCCACGATTTTCCCACCTCTGGTTATTGATAGTACAGTTATTAAACAGTATATTCTCAATATCGATTTACTGAGTCGCTAGTCGATAATGCTTTATAAAAACCTTGACGTAAGAAATAAAATATCTGATTAGCGTTTTCTTTCGGGTATGACAAGATCTAATACTAATACACTACTTAATGCTATACTGCAGTATTGTTACCCCTTGTCGCAGTATAAAATGTGTAATAAATTTTGTTTTTTATATAATTTTTGTGCCACATTTACACACCTTCTAAATACTATTTGACATAAAATTCTTAACAGTGTATTTATCATTTGATTGCTTTCTTCACCTTTTGTAGACATTATTATCCTTTTCATTTTTTTCTCTTTTGCAGAACAATTTTAATCTTACTATTTCGTGTTAAATTGTAATAGTCTGAAACATTATACATGATCGAATCAACCTTGACATGTTTAACGTCAATTTACAAAGAGAAAACTACTCACCGTCAGTGATTTTACTCATTCAGACAAATATTTGTGAATTGGATAATTTTGAGGCATTCATTCACTGTACGGAATAAACTTGTGGGTCCGTCATAAATATTTCAAACTCTTACAGTTTTCAAAATTTATCATAGTCTTAGTCCTCCTAGTCTCAAGGTCTTTAATTTCTCCAATAGTGTGCGAGCACATGATGAGTTATATGTTACCAGTTATCGATGTCTGTCGAAAAGCTAGAAACTAGCGATGACATCATATCAATACGAAGCTGTGTTTTTCCTGTTATGAGAAATACTATTTCCCCAGGAAATTAAATTAAATCAAATCTCTTTCCTTCTGAGGTGATAAACGTCAAGTGACACTTAGACACAATTGTTCTAAATCTTATGAAAAAATATTTCTACAATAACCTAGCTATATTTCCTGTTAATGTAGAAACTTCAAATTTTTTTCAAAAACAGAATGAGAAAATATGTTGAATTAACACACGTTAAATCTAACTATATACACACATACTAGAAGAAGAAAAAAAAAATATATATAGCACACACTGTAAATAAAAGTCATCACAGTAAAAACCTAACATCACGAAAAAACGATGTCATGTCCAAGACAAAGGCATATCCTGATATATTCTAAAAACGTTTTTCCGTGACATCACTTATCATTGATTAGAACTAATCGATAGAGCGGAAGCAACGTCTCATTTTTCCGTGTGTTTCACCCGAAAAATTGTTTATAACATATCTTTGTACATACTCAATGAAACAGATAAAGAAATGACAATCTACTTGGTTGTTTTTGTAAACAACTAACAAAATGCACAAAAATTGTTAAAGTTATTCAATGAAAAGAACAAGACCGTAAGGTGCAGGAAAATCTTCAACTATGATGTCAAGTTAAAGATGTTGTAGTCAAGTCAAAGAGTGTAACATTATAATATGTACTGACAAACTGTGGCAGCAAAAGTTAATGGTAAAAATAATTTAACGTTTTAATTAAATCTCTAATGTAGACTAAGACTGCTTTTATTCACGAAAAGTGAGAGAGTCATCAAAGGTCACTGACCTGTAATAAATGACTCAAGCCAAACAACACAAAAAGAGTAATAAAAAAGAACAAAATAAATAAGACAACTAAGGTTAGAACCAGAAGTAGTAAAAAAAGAACAAATTTTTGAAAAAAATAAAAAGTAAGCAAAAAAGACATATTTAGAATGATGAATACGTAAAGATGAGTAGTGAGGACGATGAATAGTATAAAAAAGAGAAACAGGACTTAGATGATGATAAATTTTGAAAAACTGTAGAAGTCTAAAGTATTTACGACGAAGAGTGATTTGGAACAGAAAGTTGAGACACAAGTAGAACACTAGAAAAACGATAGTCAAAATTGCGAGAAATAACACGAGAAGCAAGTTTGTTTACAGAATCAAGAACAGTAAGAGAAAACGAACTGTCATACAAGGCACAGCAACAGTCAACTTTAGGAAGAAATGTTACAGTGAGGAGTCGAATTCAACGACAGAAATGCACTATCTCAAAACGTCATGGTAAATGTGTAACAATGTCATGCTAAAAGTGTCCCACGTAACATTTTCACACTTTTAGCATGACACTGTTACACATTTACTGTAACATTTCGGGACAGTGTACGTGACAATAGAAAATTTTAAACATTAACATTTTTAGTTTTATTCAGAGTTCTTAATGGATAATTTGAAGCCAATCAACTGTCTTTACTTGCACTTGACAAAATAAACTGATAAGTAATGTGCCGTCAATGCATCACTGTGTCAATGCAGCTTTGTCATCTCTCCGCACATACTGAGTCTCTTTGTTGTACAGTTTGCTGTACCTAGTAGCTAGCTACTTTTTTCTATGAGTGAAGAAACAATTTCGCTCAATTAATTGAAGTAGTTGAGCATTATTTTAAACAAAATACATAGTTTTCTTCTGGCTTCTGACGATTCTTCTGTAGGTTAAACTCTCAGTTTAGCTTGAGTAAAGGTTGATTGTTTGAAAAACAAAAATCACACAAAAAGATTTGTGTGTAACTAAGTATAAAATATCACTATTTATCTCTTTTTTTTAGATTAGAAATTTTGAATGATAATCATTTATGAATCATGGCTAATTTAAGCAGTTGCAGTAACAGTTCGACGTCTTACCATCAGAACAAAATTTTAAAACCGTTGAGCTCATCAGACACATCTTCATCTACCGACTGGTGTAAGTATTTATTTATTTATTAAGAGAGAAAAACTACGCTTTGTCTCTATATCTACCTTGTTTTCTTTTGTTTATAGCCATATCGTTTTATGTTGTGGATAATGCTTGTCGAAATATTGACTTGATTAATGCATTGGATCATATGTATCCAGATCGATATAAATGTATAATAGATAGAAATGAATTAATGGATAAAATTGAAGATTCAAAACAAATAGCAAATAGTCTGAACCAGAGACAAATGTACATTTTTATTGTTGATACATTTGATAATGATGATTGTTTATTCAAACGTGATCAGGATTTATATATAATCAGTTCAGAATTAGTGTTAACATGTGCCGAAAAGAAAAAAGTAAGGGAGAAATCTTTTGTGAATTTAAAAATGTGAAATTCCTAATCATCGTCGGCTGTTTCATGTATATTTCTGTGTAAAGCAGCACTTATAGAAATATTCATGCCGTAAATGATAAAATGCTAAGAATAGACAATAAATAATTTTCTGTACTTCTCAACGAATCATGTGTCTATATTATTAATTTCTTAAAAGAAATCGTGTTTGATAGGAGAGCTGAAATATCCTAAAACCGTTTGATTTCTAGCTATAAATTTCAAATTCTTTTTTTCGTAGGAAATAGCGATAGAAAAGCTTTATAGAAATAAATTAACTAACATTTACTCAATATGTATCTTTCGGTCATTTTAGGACGTTCCCGTGCCCAAGTTAAATCGTCCACTTTATTGTGAACATTTATCGTCAGCTGTTATTTGTTTTGTGGCTTTCCGTGATCAAGATAAATTGGTGAGTATGTGCAACACTTTTATGAAGTTTTATTAAGTCAAACCCGTAATCCGATTTGCCATAATAAGAGTGAAAAAACTGAATTAGAAAATAATTCGAGCTGCTCTCGCTTCCATTTTTACAATGGTGACAACAACTTTACTAAATATCTATAGGCAAAATAAGGTTGAAAAATACCCATTACGGATGATGTGTATGCTAGCTTTGCAACTCTAGTTTTCTTTGTCAAAAACGATAGAATTATAAAAGTTTGATGTTTTTAGCAACGTTTGTGTGATTATGTACATTATCTTGGTGGTAGTGTTAGAAAGGATTATTCTGATAAAATAACACACGTGGTGGCACATGCAAATTTGGGTGAAAAGTATCTTGTAAGTATTTTTGTTTCTTATTTTACTAATAAAGATGTCATAAAAGTACTGCAGATTGAAGACGAAAAGATTTTCTATTTTGTTATATAAAAAATGAATAATTACACTATTATAGTTTTTCTCGTAGTCGTCAATATTTTCTAATTTAATTTTAAAGTTAATTTATTTGTTATTTTGTTTTAAGCGCTTGATTGTGGATACGTTCTTAAGTGTATATTATTATGATTTTATTATCATTTTTAGACAGCATTCAATATGGAACGTAGTGAAATCGTCACAGAAGAATTTCTAACAAATTGTTGGCGTGAACGTAATAATCGTTCATTTGATCATCGAACTACAGTTGAAAAATATCGAACAAAACCATTTCATAATCTTCGATTATTCTTTTACGGTTCTACTAATGATGATGATAGACAAAATATGGAAATGTTAACATTACAGAATGGTATACGCGACTAAATTTGGTTTCTTATTCAATCAATGTTTTGGACTTTATTTTAGGTGGTTATATAACATCTAATTTGAATGATGCAACGCATATTGTTATATCGAATGATTGTGAAACATCATTTACAGAAACATATCCTGATTACGTCAAACAACCAAGACAATACTGTATTAAAGCACAAGTAAAAAAACTGATGATCTTTGTTAATGAATTATCAAATTATGTTGTATATTTTAGTGGTTTTGGGAATGTATTTTACTAGTTGGAAAAGCTGATGAATCGGCCTATCGAGCATTTCCTCATGTAAGTTGAAGTATATACTAGTGAGCATATGTATTATAATGTTTATGTGTGCGGGTTTGTCTTATATAGAAAAGTCAAGATATTAGTATGCAAAATACAATCTCACCTTCAATTACATTTTGTTCAACACCACCTACCATACAACCACAAAATACTACTCGAAAACGTCGAGTACAACATAGTGAATTTGATGGTAATAATGCAACACCACGTAAACGTCGATCAACAGAGAATAATTTAGAAAATAATAACAGTTACAATAATACGTTTACATCACCTATATTAAATTTGAGTAAATCAACGATTGACGATCGTATGTAAATGTTGACATTTGTTTTTATATAAACTATCATGTTTTCATATTTATAGCTAGTCCAGACAAGCGGAAAAAAGACAATCGATATTTGATTATAATGGAATTATATGAAACAGAACGAAATTACGTGACAATGTTAAAAAGTATCATTTGTGTAAGCCATAATTTATTCTAAATATTTAAATTGTCAGAAGATTCATTCTATTTCTTTTTTTCTTCAAACTAATTGCTTTATCAAATGATTGATCATAACATGACTTCAGGAGAATAAACAATGAGAGTAGAGACTGCTAACCAAAAATACAGAAAAAATTACTATTCAAGCAAAAGTACTCCAACCGAAATATCTAGATGCTTTAGCTGGAGTATCGGTCGATATTTTTTACACTTTTATCTAGATATTCCAGCTAGAGCATTGAGTTAGCTAACTGCATCGGTCTATGTATTGCCCAATATATTTGAATGCATCGAGTTTTTCCCGATGAAAATGTCAATTCATAGGCTATGCTATTTAGTTACATCGAGAGAAACATTTATCTGCATCTGTATGCGTCGACCAGTAAATTGACCACCGAGATGCATTGGGCAATACGCAATGCTTTTTCGGTGCTTGGGTATGACAGCGTCTGTGAGATTGACTATATTATTTCTTTATTCATTTCTGTTCCTCTTGATTTTCTCCGAAACAGTATCGTTCATAGGCTGTTTTTTTTAAGATCTACAAAACTGAAGTTGAAAAAGAATCTGATAGAAATGGACCGATATTAAATCCAATTGAAAGTTCCTTTTTATTTGGTAATATCCAAGCAATTTATGATTTACATGTTGAAATATGTTCAAAATTAGAGCACCTAATATCATTAACAACACAAAGTGTTGGAGTAATTTTTATTGATAATGTGAGTTAAATTATTTTGGAATATTTTGTACGTTATTATTCATTTATTCTTATTTTACAGTCTATTAAAATCTTGAAAGTATATGAACCATACACAAAATTTTATGATAAAACGGTGGAAACAATACGTTATCTAGAAAAAACGAATACACGATTTTATGCATATTTAAAGGTAAGAAATTTCTATAAAAGATCTTTAAATACAATTTTCTCTTTTTTTTTCTTCTATAGATTGCTCAACATAGACAAGAACTTGGTAAACAACAATTAATCGATTTAATGATTAGACCAGTTCAACGTCTGCCAAGTATTTTATTATTGTTAGAAAGTAAGTATGTCTAATATCGAAAGTGTTGTTTCTTGCATCTAAATGTTATATTCCTATGGTTAAGGATTATTGAAATACACACCATCCTCTCATATGGATCATGAACCATTAGCTAAAGCAATTGATATAGTGAAAAATATTGCTAGAAAATTAAATGAAGAAAGAGGAAAAACTGAAAATCAAGTAACAATGTTTACAATTGTGAATAATATTGATAATTGTCCAGTGCGTACATGTTTTTACTTTTATTCATAAATTTTCTCATAATTTTTTTAATATTTTTATAGCCTGAATTATTGTCAGCACATCGCCATTATATAGACAAATTTGATTTGATTGAATTATCACAAGAATTGGGTGGAAAAGGAACACATTTAACGTTATTTTTATTCTCTGACTGCATTGAAGTAGGTCTTAATTTATTCATAGATATCAAGTTCAAAGTATGAATGTGTGTTTTACATTTAGATTACAAAAGTACGAAATAATACATGGAAAACAGTTAAACTTACAACAACAACAACACCACCGAACCGTACTGGTACTATACGAACGCCAACTAAAACAGCAAAATCATATAAACATATCGTATTAGTACGATTGAATAATGTCAAAGCTCTATTCGATATTTCATCGTCATCGGTTGACAATGGTACGTTTACAAAATACTACTGATTTATCACAAAATATAATAATTTTCTTTTTAGAAAGTGATGATCAATTGGGTATGATATGTTCAATTGATGGATTTGAACGCCGTCTCTTATTTACACGTATCAATGATGCATTATCATTAGTTACAAAAAATGATATTTTACAAACATTAGCAAAAGCAATATCTGAAGAAAAATGTCTTACAAATACAGTAAAGCAATATCGTCAATATCTTTCTTTGCTTAATTGTTATTTAGTTTTTTTCTAGGCGACATTTATTCAAACAATCGATTCTAGTGAATTATTTTTTCCATCATCTATTTCAACAACGTCCACAACTTCACTATCATCATTAGAATATTCCGCTTCAGTTACTAGTAATACAACATCATTATCGTCACGTAGTTCGAATGCATTAACTAATGCTGTCAAGAGGTGGGTTACAGTTGATTAATTATGCATTTTGTTATTAATAGTGTTCAATATTCTTTAGATGTGCACACAAAGTGAACAAACGACTTAGTCGTGCACTCTCGTTCAGTCCATCATCATCAACAAATCGAATGAAAAAAAGTGTCACACAAATGTTATCGAGTCCATTCAAACCGTCAAATGACAATTTTAATTCAATGAAACGTTTAAGTATACCCTATATGGAGGTGAATAAAATTAAAGAATTATTATCGATAGTTATTAGTTAATTACTTATTAACTTATTCTCTCTTTCATGCTGTCACGCTACAATTTGGTCTTTTATGAATTAAAATACAAATTTTTATATTTGTAGGATTCATTTCATTCTCCGGATGAGATGGATGAACGAATGGATCATCAAGGAAGAAGTGAAACGTCTACCCCATTAGTGATGCAATCCATCAAAGAGAGTAAGTTAGTTGGATTATTTGTAAAAATAAAAAAGTCGACTATTTTCTATCTGTTTTATAATGTTTAGATTGTGAATAAGTTTGGCAATTACCGTTAAGATGTAAATGATGTTTATATTTTTTTCTTTTTTTGGTTATTTCTAGTCACAAATAATTGTACTTTTTTGTCAGATAATAAAACTAACTACTTACTGCATATTTGTTCAGATATTTTATTTCTATTATGTGTGTTGTATGTTGTGAATATTTGTTATCATTTGTGACGTTTTGTTTTCTATTGTGCTATATGTGTTGTTAATTCGATTCTTTTTTCTAAACTGTCTGCTGTACTTTTCTTTTTACCTGTACGTGAGATGTTTTGTATTTATTATTATAAAACTGATGTTTACCAATTAAATAGATTCGTAGATGTTATTCATCATCATTGTTTCGTATTTCATCTTTGTGGCAAAGGTCAGTTGAAAAGGAGATTGCAGAATGGAAAAGTAAGTTGTTGTTGATTAGGAATAGGAGTTGTTGTTGTAGGTTGTAGATTTTAAGACTTAGCGAACAAATTTTCCATAAGTTACAAAAAAAGAATCTCACCGGATTTCCGTCAACAAATCGGCCCCCCCCCCATGTTAGCAATAGTCTATGAGTGAGGTGTGTAGCCTGTCACATGACGAATCTAATTAGCTTATTTTTTTTTCTCTGGAATCATTGGGCACATGATAGAAAATAGACTTTTCTGATGACCACTCATTTTCACTATATTAATAGTAAAAACTTCGTATTTCTAAAACAAAGTCATCTTAGAACAATCGGTTTGTAGCACCGAAAAGTCTGTTAAGAGATGTAACCTTGATTTATATCACTTCAATTCGTCTTTACGCAAGCAAAAAAAGCACGCATCGCATTTTTTGAAATTCCTTTCCATTGCTCAAAAAAATTCGTTTTTTCTAAATCAGAGGCGAAAAAGTCAGAACTCTGCTCGTAATTCTCAGTTTTCTCCATCAAAACTTCCATGTAATAAAAATATCATATTCGGAATCAGAATCAAAAACTGAATCGACTAATGTGTATTTCTATCCTATCCGACTACTTTAATTTTTTTTTGAATTTTCACGTTTAAAAATTACCGAGATTTTCATCAAAAAATGAAAATAAAATAAAAATTTCGAAAGGAATTTCAAAAAATGCGATGCGTACTTTTTTTTGCTTTTTTGCAAGACGAATTGAACGTGATATAAATCAAGGTTACATCTCTTAACAGGCTTTTCGATGCTGTTTGCTACAAACCGATTGTTCTAATGTGACTTTGCTTTAGAAATACGAGGATTTTACTGTTAATATAGCGAAAATGAGTGATCATCAGAAAAGTTCACTTTCTACCATGTGTAATTAGATTAGATTGCTTAGACGGTGACTAATCGATTTTCTAATTTTTTCGCGGCAGCATAACTACACTGTAAAGTTGAAAAAAGAAAAGTTCGTGGTTTTTTCTGCTACTTTTCTCTGAATCACATACAAAAGTTCGTTCCATCATTGAGTAAGGTCGGTGGAGTATGTAATCACCGGCTTTTCAACGCGGAAGCTGTCAGTCAGCTCCGTGAATTTATGCAGTAAAGTGCACAAAAAAGCATGAGCACGCAATAAGTGAAACAGAAATGTTTGACTACAACAACAATAAATTTAGGCCGAAGTACTCGAAGTATGTTGTGTTTTTGGGCCAATGACTTTTCAACCAAAATTTCATTTTGATCCGCTCAAGCGTACAGAAATGAGAGATAATTTCAATACTGATCACAAATCTAGTGTTTGCTTATTCGGTAAAAATATATACTAGTTGAGATATATTTAAAAAAATTAAGATGTAACCGTTTCTCCTATGTTTTGGGCAAAGAAATATGTCTTCTAATTTTTGATCCTTTGCTTTTCTGACTTTTAGGTTTTTTTCTGATTTCTTAGCTTTTGAGTTGGCAACCCTAATGTTCATAGCGTAAGTTATAATGACTTTTTTTAATGGCATTTTTTCTGCTGAAGAAAAAACCGCTTGAACCAACATTTTTCAACATTTCAACATTTTTTGCTGATGTACTAGGACCACAGTTACATTTTGTGTTTAAGAAATCATTAGAAAACGAGATTTTTCCTGAGCTACGGAAATCGGCTTTGATTAAGGCAGTTCACAAAAAAGGATCTCGTTCACTCCGTTTCAATTATCGCCCGATTTCGTTATTATCGAACGTCAGTAAAGTTTTCGAAATGATAGTCCAACAAGCACTTCTACGTCGTGTGGAGCAATCAAATTTTTTTCTCGCAAACAATTCAGTTTCCGTCCCCAATTTAGTACCGCTGATAAACCACTGTGTCACCACTGAGTTGAGTAAGCATCCTGAAAAACGAGATAAGGTCATAGGGATGGTGTCTGATTTCTCAAAAACGTTCGGCAGGGTGCTCCATCAGTTACTTCTCACAAAATTGTCCCTAACGGGTATCGATGGGACACTCTACCAGTGGTTCGGTTCCTATCTCTGTGATCGGAAACAAATTGTTTTCGTTAACAATAAATGATCCAGTTCAGTACCTGCAGTTTCAGGAGTCCCCCAAAAAGTATATTAGGTAACATTCTTTTCCTCATTTTATCAATGACCTCTCCAGCATTTTTCCCTCTTCAACAATTGTTCGTCTTTTTGTTCACGATCTTTTTCTTCTTGTACGTCTGAAGAAACGTCTGTATAAAACAAATGGATTTTTTGAAAAATCTCAAAATATGTTTAGCATTTATAAACAATGCCTCAGCGCAGTAGCAGAATTCGACCACAGTAGCGGGTCCAAAAGCAGTTTAACATCCCAGCAATTTGGTTCTTCACTTCCATTTACGGATATTGGGTTCCCTCTTAGATAAAGTTGAGTGAGAGTATTATTTACTTTCGGTGTTTGTGCTTCACCTCTATCGGACATTCGGTTGCTACTAAGATCAAGTTGAGTGAGAGTGTGGTTTATTTTCAGTGCTTCTGCTAGTGCTTCAACTCCTCTCTCGGATATTTGGTTGTCTGCAAGAGCAAGTTGAGTAAGAGTGTTGTTTGCTTTCAACTCGTTTACAACGAAGGCAGCAACTAGTTCAAAAGCGTTCTGGGTCGTCGTATCGCTGGAATCGCGTAGTTTCATACGCAGCGTTAGTGACGATAGTTGTGTCATATAGGACAACTGTGGCACCAGCACTTTGATCACTTGTTCTGGTTCAATGGGGAGCAACGATAAGGAGCGAAGATTCACCAATATGTTCTCGGAAGAGCGGGTGAGTAACAAATCAAAGTAACGGGGGGTCTCTTTAGAGAGATACAGAGAACGAACTTGCGCCGTTGATGGAAAGTGTTCGCAGATAAAGTCACATCTGGATTTTCTCATGCGTTCAAGGTTCAGATCAAACTGCAGACTGACGAGTAGTCCATCGAAGCGATCGTTTAGTCGAAGGAATGAATGGAGAATATCATAGGCATCCAAATGCTGGAAAATTTCAAGAATAACTTCGTTCGGAAGCGATTGAAACTGTGTCACATCTAAATAAATGTGCATTGTCAAGAGTTCGCATTCTTGGTCTTTCTTATATGAAGAGAGCCTCTCTGAAGCATAAAGGAGGGAGAATGGCAAGATGCATACTCCCTCTCGAATATGACCAGTAGTGTTACATTCAGTGATTGTTCTTTCGAGTATTAGGCACGGTTTTATCCTCTCTGTGTAATATAGATAGATGGATAGCTAGCCATTAGCATTTTACTATGCTCATGACCTTGGATGTCACCTCTCTCTCCACTATTCTCAACATATTGTAATCATTAGGTGTGTGTGTGCCACACTGGATGTGGTTGAAGAAGACATGATCAACTTACCATTCTGTGCTTGCTTCAAATATTCATCATTGCCACAACTAGTGAGCAGTCGGTCTGAAAAGTCATGCTGCACCTCTGTTTAGGATGTGAAATTGGTGTTTGTGTTCACTCTGCTGTCAGTTGTAAACAGCAGATTGAATAGATGCGATGTTTTTGCCTACATCATTTAAGTATCATGATGACATCATACATTTCTGTTTTCTTTTTCACTATGCATTCGATTTATTTTGCATGGTTTTGTATTTCAATACTAAATATTAGAAAACAAAAAATACTCTATGCTCTGTAAACAGATTTGCTTAACAGCATGAGCTGAGTGACTGAGGGTAACAAACATACGTGTATATATAAATTTAGATTGTATTTACTTTCCAATCAAGCTATCAGGTGATACTACCGTAGTGTGGTATCCTGTTGGATGCCACGTCTGAATAGTAAAAGTGATATACATATTATTCGTTTGTATTAGTGCAGATGAATTCCATATTAGCGACAGAACAGATATTCTAAATATATCGCTGTGTACAAAGTGTCCTCTTTCGAATAGACTGCTTTGTGAACTTTCCATTTGTGAATATTACAGCATAATTTTTTAAGGAAGTTTTCCAAGAGATTTCTGAAAACCGTGTAAGAATTTTCAAGTTCAAATCCACATTGTTTGGCTTAAAAAGCAATTAGCTTACCCTTTGAATATATCATCCGATGGAGCCTGAAAAACTGAACAATTTGATATAATTTTCAAGGTTTTGAAAAAGCTCTAATAGATTTTGAAGGAGATTTTGTGAAAAACTCATTTGTAATTTATTATTTGAAATGTAAGTTCAACGCCCCTGCTCGAATATATTATGGCATGGATCAAATAAAACGGTCATTAATCTGAACGTTTGTATAATTAGCATTAATTTGGTTAAAACAGAGTGCGAATGCAACACTAATTAAAAAAGTTATAAATCAGAAAGTGATCAGAAAGGTTGGCAGCCCTGATGAACATATCTTTTTATTCTACTACTATTCAGTAGTAAATTATGAATTTTAACAGGAATTAGTGTAATATATGTTCATCTCTTTCTCTACTCTCTTCTCATCTTATTTCGTTCTTATATTTTTTGTTTTGTATAGGTAAAATATATATTCGTGTCGTACCTTGTGTTAGGATAATCCGATAAGGTCTTCTAGCTTACTTTACGACAATAAGAAAAGACTAAAAGAAATATGTCGTTTCGTCTCATGTCTAAATGAAACATTTTTTTTGTGAAAAACGTATTGAAAGTCATGTGGGCGTCCCAAATTATGATTATCAAATCACAGAATCCCATCTTCTTTGATTCAAAGCGTATATTTTGAATTGTGTCTAGTTTTGTCCTTAATTTAAACTTAGAAAAGAGCGAATAATGAATCGTGTAAAATAATGTTAAATTCAGAATTTAATCACTCATTACATCATTTAATATTCATTGATCCATAAAGATTAATTTATTTCCAATAAACTCAACAAGTCACATATCAATTACAAACTTTTATATAGCGGCGATGAGATTGAGACAAAGTGATCAAAATTGATGCGAGAGTTCGTTTTTTTTTTTTGTGGAAGAAATTTAGTAGCAATAATTTTGATGATTAGTAAATTTTACAGTTAGCTTATTAATTTATTTGCCATGTTTTTTCCGTTTTATAGCCTTATTTGTTCCATTTAAGAAAAAATTTTTCTTAAAAAATACTATGAACATAGAACAGAGAAAAAGCACCTGTATGTTGAATGAAAAATATCGAAAAACTGAACTAATCTTTCGTTACGACAAAACGATTTAGGAAGTTAAAAAAAAAAACGAAACAAAATAGATAGGTAAAGTTAATGGGATATGAAGAGAGTAAAATAACATGTCGTATTCAATATATTTTAAGAAAAGGATCTTTTAACCTAATTCGGAAAAGACGTAAAATACTGTTTGGTTAAAAAAAGAAAAAGAAAAAGAAAAAAAAAAGCGTCTTGTAAAACAAAGTAGACTAATGTATGTAAAAAAACAAAACACGAAAGTCAATAGTATTTTATGTATAAAAAAAGAAACAGTTTCTTAATTACCTGTTAAAAAAAGGAAGACGAATGCATAGATGTAAAAAATAAACAAAAATGATACAAGAGCAAATAACAACAACAACAAAAAAAAGTTCCTAGGAAAAAAAAAAGATTCTTTTAGAAGGTGATGATAATGGATTGAATTTTTGATTTTAGAGCACCGCAAAGAGTACCAAGAATTTCTACTGTCATAGCACCAAGTATGACTAAGTATTCTTCTTTCTATGCTTGAATATGCATATTTTTGACAGAGAAAAAGGTAATAATGTATACCTTTGTTTATAAAATAATATATTTAATGTAAAAGAAAAATAAATTCTCTGCGAATTTTTAGAAATATATATAAATAGAGATGCACACATATATACGCATAGATAACAAACGCAAATAGGAGAATAGAGAAAGAGTAAGAAGATAATATATCAATGACTCGTGTTTGTCGTTTTACTTGCTCGTAAATTATTTTTATAACAACAAATGCATTATTGAGAAGTTGTTGTTTCAACATATATAAGAGAATATATTTTCTTTGGTATAATCGATCATAGATTAATGATTTGTTGTGTTGTTTATACAACTTCAATATGCCATGGTGAGCCGGGAATATGTTGATCGCCCCATTTTACAATTAACTTAAAAATAAATAAATATATTCATTGAACATAAATGTTTAAAATATGAACAATAGATATTTATTTTTTTTTGTATACATACCATATATTCTCCTTTTTCTCTCACTGTATACGATACATTATATTGATTATTTCCCATATGTTTGATAAATACTTCTTCACATGGATATTTTGGTCCATAGACACCCACCATTAACATTGCACTTCCTAATACGATATAAATCACTCTATAGTCATATTCTATGATTAATAATTATCTACTTACCAGCATCTCGAGTATCAACAGTAAATGAGGCTTTTTCATTTCTAAATGCTCTTTGTAATCCTTGTCCTTTCACTCGAACTTTTCCAGCATCAGATTGCATTGAACGTTGCATAGAAGATAGATGACTGGATGATAATGATCTTTCAACAGTTTCAAATATTATATTAGAAATATTTTGTTGTCTTTGAGAATATGATGATGATGTACTTAAACCACCACTTGTATGACTAGTCATACCAATACCTAGATAATATTTTAAAATAGTTTAATTATTCAAAAATATTATATTCTGTTACAATCATACCAGTTACAGTATTTTTGAAGGGACTTCCACCAATGTTAATGCCAGCAAATTTGATTGTAATTAAATAATCTCCTGGGGCTGTCGGAGTAAATGTTACACGATATCCTTTAAATATAGAAGAAATTTATAAGTTATTCAATAAATTACACAGTAAAGATGAGCAAATACCTTCTGATACTTCTTTACAATCAAGTTGTACTTTAGATGGGCCATCAACGGTTACAGCAAGAGCACCTGCTCCTGCATTCATTGTATCAATTAAAAATTCACATGGTTTTCCTAAAAAATAAATGTAAAATATACATAATATCAACGAGACTATCATTTTTAAATCATACCTGTTTCACCACGATAAAGACCAGGTCCACTTGCAAAAACTCGTCCTGGATCTGCATTTGCATGTCCAACAACAACTGTATCATTAATAGAAGACATATATATATATATATCTTTGATGTATTTTTTGCTTTTCATTTAAAAACATACCTCTGAATGGTGAGTCTGGAATATCTCGTCCATTAAATCTTACATGTACCCAATGAACACCATTTTCTTTTGGGATAAATCGAATTGCATAATGTTCTAAAAGTAATGACAAATAAATTATAAAAAGAAATTAATATTATCCTTCTTTCAAAACTTACCATCGCCCATTTCTTGAACGAGACAAGTGTCTTCTGCACCACTCGGAGCTGTTACACGTGCATCTAATCGTCTAAAACATTCAAAAATATTATGAATTATTAATGAAGTCCTGGTGACTCCCTATGAAAATATTTAGAAGATTTCAAAAATTCAATGTTAATTCATAGAAAAAACTCTGTATTAAATCAAATGATCTATGACAGCAAAAAAATCTGTGAGTATTGCTCAATTTTTTACGTTTTGTACATTGAGAGAGTTCTTCGAAGAAAATTAATAATAAAAGACTATAAACTATTTTTCTTTTCTTGAAACTTACCCGCGCGCTCCATTGACATTTACGGTAAATGTGCAAGGTCTGTTTACCTACAAAAATCAAGTAATAACATTTTATTTAACACTCTCATAAGTAGGTAGAATTTAGACGTACTTCAAGTCCTTTTGTTTTCAGACTGTGTATTGTGAGTTTTTTAGCATCACCAATTGGAGGTGATACATTCACTGTGAATGGAGAATCTGGAATATGTTCATCATTAAATTTGATTGATACTTGGTATTCTCCTACAAGATAAAATATTTAAAGCAAACCGTGACATAGTAGACTATTTTTTGACTTCTTACCTGGTTCTGGACAAACGTAAGATACTCCACATGATCCATCTTTTCTATCAAAAAAGTCAATTTCCGCTTTTGCTGGTCCTTCGACTGCAATGGCTAAACTGCCAGCACCTGCTTCTCGTGTGTAAATATTAAATTCACCTTAAAACAAAACATTTTTGAATGAATTAAATTTTGAGCAATTTTATACAATACAAATGCTTACTTTGTGTATTCACTTCTCCTCGGACTAGTCCACTTCCACTTGCACGAACTTTATGTGCTCCACCTCCAGCTATTGGACCCACAGTAAATTCAAATGGAGATCCAGGAATATGCATATCTTTATGTTTGACACTAACTGTATGTACACCCATTTGTTTTGGAACAAATTTAATTGAATAATTACAATCATCTAAATCAATTATTTCACAATTTTCAACATGACCAGATGGATTTGTGACATAGGCGCTCATATCAAATGGACTTGTGCCTAAAAATGAGAAATAATTAAAATTGATTGCAAAGTATTTTATAACATTCTTAAAGAGTGTGATCGCACACTATTTAACAAAAATTTTATCTCGTTGTCTATAACTTATGAGAAAAGTATTTAATTATGAAGCAGAAAACTATTAGTCAACCTGGGACCATTTGAAATTTAAAACCAGGATAATATGGTATATCAGATTGGTATTGATGTTGTTTTAATAAATTATGCGATGATGTTTGAGCAACTGGAATATGCCTCATAAAATAACTGTTATTACCACCAATGTTTCCATCATTTGTTGCTTGTGAATAGGATGATTCTCGTTGATCATAATAGGAGGAACATTTTGCTTTTCTTTGTTGCTGTTGAAAAGAAGATGATGAATTATTTTGTCGTGCTATCGGAATATATTGTGATTGTGGTCGTTGTTCTTGTCTCTGTGAGCCAAGGTAATATGGTGATTTAAATGATTGTTGACTGCTATAATCACTTAGGTTTGTTCTCGATTGTGAATGTGACCGCCTTTTCCAGTCTTCGGTTAAACCACATAGTGGTCGTTGTTCTTGTCTCTGTGATCCAAGATAATATGGTGATTTAGATGATTGTTGACTACCATAATGGCTTAGGTTTGTTGTCGATTGTGAATGTGACCGCCTTTTCCAGTCTTCAGTTAAACCACATAGTGGTCGTTGTTCTTGTCTCTGTGATCCAAGATAATATGGTGATTTAAATGATTGTTGACTACCATAATGACTTAGATTTGTTTTCGATTGTGAATGTGACCGACTTTTCCAATCTTCAGTCAAATCAAATTGCGGTGGTCGATTTAATATTCTTCTACTATCTAAATCATCTAATAGTGACGAACGACTATGATAGGATGCTAATGAAGATTGTGATTCATTATTTCTAATCGGCTGATGCCATGTTTGAGTTTGTTGATCTTCTTCTCTCGATATAACTGGTTTTTCATTATTTTTTTGAGACATTGAATAATGTGAATAGGAGGAACGACGTTCACCAGAATATTCAGATGGCATATTTTGTATGTTGCAAAAAAAAATGATGTGTAGTTGTTGTACGTATGATATCTTCAAACTGCACAAATTGTTCTATTTCATTTTCTCTCTTTTTAATATATCGTTTTTGGATATGTGCGACAACATATCATCGAGAGAAATGAAGATAAATAAAATAATACTAATGATAATAATATAAGAATAAACAAAAAAAGAAACGATTGTGGTGGATTGGCAGAAGTCAACAGTTTTCTTTTTATTTGTACATAGATTCATATTGTTGAGGGGGTAAAAGAGTAAAAATGACCTCTGCGGTATAGATATTATATGTACTCTAGAGTTGACCCTCGCCTATGCAGTTCACTAACAAAAAGATAACAATAATTTGTTTTTTTTTTGTGGAATCTATGATGAGAATATTGTTAAATAATACACTAAGAAAGATTGAGAATAAGAAAATAATTTACAAGTGACATAGATTAATAATAATAATGTACAGTTGTTATTATGAGAAAAAAAGAAGAAAAGGTGGAGTTAATATGGTAACAAAATAAAATAGATGACAATTATCAAGTAGACAACGATGATAAATCGTGTTATACTTTTTATATCATAAAAATAAATAGATTGAATGCAACGATTGTTGACAATATCCAAGCACACACACACACACGCACACGCACACGCACATACACACATTCAATAGAGACAGATCCATATATTATTTCTGTTTTGACTTTGACTATACAAGAAGACAGGCAAGAAATAAAATCCGACGAACATGTTATAAGATGCACCTGTCAATCCTCATTTGATACGTGACAAATATACACAAAGCAAGTTTACTTCACCAACATAAAACAGACCATTGACAAGAACAATGAACACTGTAAAATGTAATCCAGTCAGAGTATCAAATTTAAGTCAATAAAGAAACACGCACGGAAATTACTATCATGTTTGATTGACTATTGAAATCTTTAATAAAACTTATGAATGTTTCTATAGAGCTATTATAGAGAAGAAAGATATCACACACAATTTAAACACTCTATCAAAACTTTATAACGTAAATTATAATTTTATGTTATTTTTATCTTACCAGGTATTTTTAATGATAATTCACATTGACTTCCAATATGTGTAATTTCAGCTGCTTTTCTATCACGCATAATACTTTCTTTTAGTCTTCCCGATCCTTGGCCACCAACTTTGACAGTAAATGGTGAACCTACAGTTAGAAAACATGAAAAAAATGAGACTTCTATCATAAGATTAGATACTTATAAAAGGATTCTGTATTATTGATAGATTATCAAAAGTAATAGATCAATAACAAACTTAATCAAAACTTTTCTCAATTTTAATCTTCAAGAACCTCAAGTATCAGATATTTATGACATATTGTATCAAAATTCGTTGAGATAGTTTCATGAGAGACCAGTTAATAGAACTAAAAAGCATTGAACACAAAAACGCTAACAGACATATAGGCAACATGAAATCAGTACAACATATTTTAGATATTACTTTTATATCGAGTATAGCGTGGTCAACTGAAATAAAGAAAATCACAAAACTAAAGAAAATTGTGTGTAGTATTCTACTTAATTAGAAAGACTGAAATTTTTCATTAATTAAGTTTTACTTGTCAGAATAGGATGAGAAAAACCGATAAGAATCATTGTATTTATGAGTGTTCATCTTAACCGAGAAGAACTTATGCAGCAATAAAATAAGATTTTTTAATACCTGTAACATGTTTATCGGCAAATTTGATATTGATGATATAAATGCCAGGTTCTGTTGGTTTATATGTGACAAGGCAAGAACCATCTTCATTATCATGACATTCAATATCGGCTTTACTTGGTCCTTCAATTGATAAACTTAGTCCACCATAGCCTAAAAAATGGTTTAAAAAAAATGTTTTTTAGTTTAAAATAAACATTCTTTTATTTACCAGCATCTCTTGTAATAACAGTAAAATCATTTGTTTGATTTGCATAACCTATAGAATAAAAATTTATAATTTTTAGTATAAATTAGATAAAAAGTGTTTCATACAAATACCAACCTTCTTGTAAGCCTCTGCCAAACACTCTAACTTTACTTGCATCACCAATTTCAGATGATCCAACATGAATACGAAATGGACTGTTTTTAATATGTCTTCCATCACGATAAACATTCACAAGATGATCACCCATCTCTTTTGGTATAAATGATATTCCTATAAACACAAATTTGTTATTATTTCATCTACTATATTTTTTGTTTAAACAATACCTAAACTTCCATTTGTCAATTTTTTCAATAAACACGGTTCTTCTATTCCACTTGGCGAACGTATTGTTGCATGAAGTTCATTTATATCTGTTTCTGTAACACGTAAACTAAATTCACTCTGACTACCGACCATAACTTGTGATCGTTTACGAGGTTCGCCTATTACCAAAAAAAGTGACGAATAAAATTTCCTTAACAAACATTCTCACACTAACAAACTTATACCCGTTATTTTTGCAGTGAATGGTGAACCAACTATGTGCTTATCTGCAAATTTTACTGTTATGGTATATTCACCCGGAGCAGTCTTAAAAATGTCAAACGTGCTTGTAACTATGTGAATGTTAAAAAAACACCTTGTTTTATTATTCAAATACATACCGGCCAGTAAGTAACATCGCATGTTCCATCTTTATTATCTTTACATTGAATTTCTGCTTTGGATGGACCTTCAACAGCAACAGCTAAACCTCCTATTGAATAGAAAAAAAATTTATTTAAATTTTTATATTTGAAAATTCTTTTTTTATATCACATCACTAACCAGAGCCGGCATCTTTGGTCACAATACGAAAATGGCATGGTTCATTGCAAACACCGTGACTTAGACCAGGACCATAGGCTGTTACATAACCTGTTTGAACTTGATCAACATGAAATTTAAATGGTGATCCTGAAAATATTCAAGTACATTTTTATAGGTAAGTAAGATAATTTTCATCTATTCATATAATCAACTAACCTGCAATAGGTTGTCCTTGGTAAAAGACATCTAATTCGTGTAAACCAATTTCAGATGGTTGATATTTAATACTAACAGTTCCATCTAGATTATCTTCAATAAGAGGTGTATGTATTTTTCCTGTTGGTGTACGAACCAAAGCTAAAAGTAAGAAGAAGGAAAAAAAAAATATGTTATAAAAAGAATTATTTAGTTATTAAATAAATCACTTTATTAGTTGAAGTAATCAATATAAAAAAATAATCGTTAAGATTATGTGCTGGCAAATCAACTAGATAAAAGTCAATATGTTGGAGATAAATAGAGTAATTCTTCACCTGTGCTCATCTTTTTCTATTAGTTGAACCAGCATAAGTTCCAAAACAATAAATAAAAGCGTTCAGTTTAATGTATATATTTGTTTAACTGAAGAGTAATTTGAGCTTATTAAACTATCTTTTTTTTCTTTCTTCTCTTTTCCCCCTCTTTATCTTGATATGTGGATATTTTGATTTGAGAACAATTCAAAATGTTTATAAATTCTACGTATATATATATATATATATGTGCGTGTGTGTGTGTGTGTGTGTTAAGACCGGAAGCAGCGTAACCAAGAACCACCACCACAAACTAACTTCTTTTCTTTTTCATTTTTTTTTTAGTACACATACACTACTATCCATTGTATATATTTATTCTTATCAAAAAAAAAGAACTGTATATTCACCTCTCAAAAACATTTTCAAAAAAAAAAAAAAAAAGTGCTTTTATTACGATTTATCGTCTTTATTCTTGTGTTGTGTGTACTATACTCTTTTATTCTTAATTCATTTATCCTCAAATTATGCACATACATCACTACCATTTTTTTGATTATTTTACAATTGTTTTAAGCTATTGATTTCACTATTATGTTCAATAGTCAGATCATAATATATATTGCTCATTAAAATTCAACTACTACTATTACACATTGGATAAACATACAACAAAGATTAGTTCTCAAATTTAGACCTTAAATGATATCTACAATTATATAGCTTTAACTATTTTTATTTAATTTTGATTAAAAATAAATTACTTGCTAGACTATTAACAAATTTAGAATCTATCTCTTCAACATTTAAGTAAAATTTAAACCAATGAAAATGATGAACAAAATTTGAAGAATTTGTTGTTAATAAATCCTTAGAAAAATGAGAGTTTCTACTATGACTTTTAGGGTAACTGAAGGTCACTCAATCGTTTTAAGCATTTGTTAAAAAAAAATACAAATACAAAATACATCTACTGTTAGATGATAGATTAGACAATTCCCCTTCATTGAGCAATGTGCAAAAATGTGTTACCTGATAGTCTTTGCACTATAGCATCATTAATATGATTACTTACATGGACCTATTTTAGAGTATTTTCAAATGAAATATTACATTCTTTATACGATAAAATAGAGTATCTCAAAGTATCTCCATATTTTATCAACTACCTCTTTTCATAATTATCTTGTTGAAAAGGTTACTCTGATATTTTCTACAATTTTTTGTATGAATTGAACACGTTAATTATCATACGAATATCTAATTTCTTAACAGTCATTTTGTCTAAATTACCTTCGATTATCTACAATATTGTTAGATTTGACTAAAAAACTTTCGAAAATTCTATCTATCTTCGAATAGGAATAATTTCTCAAAATTACAAACTTAATCTACTCTTGATTTGAAAGAGATATTCACGCATATAACAAAAAATAGTTAACTTTTTATTAGATACCAACTGTCTCAATAAACAGACCATCTTTTGATATCATGAAAGCAAGATAATACTATTATTGTATTATAATAAATTTTGTTTTATACTTTCACTTATTCTCAACGTATTATCATAAATAAATGTCGAAAATATTTACTAATATTTTACATTATCTTAATTCTTGTTAAATTCTTTTATCAGTTAGTAGTGTTTTTGTCACTGTTTGTAGAACAGAAAATTTTAAACAGTTTTTGTTCATTCGATTTCACTCTCGTCTTTAGCCGTAAGTATCTAAAATCAACTCATGTATTTGATGACTAATTTAACAAAATTGAAGATTTGATAAAACTAGAAAATCATCATAGGACAAAATTAGAAATATACATTCAATATAGTTTCATCGATGTTCATGATTTCTCTTTTTATTTTGTTCACTATATAATTCCTCTAATCATAAAATGACACGTACCTGTAATATCGCTCATATGGCCACCACCAACTGGTAATCGAAAATCAACAGGTCGATATTGACTGGCAACGTGTTTTGATGTGTGTGTCTCTTGGATATGATCACGATAATATTTGTCATCTCCGGCCTAGAACAATCAAAATATCATAAATTTCATATTCATCAACTAACATAAAAATTAGCTTAATAGTTTATAATTCTTGTTGTCTCAAATCTATTTTTATGAAGACATTAGAAGATACAATAAATTTGTGCATTAATCTATTATCTATGTACCTACAAGCGAAATAGTTTGTTTCAGCGTGATAAAAGCAACAATAATAAATAGAATAAATTTTTACAGAAAAAAAATATATATTAGTGATTTTCTTTTCATTTTGACATACACGATGTTTCTTTATTAATAGAAAATTATCAAATGAACTTAAATTAATTTGAGGGCAATGAATAGAAAAGTAATTATCGATTAAGATGAAATATTTGATTCGATTTAAAAATCATAATATTTTATAAGAAATTAATTAGAAACAATTCATTCGTTCAATTTTGCTAACTGATACCATTGAAAACGGAAACATTGAATAGATTAGTTGTGATTATCTTAATTCAATCTTCAATCAAAACTTGACTATTACAAAAAAATATATTATTTACTCTTTTATCAAAATGAAACAGAATTATTGATAATATTTTAACATAAATAATATTTTTCATTCATAATGATAATAATAATAATAATAATATTGCAACAACAATGTGTGAGATCGAAATAAAATAAAATAATATATCATCATAACGGATGTATGAAATTTAAAATGAATTTTATTCCATCTTCATTTGATTTATATACCTTTTTTTTTTTTCTTCTTCTCTCGATTTCTTACAAAATGTTGACGAATGATGGGATGATTTTAGTCCATGACATTTTTTTCCTGTTGAAAACATACATGTGAGAGAACGAGGTGTAAAAGGGCAAATGAAAGACTGTCGAACTAACCAAGAAAGAATATAGAAGAAGAACAGATAACATTTTCAGAATAAACTTTTTCTTTTTTTCCACAAAAAAAAAATGAATACTCAACAATGTATCAATATTTAGGAGAAAAAACAAAGAAATATGGAAATATGTACGTTTTTAAGTTCTATCTATGATTTGTAATCTAACATCTTTAACTTATTGTATTAGTAGCATTAGGCAAAAACAATTAAAAAATTTGAATAAAAATATATATAATGAATTATTGTAGAAAAAAATAGAATGACTATAATATGATGCTAAGTTTATTGTATGTATGACCATGATAATGAATTAATGAAAGAAATCAAATATGCCGATGATATGGACTTTAAATCGACATAATTATTATAGATTTTAAGAAAAATATGTCTAATTATTGTCTGTTAATTTGCCTTGATGAATGACATTCAATTATGAATTTTTGACAAATTTCTAATTTAATCAATAGATTTTTAGAATATTAAATAATACTATGACATAATTTAAACAATTTCTACATATAAACTATTTTCGAACTGAGTAAAATTATATTAAATACAAAATTTCTTTACAAGTAAACCTACTTTTTCAAAATTCATCTATTTATTAAAATTAGTTAACCATATGAAAATTACAAAAGTCTTTTTATAGACTATCTATATTTCAAAATACTAAAAAGTGTTCATATTTTTATTTGTCCATAAATTCAAATTTTTGTCATCATTTTTCTCATTTTTTTATCAACTCTATAGTTATAAAATATTATCTTAAACTATAAGTTTATTGTCTTATTCAACGTCTCTCTAAAACTAGATAATCATCGTACAGTAAAATGTTGAAATATATGTAAAATTCAAATTATAATGTTCGGGTTAAAAGAACAGTTCAATTCAATTGTTATTCATTCTGAGAAGGAAACAAAAAAAGGTAAATAAACGATCGAATTTTTTATGATAGACACTCAAGTTTGTTTGTATTTGTGTTCAAACAGAGTATATCACATTGTGTGTGTGTGTATGTGTATTTACAAAAACCAATGGTATCAAGCATTGGGCAGATTTGTGTACGTGTGTGTGTGTCTGTGTGTCAATCATTATATTCTATACAAGAAATATGTTGATTATAAAATAAAGAAGAAGTAGTGTTTAATTTTAAAATCTACGCATTAATAAAGAAGACAAAACTAAAAGAAAAAGCATACCGTATAATCTGGCGAACCCTAGAAAAAGAGAGCATTTAATTTGCTATTAGGTTTTTCTTTCTTTTTTTTTAAATTAGAAATAAATAATATGAACAGAAATAATAACACCATAAAATACACAATAATTTTATTTACTAAGCACATAGATGAACAAATCGATTGTTACTTTATTAAATAACTAAAAAAAGTTTATAAATTTAAAATCTTGAGTTTGTTGTAACGAAAAAAAAAAAAAAGGATAAAAAGAAGAGAATTATGATTTATTTTGCATATCAGAATTTTTTTGAAATTTAAATATAAAATGATAACTTTTCTTTTATAGTTTCATAATTTAAACTCAATTTTGAATATATCCTAAGAGTAAGTAAGTACTGAGACTTGAGCATTTCAAACATATTCTTAGTAAAGAATACATCAGAATTACTTTGGAAATCTTTGGTTACAAAGTAAAAAAAGATTTGTTCATTCTTTCGTTTGTGTTCTACTAATAAATTAGAAATTTTCATTCTTCCAACCGTAATAAAATAACGAAAAAAAGAGCAAAAATTTTTAATTAAATTTTTTTTATTTTTTTATGTTTTATTCAATTATTTTCCTCATGATTTCGGTTACTTATTATTATTATTATTATTATTATTTTCATATACCGTACCGTTGATAACAGATGAAGAGGCTAAATTTGGTAGAAAGATAAATAAGAGAAAAGGCAGAAAAGAACAGAGAAAAGAAGAGTAGCTGCTGTTGTGTTACTATTGTTAAATAAATTATAGCCTACACTTACCGTAACCATAAGATCACCACCAGGAATATCTTGTCCACCAAATTTAATTTTAATCGTATAATTACCCGGATTATGTGGTGTATAAAATATATTAAATGTACCATCTTGATTATCGACAATGTCAATATCTAAATCATTTCCATGTGTACTACGTATACGACATGTAACAGCACCTGGTCCAGCCTCATGAGTATCCACTGTGATTGTATACTCTTCACCAACTTGAACATGTGGACTAATACCAGGACCTGAAAACAAAAAAAATAATAGAATGGATAAATTTACAAATAATCATTTGTTGTATTGTCAACAATGATCAATAATCTACCTGATACATGACACTTCGACGGATCACCGATTGGATCCACTTTTACAATGAATGGTGAATTGTTAACGGGTATTCCACCATAATTAACATTAACTGTATAACGACCAACATCTTCAGGGCGATAATGGACGTTGTAGGTACCATCTTTATTATCAATTATTTTATTTGGAACAATCAAACCTTCAGGATTCTAAAAATATACAAAACAAAATAGACATACTTTCTATGATATATTTTTGAAAAAATATTTAATTTTAAATCATTGTTAGAAGTACAATATGTTCATATAAACAATGTAGAGAGAGAAAATCTATGATAGAACTCAAATAACTGTAACTAATGAATAATAAATACATACTTTGATTAGAATATCAAGATGTTCAAAACCAGCGTCTCTTGTATCGACACGAAAATTGGTTGGTAAAGATGCTGGTACACCACTTCGAATACCTGGACCGTCAACAATAACTTTATGTGGTTCAAAATGTGGAAATACTTGAACGTTAAATGGGCTAAAAAGTAAATTTTTAATTGTAAAAATGACATCTATTATTATCACAAGCAAACCTTTTTGCTATTGGATGATCACTCCATGCTATATCAACACGATGTAATCCTTCTGATGTTGGTGTAAATTCAGCTACATAAATACCTTCACCACGAGATCTAATATTTGCAGGTTTACGACGATCTTTTAAGAAAAGAAAAAAGTACAAATTAAAAACATATTTAGACAATATATAAAAATAATCATCAAAATATGCCACTTACTTATTCACTCTATGTAACAAACACGTTCTACAACCGCAAAAGGCGGTATTTCTTTTATCAATGAATTAAATTAAAATCAGATGTAAGAGAAAGAAAAAAAAAACCCTCGATGTTATTGATGAAGAAAAAACACCAAATCAAACTATGAGCCTAAATATAGTCTGTGTATGTGTGTATTACTCTTAGCAATTTTTCATTTTTCCTCTTTTCTCTTAAAAGCATATCAGATTTATGTAGGTATTGGCTTTATGCTTATCAGTGTTTAAAAAATGAAAAGGAACAAAATGAAGATTTGTTCAACATTAAAAGAAATATGCAGAGAAAATTAACTTTTTTTCTCATCCACCCAATAATTCATTGCACGCGAGATATATGAAACTGACAATTGATTTACAACATTCAGAACATTTAAAAAATATCTTTTTTGTGGGCCTTTTTTTTTCTTATTCGAGAATAGGTGAAGGTTGAGAACTTATGAATCAAGTATGCTCTTGTTGTTATTCTTCATTGCTATCTCTCATACAATTGATGTATATTATTACAGAAAGTCATCATTTTTTTGTTAGTGGTTGACTAAGTATTACATTCTTTTTCATATTTTTCTAAGTATAATCGTCTGTTCTTAGAATTAATTGTACTCATAAAAAATGTGAACATTTTCTCAAATGCTACATAGTACATCTCTAACTTAAAGATATCCAGGAATTGAATAGAGTACTCAATCAATAAAGATTAGATTTTTCTTCATCCGATCAAGTTGACTCTTTCACTTTTAAGGGTACTCACAAAAAGAATAACTGATAAAACCTAAATTTTTCATTTTTAAAAATCCTATCATCCAGGAAGGAAATAATATTTTTAAAAAAATAAAAAGAACTCACCTCTGAAATAGAGTCTAAAGTATCTCGAATCAAATTTGAATTTGAAGTAAATTTGAATTAAATCGGATAAGTTTTTCGAGTGGATGGGAATGAAAAACCGAATTATCTCAAAATTCGGAGAAAGATATGATACATAAAGAGTTGAAACAGAAAAGAAAGGACTTTTTCATCTATCCTGAAAATATCAATTCTTTATTATTTTTAACAGTGATTTTATGAAAAGTGAAGGAGTATTCTTAAGTCCAATAGTAAAGGTTTGTTTTTATCTAAAAATAGTGCAAGAAAGATGTTATCTTTCTAAATATTTTAACTTACCAATTGTTATTTAACTTTATCTACTTTTTAATGTTGTCTATGTCAAAAAGAAAAAAACTGATTACACTATATAAAGCAACGAAAACCACACAAACATCTAGTACATAGACAATTTCCTTCTTTTGGTTTTCTTTCGTGTTTTATTATTATTATTTTTTTTTTTGGTGTTTTTCCTTCTGCATATTACCTTTTCCTCTTCTGTTTTATTTTTCAATCGCGGGCGATATATACATGTATTATGTATGTTTTTATAACTCCATCTATATATAAATAGCAATTGTTCGAATTTTATAGACAGGGTCATATCCAAATAAAATTTAATATAGTGTATTGATAAATCTCCTATGGCTCATAGATATTTTAAATAAGCGATTATTTTAAGTTTAAATATGTGCAGCAGTTTTCTCTCTTTATATTTTTTTTCTTCTTCTTCATTACATTATTGTTTTTTTACTATTAGACATACAATTCATTTAGATTTTTTTTTTTTCTTCTTCTTCTTCTTCTATCTACTACCTAAAGCATGTTTGTTCTTTATTTTGCTTAACCTACCGTGAATATCTGTTATGTCAACAGACGGAATTCCAGGTCCTGCAGCTTGTCCATCAATCAATATTTCTTGTTGTACGTTAGCTCGCATCGTTTGAGACATTTTAACATTAACTTTATTTGAGTCTAACCGATCGTGTACATTGACATGAAATGGAGAGCCTAAAACAATTATTTTTCTCTATCTGTAAATAGAAATAAATTCTAATCATAGACAATAGATTCATACCGGGAACATGTTGTTCAGCAAATTTAATTGAAATATCATATTGACCAGATTTTGTCTAGAATAATGATAATACATATTATAGAGAAAACAAAAATAAAATTTTTTTTTTGTTGTATACTATTTAAATACATACAGGAAGATATTCCATAACACATGTACCGTCTTGATTATCTCGACAAATCATTTTGGCTTCTATTGTAATCAAAATAAAAAAACAACATGAAATAAAAATCATTTTTTCAATTAAAACATGAAAATTTATTCATACCACTTGGTCCTTCGATAGCTAAACCAAGACTACCCTGACCGGCACCTTTGGTTTCAATCGTAAATGTTGTTGGTTCATTTGTCATTGCACTTTCAAGACCTGAAGAGAAAAGAGAGATAAAATATGTTGACTATATAAAAGAAAGAAATACCTGGTCCATATGCTCGTACACGTAATGGATCGCATCCTGGTACAGCATTAACTCGAAATGGACTACCAGGTACTGGAATATTTTCATAAGTTACATCCAATTGATGCATTCCTTAACAGAATAATAAATTAAAAATAATAATTTGATAAAATTCTTTTTATCAAAATTTATATTTATCTACCAATTTCATATGGTGCATATTGAACTAGATATGTTCCATCGCCAATATTTTTCACTGGACATCGTACTAATCGACCACTTGGTGATGTTAACAAACATTCAACTTTTCCTGTTCCAGAACCAGTAACTGCACGAGCATCGACAGTAAACTCTGTTGGTGATTCCAAAAATACTCCTAGAAAAGATAAAAATCAAAAAAATATTAATTTTTCAATTAAAATAAGCGAAGAAAAAAAAGCGATAAAGTCTTTTTTTGAAAATGAAATAACAAAGCCATGCTAGTTTAAGACACTAAATACTAATCAAGCAGTATTTATAAACATGTCCCCATTTTTTTGGGGTGAAAGAATAAAAAATAACAAAAGAAGTATTCATAGTTTTCAAGCATTTAAATTGCAAGCGAATATTCTGCGTTAAAAAATAATATAGAAAAAAAAAATAAAAATAAAAATATCCACAGTATAAGTATGAGTTAGTTATTCTTAAAAATAAGAAGAATATAATTTAAAATCAATTTTCTTAAACCACAAATTTTAAATTAAAACAAAATCATAACTATGTTGTTCTCCAAATTGAACCAATCCGTTTTATTGTCTTAAAAAATTAATTCTATCGTTTAAATGAACCTTTTACCAATTACCCGTCTGATATTCTTAATAAAAATTTTGTCTTACATGATTATATTTAGAATAATTAAGCTATCCTATGTTAATCTAAAAATATTTTTATTTGAATAAATAATGTTGTCAATTAAAAGCAAGAATTAAATGGCGTATGTGTTAGTATTTATTTAGGCTGTTTAGATGTTGTACCTTTAGAAGTTTTAACTGCTTTACTAGTACTTGTTGTTCGCTCATGAGTATCTGTTACTGAAAGAAATATCAGATTTATATACGATATTTTTCTATCTTAATCTTCTCTCTCTCTCTCTCTATATATATATAAATACCTGAAATTGAAGATTTGGATAATGCGAGAGGATCAAGTGGTGTATGACCTATTAGGGCCGATAGTGCACTTCCACCACTGCTTATTTCCTTAGATATAGCAGATTTTCGTTCATCAGTATGACTAGATGAACGACGATAATCATAGTCGGTTGTGCTACTATTTCTTGAACGTCGACCATCGGTATTATCATCAACTGAAAACAGATATATAAGTACAGTTTAAAATTATTGCACATATTATATTTGTCAGTAATTAATTAGTCTTATTAAATTTTCCATTATATATTTTTGTGTTATGTTAGTAACGCTCTTATATAAATTAGATATAAGAGAAGCAATGCATTAGATAAATATTGATATATACACTCATCATGCAGATAAAATGATTCATGGCACTGTCACGAAACACACGTTCAGTCTGACAAAACTTAAGATTCATGCAGGATAATTCCCACATTGAAGAGAAAAGATCTTTAAACTTAGAATAAACATTGATTCTACTAGTGTGCGATGCGAGTAAAGATCTCTGCTAATATTCGTCTATTTTTCAATCATCTCGTATGTACTAGATGCATTTTGAACGTGGTTAGTCGAGAATTTATTATTTTTTTCAAAAGATTGAAATTTTTTAAGCAAAATTTTCGCTTGATAAAGATATTGGACAAATCAAAAGTAGTGATTGTGATTATAAGATCCTCAAGGAACTAATTACAGAATAAAATCAGAGAGTTTCTCTATTTTTCAGTTGTCATAGAGATGGACAATTCATTTCTTCTCAGTTTCTAGGGGCATTTTATGTTAAAAAGGTCTAGACGATGTTATTAAGCTGTTCTAAACGCATATAAGCGAAATTAATAGCTATTTTGATAAAATTTAGAATGAAAACTCTGAAAAGAAAGTAAGTCTAGTATGAAAATAATAATATAGAATAAATATTTTTAACACAGCACAACAGTACTCAAACTATTAATTGATAAACAGAAGATAAAAAGAAAACGAATTTTAATGCAAAGCTATATCTTAAAATTAATTGTGTTATTGATATTAATATGATATATAATATATTGTTAAAAGTTGCATTTTGTTTACCCTTTTTGTCCAATCCTGGACCATAACAAAAAATTCCTCTCGTATCCAAATCAGGTCTAACAACAGCATGAAAAGGTGAACCGGGTATATGCTTTCTTTCATATAATATATTGATATTGTAATTGCCGGCCACTGTAAAAACGGATAACGAAGACGATTTAATAATTTTCAAACGATTTTTTGAGTTTAGGCATTTTGGATACCTGTTGGATGATATGTAACGCGACATGAGCCATCATTGTTATCTTCATAGTCAATTTTAGATTCAGATGGTCCTTCAACTGTGAGATAAAATAAAAGGGTCAATTTCATTTTGAAATTTTTTCTTTGTTGTTATATTTTTTTTATTTCTACCTGTAACACCTAATTGTCCATTGCCAGCATTTCTTGTATCAACAATAAAATCAGCTGGTTTATTTACAGTTCCTTGACTTAGTCCAGGACCAAATGCCCTAACTTTACTTGGATCTAACGGTTCAACAGCTGTCAATATTACTGGACTTAATGGTAAACTGCACACCTCTGGTTCAACAATGTATTGTCCTGGTTCGGGAACATTAAAACGTAAATTATAACCGTTATGTGCCGGAGTAATAATTGCATCTTGAAAATTTCCTGAAGGATTTGTAATACGTCCTCTAACCGCATTTGGTGGAAGAGGACCGGCTGCTTGTGTATTTAATGTTATCTGTGCTGGTTGGCCAACAATTGGCACTATAGAAAAATATATGGATGGAGGTTGTGGTATATATCCACAATCACAAAAAAACAAAATAAAAATTAAGAAAAAGAAACGGTGTAAAACATCAACAAACCACACACGACTTTATAGGGGTCTATTCTATTGATAGTTCAAATATTTGTTCCAAATAAAATAGAAAGAAAAAATGATTACTAATGACTTACTTGTATCAACACCTTCAACACGAATTTTGCTAACATCGATACTTGGTTCAACATTGACTTTAATCGGTGATATTGGTATTTCACTATCGCCAAACAATACGCTAATACAATGAATACCGGGTAATTTTGGTGTATAAGCTATTGTAAATGTTCCATCTTGATTATCATCAATACTGAATGGCACATCTTGATTTCGAGTATCAGTTAATGCAATACTAATATCGCCTAGAAATATATACATATATATAACAGATTTACATATTTCATAGAATATTTTGTAAGAGATGAATGAAAAATAGATCGTAAAAATTCCATTCAATTTTATAAAAGTTGAAAAAGTAGTCAAACTCAAACTTCTATTTGTTCTTTCTCTATGTTAATAAATAAATAAAACAGAAAATATTCTCTACATAGTCATTAAATTAATATCCAGAAAGTAATGACTAAATTAAACAACTAATCTAATTTTCAAAATAACATTTTACATTTCTTGTGAACTTATTTGAATGACTAAACTGTACAGAAAGCTCGCTCTTAATACTAAAGAGTGGGTCAGAATTACTGAAACGAATGTTTCAGTAATTCTGGTTCATCCTTTATCAACAGTTAACACAATGTGCCAGTTGGTCGTATTAATTTTGTTAGTAGCTTTATAATACTTTATTCGAGATGAAACAAATAAACAAATGTAAACTATTATACTAATAAAAATAAATTGACAGGCACTAGGAGACAATTTGATAAAACAAAGAAAATGAAGAATACGGGAAATTATGTTCAACTTTTCAATGAATCTCATTAGAAGGTACAGTAAAAAGGACAAGTTTAATTCCATTCTGTTTCTGTCTTTTCCTATCAAACGAAGTGAAACTAGAGCAGTTATCCTACCTGGACCAGCTTGTTTACAATCGACTGTGAAATGTGTTGGATTATTCATTTTCACTCCTCTTTCTACACCCGGACCATATACTCTAACTTTTGATGGATTTGACGGCTCTGTAGGCCAAACCTAAGAAAAGAACCAAAATAGTTGATGACAACACAGTTAGAGAATAATGAAACAAAAGCTTACTTTATATGGACTGTTCGGGATCGCTACACCTCCATAATCGACCATAACTACATGACGTATTGGTTGAGTTGGTGTATATTTGCATGCATATGTTCCATTTCCATTATTTCTAATTTGTACATCGACTGGTTGATATTCTTGATCTATTACTTGAACACGTAATGGAGCTTCTCCAGCACTATTAGTATCAACGGTAAAATCGGTTGGTTTACCAATAATTTGACCTGTTGGTTCTATTCCAGGACCAAAAGCTCTCACCTAGATAAATCATATAAAATGAACAGTACGTTATCTTTGATTGAGACTCATATACTTTAGTTGGATCAAAATTTCCAGGTGGTTCAATCCAAGCCATAAATGGACTGTTTGGTATATCTTCATCGTTGCAAAGAATATGTACAGCATATTCACCTGGAATTGTTGGCCAATATCTAACCTTGGCTGAGCCGTCACCGTTATCATGACATTCAATTCTAGCTTGAGATGGTCCTTCGATAGAAAAGCCTAGAAAAATACAATAGTACATTATTCATTCGTTTAAGATTTATTTTCAAAAGTAATAATAATGCCATGCAACGAAACAGATATCAAATGGACCATGCAAAAACGTCAGGTCCTTTTCTTAATCAATCATGCGCACTCCATCGCACACAAAAAGCTATCCTGAGAAGAACTTACTGATATCGCCTATTAAGAAAAAGCATTTATTAGCTTAGTAGACTCGAGTTGACTATAAAAAGATTTTCCTTGTATAAACTTTATATACCTAAAGATCCAGTTTCTCCATTTGTTTCAACCATAAAATCGGCTGGAAAACCCACCACTCCACCTTCAAGACCAGGTCCATATGCTCTAATCCTAGATTCTTTATACGGTGCAACATAAACAGGAAACGGACTTTTTGGTATATGAGCTCCACCATATGTAATATTCACTGTATGAGGACCAACACGATTTGGTACGTAACCACACTCATACGTTGTATTATTGGCTTTTGTAACACGGCAAGGAAGTTCATTATTATCTAAAATTGCAGAACGTAAAGTTTTAGGGGTGAGGATCAGCTTTTAATAATCTATATTTACCAGGTCCAGTAACAGTTGCTTTCATAGCACCCTCTCCCGCATCTTTTGTCACAACTCGAAATTCGGCAACATCGCCCGTTCGCACACCTTTCGGTTGGATACCTCGGCCATAGGCTCTGCATTTTTTGGCATCGCTTGCTAAAAATCATAAACAAAGTAAATTAGTTTTAGTTTTGTTGACAAACACAAATACTTTCTAAACAGCAAAGAAAGCTAGTCGAAGAGTATAAACAATAAAACAAAAAGAATGTTTCTGAACGTTGGGAGATTGAACAAGATGAAAAAAAATCTAAAAAATGATGCAAAAAATATTTCGAATGTGTATGTAAATATATGTCTAATTTCTCACCTATAAAAACTTATAAGTCCAACACCTGTAATACAAATTTCATCAAAAAATACTTTTTAGCGATAATATAATATTAACTATTCACAGTTAATATAGTTGGAACATAACTGCTTTTTCTATTTTATATGTATGATCCTCTCACTATTCAAGGAATCATCATACATTTGCTAATGCAGAATTCTAGTCACATGATGACAATCAAACTGATTCAAATGTTCATAGTAATGTTTCAAAACTATCGATAATAATGACGAAGAGAAATATACTCAATTGTTGTTACTCATTGTGAAATAGTAATTTATTTGTTCAAGAAATACTTACAAGGTGAAACGTTGACACCATAAGGACTTTGGGGAATTGGTTTTCCAGCAAAAAATACGTTTACCGAATGTAAACCGGGCTCTCGAGCAACATATTCACAACGAAATCTTCCATTTCCTAATGGTTTAACGGATACTGGTACAGCATCTTGTCGTCCTCGTGGATCAATTAATATAACTTCAACCAGACCGTTACCAGCATCTATGACAATAAATAAACAGAAATAACAACAATCATGGCTGGACAATTCTGCCTAAGTTCAGCTGTAGCTTAGAATTTTCGATTCAACCTTGTTTCAGTTATGCCTTGGAGTTTATTTGTATCGTTGTACAACGAATTCCCTTCTAACGGAAAATATCTGCTCGTAAAAAAAGTGCTTGCTAGTTGGCTAGTTAGTGGGCAGACAACGTACTTCAAGTACACTAACTCCAGATATATGAAAAACCTACTACAATATTACTACAGAAAAGATAACTCTAGAGTTTACTTCAACTTCAAGTTGTAACTGAGAGCGACTTAGAACAAGAAAAATATAATCCTTCTAACTTCTACCCATGCGTTAATTGTGTCTCAGTACAAATCAGTCATAACACAGACCTTTATAAATGTATTCCACTATTAGTGCAGATTATCTCTTTTTCACAACGAGAATTAGACTATGAATTTTTCATACCAAATATCAGCCTCACTGATGTATTTCTGGTTTATTCTATCGAAAAAGAAGACCGAAGGTATCGCGCACTCTTACTCATATCCAATGGAAAAAAGTATTGTCCTAGACGATGATGGCATCCTGTAATGTATGCATTGAGTATACACTGTATATTTTACAGCAATGAATAAAGGATTGTTGAAGAAAAAGTAGAATTGTTAACAATCGTTGTAGCATTTGACTAATGTCGTCTTAGGACGTTAAGGAAAAAAATTGTAATAAGATAATGAATTCTCGTTATCCTCGATAGAAGTGGAGTAAATAAAATACGACCAACACCCAAAAATTGGCTTACTTGTTGCGTCTACTTCAAACCATGTAGGTTTATCTACCATAACACCTGATGGTTCTAATCCTGGTCCATGAGCTCTACACTGACTTGCATCACCTGATTTTCCTTCAATATATGGTGAGAATGGAGATCTTGGTACTTCTTGTCCAGCAAATTTAACAATGACCTAAAGAGTCAACAAAATAATTCAAATTCTCGATTAAGACATTAAATTCTTACTTTATATTGACCCTCCATTGTTGGATAATACGTACAATCGTATGTTTGATTTTTGTCATTCCGAAATTCAACATCGCACTAAAACGGATCAAAATTAGTTATATTACTCTTAGTAGAATATTAACAAATATCTACCCTTTCTTTTTGTCCTTTTGGATTAATAACAATAACTTCAACGTTTCCTTTACCAGCAGCAAATGTTTCGACATGAAATTTGGCTGGAGCATCAACATGGTTTCCCGTCGGTTCAATACCTTGAAGAAATCAAAGAAAAAATGATAATCCCTGTTTTGAACATTAAATGTGTGTTTGAACAGTAGATATTTTCGAACCATGTTTCTTTTCCAACATGTTCAGACTATTTAAAATGTCTTTAAAATGTGTAATATCAGTGCTATCAACAAACTATCAATTATTCCTTTTTTTGTTATTCAAATCAAAGTGATGTGGGTTTTTTTCTTGAAGAATTCCATTCTTTTTTTATGTAAGTCGATCGACCATGAAGAAAAAGTTATATAAGAACTATACATAAATTTCATATGTTAATACAGTCAAATGGTATCAGCTGGCTCAATGTCTCCTTTTCTCTCTTCTCACTGTTCTTTTTTTTAGAATATCGAAATATATACTTTTTTAAAATAACTCCAATCAGTACCTTTTCCATAGCATCTCACACGAGCTGAATTTGTTTTCGGTTTAACAGGTGATCCAGGTTTCAATTTCGCATTTGGATATTGTGATAAGTACGTCATCATTGATTGTTCATCAACTTTTGGATCAATCATTTCATGCGGTTGAATAAGCTAAAATAAGAGAAAAATGAATATTACAATAAATTCAGTTAGATAATAAGCAAAACATACTTGAGGAATACCAAGAAATTGCTCGGCTAAATCCATTGCTTCTTTAGCATTAGATAAAGCATTTCTTGGATCACGATCAGCCCAATCAGGATATAGACCCGGTGCACATGCATCAACTAAAGCACCAATTGCACGTCCATCATTCCAATCCGATGTAAAATTTGTAATGGGTAATTCGGGTGGTAATTTTCCTTGAATCCAACTCATTAATTTTTGTTTTGGTGTTGCATCTCTTCCTTGATTTTGTCCATCGGGTACTTCGAATTCCCACATGGGCAACGATATTGAATAATGTAAAATAAGTGTCCATATTAAACCAAGGATTAATTTTAATTTACCATCAACAATATGTGTAGCATCTAATTTAAAAGAAAAACTCAAATTAATGTGCTCAAAATAGACATTCTATGAATTAGAAAACGACTCGATTGATCGTGCTAAAAATAACATAATTTGATCTAATTTTTATAGCCTTTGGGCGGTAGATAGTATTTAGCTAACATTTTTCAAACTAACACTGCCAATTAATATTAGCTTTTGCTTGCTTAATCAAGCAATAGTTGTTTATAAACAATTCTTTTGATTTAGAGGTAGTAATAACAATTATAATACACTATTAATATTTAGTTTATGACTACTAGATTTCAGATATCTTATTCAATTTCACTTTAATGTGTTTGTTCCACCTGTTCATTGATATTGCCCTTCGTCGTTTGAATGTGCAGTAGACATTAAAAAAGACGATTAAAAATGTTTTGCACATTTAATTGTTCTATCATACAGTTCATTGTAAAGTATGTATATGTTAGTATAAATGTTTGATGATCGTTATTCTTTATCTGATAGTATAAAATATAGTTTAAAATTTCTTTTCAACATAAAAGTCTTACTTAAACGCTCATTCTTTCTTTACAACAGAAAAACAAAACATACGCAAACAAATATTAAGTGCTGTTATTTACACATCATTGACAAAGAGTTCATTTTTTAATTTTTTTACGCGAATGATGAGTTTTAACACAGATTTCTTTATTTTAATGAATCTACTTGTAATGTAACAGTTGTGAAACTCAATCACATTATACAATGGAATTTATAACTATATACAGACTTACAATAAATTGAAATCCTCTTCTAATTGAAGAATAGTTTCTCATATACATTAGTAGAAACAATTTCTATGTAGAAACGATCTAAGAGCAGATACCATTTGCAAACAAACCGAAAGTAACAATTGCCTTTTCACCGACAAATATTTTATAGTTATTATATCTCTCAATCTACTAAATTTCAGTCTAAAAATTCTGATTATTAACTATAATTTAACGAGAGATAAAACATAAAATACATTTCTTTGTAACTTGTACCGTTCGCTTTTTTTCTACAAATTTTACGTGTTCAAAGAGTTATGTATATATATATATGTATATATATACTGTTCATCAAACTCTTTCATAATATAATCTTTTTCTCCGTAATTTGAAACGATGGTTGAAAAAATATTTACGAGCGATACATTTGAAAAAAAAGAATTAGTTCTCAGTGTTTGTCCCACATGCAAAATACAGTCAGATGCAATGATCCACATAACTCAAAAAAAAACACCATCAGAAAGTTTTAAAAATTGCTAAAACTGCATCTATGTATAATAAGTATAATCGTAATTTGGTTACAAAATGGATGTCCTTCATACGGTGGAAGCATTAGACTGAGCTAGTACTGTTCTTTGACTGGAATAAAGAAAGAACTAGCTGACAGCTGCTAAAACTATGTAACTGACTGTTTGACTTCGCAGAGAACTTCCTTTATATGACTCGTAATTCGAATTCCAATATTTGCAAAACAATGATTGATAACAGGTGTAAAAAGTGCTTAAAACAGGTTAAAACGGCAATACGTAAATACCAAAAGAGAGTATGATCGATCGTTTATTAGAAGAGCTAAGCAAATAATCAGGACCGTACAGAAGTTTGATTTCTATTGCGTGTAATAAATTTTCTCTCAGAAATAGTAGTTTTTCAACAATAAAATAAAATTCTCAGTCAATTACTGCAAATGGTCACCAGTGATATAGATAATGTAAACAGTCGTAGTAAATAAATTAAGTGAAAGTGACGTTTTTCTGTCAGATTCTTTTTTAAGAGCAGAATAAAGCTACTATCTGTTGTGCAGATAAAATAAATGTCCTGTAGTTAAACGCGAAAAAGTGAAATCAATAGAACTCGATCTAGTCCTCGATAAACGAAGTTGTAGAAGATCACTAAATCTACAAATAAACTAAACTTTAACATACCAATATTGACTAAACGTATACGTTCGGTATTTTCAAGAAAATCGAGTACAACCGATACATTTTCTAATTTTTGTGAACGAAAATTCGGTCGTCTATTATGTTTCGGTAATTTTTTTTGTGATAATACTTCAATTAACGCAATTAAGTTTAAGCCATCACTAAAATCTGTTTGTAAATCATCAATATGTCTATTAACTAATTTTAAATGTTCATTTGCCCAACGTGTAAATGTATTTTGTTGTATTTTTTTCCATGGTGCATCATCAGCTAATTCGCGTTGCATATCTTCATCGAATTCTTCTTCTGTACGACCAAATTCGTCTTCTAGTAATTCTCCCTGTTCGTTTTGATAAATAACTTGATTTTCTGGCAAGACACCACCTCCACCGAAGCCAGTCGAATAGCCGTTTGGTTGGTTATACATGATTGACGTTTTTTCTTTCTTTTTATTTTTCTTCTTTCTTTCTCTGTTTTGTTTAAATTTTTATCGATTTAATGACTCACCGCCTAAAATAAAGGAAAAAAAACACCATATAATATACATATACAGGTGAACACAAAGAATTTCAAGTATTTCTAAAATATACACACATAAGAAAGAAACAGAACAATTTTAGAACTTTTTCTTTCTCTATATTTCTCACAACATGTAAATTGCACCTAGATGGCAAAAACTCGCCCGTTTCTAGTTTATACAAAGAAGAAGAAGAAAAAAAACACCTGTGTGCGTGGTGTCTCTTTTTGAAAAAGAAAAATCATTTTGATTCAACTATAATGCTGTGTGAGTCTCACTCTCCCTTTAAAACGTGTGAGAGATAAACAGTAAAAAAAGAGCAGAATAGTAATATATCTATGATTTTAACTGCCATGTGTATGGGAGAAACAATATTCAGTATAACATAAGTCTTTCTTTTTACTTATTCGTACATAACACATGAGATGTTAATTTAACAAATCAACGTGAATTCCAAAAAACAGTCGAAAAACAGTCGAAAGTTTACCAACAGAGAGTAGAAAGATTGTCACGCCGAATGGTTTTTTCTTTATTATAATCAAAATAATTCTAGTAAGTTAAATATCAAGTGATTATAGATACATTCTTCATTAGTAGAAGTAAACAGACCATTGTTTTCTACTAAAATAGCTATTCAAATCTTTTCTAATTACGAATTTTGGAAAAAGATCCTCAATGATAGTGAAGAGAATCAAAGTCAAATTCATGCACAAAATTAATCTTTTCTTACGAACAACTTATTCTGCACAATCTTCGCTGCGCAAAATATACTTATCAAGAAATCTAAGTAACTAGTAACTCAAACTCAAGGAGAGAACTTCATATTACTGTCCACTCTCATTCAACAACAGCATTTTCCGTTTCTCTCGATTTTCGTAGTGACACTAAACTATCTGATCAGAGCAACTCGGAATGGAATAAAAATAGCATTCACTAACCCATCCAATGCGAGATCTTTGTTCCAAAAATAGTGACAACGTCGCTAACTGCACGCCTTCCTCAACGGAATAATCAATTTTTTCTCAGATGAGAAGCAGATTTTTGAGGAATATTATACCTCAAGGCTAAATGTATTTTCTTTAGCTTTTAATAATAACTGTACATAGTGACCTCTTGCAAATTTCCTCTACAAGAGCTTTTTGTTGTTGTTATTATTGAATATTATGGTTTAAACTTTATTCGCTGTCGTGAACACTGACACTTAATAGAAGAAATGTTAATGAAAGCTTATCTTTACCATTTCTTTTACTGTTTTCAAGAATATGGTACAAGTTTATAGTGAGAAATCCAGAAAAATGTTAAGGTCAACTGCAGAATTTCGATCTAAGTCTTCACAAGTAGCAAGGATAAAATATTATCAAAACAAATAATGTATCCTTTGAAAGTTTCTTACTCGATAATTCTTAAGTGACGACTCATAAAATGTACGGATTAGTAAATAAGTCAATAATGCTTTATATAAAAACAAATAGGGCAGCGAAATTATTATGCTTTACCCATAGAGTCATTTAGATCATATTTTAGATTTAGATTTTTATATGATTAAATATAGGTGTATTTAATCATTGTGTGATGACATTCTATTAATATTAAAATTATGCTTAACATCAACATTTCGAATATACATACATACATAATTTATATATTTCAAGCAGGTAGATATGTGAATAAGAAAAATTTATTTGAGAAAAATTACTGGAATTCTGTACAAATATTTCAGACATTTCTCAAAATCACATAAACAAAATTATTCCCATTTCTTCATATTGTTCCTTTTGTTATATGATAGTTAGTTTTCTTACATACCGGTAAGCTTGAAAATTTATTTGAGATAAAATATACAGAATGCATCGATTTCAAATACAAAAAATATTTATAAATCTTATGTATGAGTAAGAATTATTGATCGAATGATATGTTTAAGAAAAGAAAGCGCCTCGTCTCCACCCACACACACCATTTTTTCCTCAAATTATTTACAATGATTGTACATTGTTTTATATTTGTCACAGCAGAAAGAACGTTTGTTTTTCTCTTCGTAGGTTTGAAGAGTATATTACTAACAAGCATATGTGTTCATAGCTGATAATACAGAACAAAAGATATTTTTTAGCTTTCTCTCTCTCTCTCTTGGTATTAATCCAATAATAAATTTGAGCTTAAATCAGTCTCTGATATCAATTTATTCTAGCCATCTAGATGAATCATAACTGTACTTCAGAAATTAAAGATAAAAAATTCGGAGAAAGTAAATATGATAATGTAGACAGTTCCGATTATATTACGAAGTTTATCTCTGATATACTCCAAGTTTGTTTACATATATCATACATAACGTACATTTAAGAAACGAATAAAAGAAACACAAAGAAAAGAAATGTTTTTTTGACTTGATCTGTAACTAACTTTTTCTGTTGACCTGAGATAAATAATCATTCTATATATGCTATTAGTTAACTACCAACATCACCTGTTAGATAGAAGTTCTTTAGATAGTGCGATGATGTTCACTCTAAGCTATTATGTATTTCCTTCCTTGTCTTACTATATGAACATTCTTTTAATGTACGTCTAATCTCTACCATATAAGAAAATTATTTTCGTGATGATAGTATATTCCTCACGAACACATTTAGATGATGATTTTCTGTTATATATATGTATAGTAAACGCACTACAAAAACAAACGAACGTTTTTTTTTTTTCTCCTTCAGTTTTCGTTAACCATTATTTGACACTAGCTAGATTTTTTCAACATGGATGTCGTAATCTATAAATTTTCACTACACGAACAAAATAATCGATTCATATATTATCTGATTACGTACTATAGTATTTTAATGCTAGACCAAATCATAGATAATTTCGATTTTGAAAACTACAGTCTCTTGTGTTTGATCAAGCTGTCAATAAGTATGTACAGTGTTACTGATAACTTTAAGAGAGATCTGATGGAATTAAAATCTTCAGAATATTAGTGAAGAAATAACTGAAAATGCTGTAGCCATATTCGTGACTAATAAATATTTTAATATGTAAAAACTATACATTAATCATTTTCTTAAACATAACTATTAATCGTGGGTAAGGCTTAGTGTATATGCTTGTCAAGATGTCAACGGTAGAAAAAAAATACATTTATTTAGTACATTAGCTGGAGGAAAGTGCGTCAATTTCTATCATGTCTGCTATAATATTTGAACTTCTCAAAGACAATCAAAAGAAAGTAGTAGGTTAGAATAAAACATACTAATAATCTATACACAAAACTGATAAATGTACGATTTGGGCTGAAGTTCTTTAATAAACAGATTAATTTTTAGAAACTTGAAACGCTGATCTATTTTTAACTATTTTACCCTTTGCTATGTACCCAATTATAAAATGAATACTAAGATGTTTAACCTAGAAAGGTCATGCATTCATATATGTATACGTGGAAACAGGGTATTATGTAAACCTGACATCTCTCTACGAAATTTTTTTAAATATGAAATAAATATTGAAATCAACACAACAACAAAGACGATTGAAATTATAGCTTGAATCAAATATAAATATACTTACTCGGACGCAATAACAGAGTATCACTAAAATAGAAAGAAAAGAGGGGTATTAAACCTCGTGCTCTCTATACCTCGAAGTAAATTGGTCTTGAACCTATAGTCGTCTTGCACTACCAACGGTACTCTAAGCTGATGTAGAAAAAAATAGAGGGACGAATATAAAAAAGACAACGATTATTATTCTATGATCTACGAAGGCTAAAAAAATATCCGTCATTCGCAACCATAAAATATGGGGGTGTTATGTGTAGAGAAGAAGAAAAAAAGAAAAAAGATCCAAGGAAAACCTCAGACAATAAACAAGAAAGTAGTTGTCGTATTATTCCTACCGCAATAAAAACGTGTGAAGCTCTAAATACTGGGTTTTGCTCATATGTCTTTTTTCTTTTGCTTTGTTGTATCATCTACAAATAAGAAAAAAAAATACATATATTTTTTTGCGACATCTTCAGAAAAAAGAGTTTGTATGCGTGTGTATGAAGTACTCTCACTGCATGCAGTTAGTAAAAGAAAAAAGAATATGTACATGAAAAAAAGGAAGAAAAATGAGAACAACAACAACAACAAACAACAATCATATATCATTTCAACATTTACCGGCATATCCGAATATAGTTTGCACAAATGCCACATCGACGTCTTTCTAACACATAACACAATTCTTTTTCTATCAATAAGAAAATACACATGCAGAAAATATACATGTATAACTGTAACTCTCTAGTTGTCGAGGTATAGTCTATCTCATTGGTGTTACGAATATACAGCGAACATCACAGACATTCGTACATGTACCATAGTGATGATAACACATTCTTCTCTTAACTTTTTCTCTATTATTTCTCACTATTATTTCTTGTATCTCTCATTCAGATTTGCAAGGGAGAAAAATGAATTATAATATCCTAAAATTGACAGGAATTTAGGTCTGAAATAGCGGTACCCTTACAAATGACGAATTGTCATGATAAATCTTAAAAATAATAGTTCTAGCAGTTTTTTGTGACACATTTAATGGATGACAGGTCTACATTTAAACAGATTTTCATTTCCTGTTTGAATTTTTTTCGAGCTGACTGTAATTACAATGCCTATAATCAATACCTTATGTTCCTATGACGTCAAAAATAAATAAAAAATTATAAAAGTTATGAAAATTGGCAGTATTTCAATCAATTCTTGCATTGCTTAAGATAGAAAATAAACCTTAACTACCCTTTACTATTCCACATGCTTGAAGTGTATATAATTTATGAACTTGAATGAAGAAGGCTACAAGACAATTGCTATATTGCTAACAGAGAATAGAAAACAGCTTGGTTATTATAACATCCATGGGGAAAT